TTCTCGTTCGTCAAAGAACTCTTGAACTGTGACATCAACTCCAACAATGTTGTCATGGCTAGTTTTGATGTGGCCTCTTTGTTTACAAACATCCCTGTTGATGAAACTATTAGTATAATTTGCAATAACGTTTTCTCCCAGTACCAGTTCTTTCAAGGCCTTGACCGTGCTGAATTTGAAAAACTCTTGTCCCTATCTGTTAAGAACTGCCATTTCATATTCAATGATCGTCTATACCAACAAGTGGATGGCGTGGCAATGGGCAGTCCCTTAGGGCCACTTTTCGCGAACATTTTCATGTCTTTTCATGAGCAAATATGGCTCCAAAACTGTCCTTCCTTATTTAAACCAGTACTCTATCGACGCTATGTAGATGATTGCTTCCTTCTCTTCCGATCTCTGGATCACGTACCTCTCTTCTTTGATTATCTCAACCGACAACTCCCCAATATATCCTTCACATCTGACAAGGAAGACAATGGAAAGCTCCCTTTTCTTGATGTTGAGATATTTCGCTCTAACGGGAAGTTTACAACTTCGGTGTATCGTAAACCTACGTTTACTGGTCTCTTCACAAATTTCCATAGCTTTATACCACTAAGTTATAAACGCTGCTTAATATTATGTTTACTCCATCGCTTTTTCAATCTCTGCTCGAGTTATGAAAACTTTCACGTCCAACTCGAAATTGTTAGGAAGTTATTCCAAGTTAACGGGTTTCCTTCGCATTTATTCGACCGTCTGGTCCGAAAATTTCTCGATGATACGTTCGTTCCAAAACCGCCTATCCTAAGAGCACCTAAGAAAATCATCTATTTTTGTCTGCCTTTTACTGGGTTACACTCTATTCAGATTCGCACTCAAATCAACCGTCTTTGTAGCGCCGCTTTTCTGCATTTGGATGTTAGATTTGTCTTCCGTTCCACTAGAAGGCTCTCTTCACTCTTTCCGTTCACAGATAAAGTCCCTAAGTACCTGAGATCTGGTGTAGTTTATTTATTTAAGTGTCGATGCTGTTCCGCGTCGTACGTGGATCAAACCACGCGTCATTTACACACCAGAATATCAGAGCACTTGGGAATATCATCTATCACTGGTAAACACACCTCAACCCCTGTTATCGTCCTGTATACATTCGCACCTAAAGGCTTGCGGACACCTGGCTAGCTTTGACGATTAATTTAGAATCCTCTCTTCCTCCTCTGACTCTAATGAGCTAATGATACATGCAAGTCTCCTCATCAACAAACTTAAGCCTTCTCTTAATGTTCAAGGCAACTGTATCTCTCTCAATTTATTTTAGTCCTTACTTCGTATTGTCATCGTGTCGTGACTCTCTGTCCCTTTGTCCTCTCATGTACCGCTTGTCCTTACGTTGTCCTTGTTATCACCTTTTGTAAATCGATACATTGTAAATATATTACTAGTCTACATATATTCAAATTATCTTGTAATTTATCATTTAGTCTGAAGATGTCTTAAGTTAAGACGAAACGTTACTACCAAATATATTCTTTTTATTCTCAAATGGTCTAATTGTCTCTTATGGCTTTACTGAAAGCACTATGTTGGGCTTTAATATATATACGTAATATATATTAATAAATATTATAATGAAGTCGGAAAATTTTACACTTGAAAATAAGACCCGGCACAGGTAAAAAAGTCATTCTTTTGTGGTAAACACAACTTTAGTATTCTCAAACGTTTTTCACTACAAATGTGAATGTGTAATGTGATAGACGACATTATAATTTCATTTATAAACTCAGTTTGTTCAAAATATTCGCGTGCAAAAACCAGTCGAGGCGTAAACATAAAAAACTTCCTTCGGAAGTCGTATGAGACGTCTGATGTTATATTTCATGGTACTTGATAATTAAAATAATTTACCATAACAATGACTATAGATGAGTAACTTAACTTCCAGAAAATGGTTAGAATCTTGTATTTTTGCCTTTTTTCATAAAAAAATAAGGATAAACTTTGATTCTTTGAAAATATACGGCCGTTGCACTGAGCTATATAATAATTCCTGGAGGACCGGCTCGTAATGTTTTTTGCTCAAAAAGTGAAGCAAAAAACATGGCGGATTTTGGCCTCTGTGACGTCAAGGTAATACCACTGACCAGGCTCAATTCTGAGCCTGCTACAGTAGATTCCCCCTCTGGTTTTTATGAATATTTTGTTTCTTCTGACTGCCTTGAAACCTTGTTGTTCTGTTTTTTCGATATATTTTTTACCTAACCCGTAATAAAGCGTTTATTTCGGTTATGTATAAGTCATAGGTACTGTTTTTGCAAATGCCGAAACAAACAAATACTTAATACGTGGACAAAGTCGAAAATTTTACAATGATATGAAGCTGACAGGTTTTTTCTCTTTTCTTTGTTTTCAATTTTAATATACATTACTGTATAAAATGTTTTTTTGGTATTGTCATTGATGATTTGTATTTGATATGAAATTATACCTAATAGCAGGAGTAGTACAAACATAATAGCCTAATGAATTCACAAAAATGCAACTGTGCTTCTTCACCCCTCCATTAGTCAGTCTATTATTCAAAAAACCCTGATTAGCCTAATAATTTTAGCCCTTTAATGGTGTGTGGGGGAAATGCATTGTCCAGGAAATTATAAAAGTTGTTGCAGATTGAAGACACACAGCTCAATTAATGCATGTTTTTATGCATTTATTTATTATCTTTAATCTGAAAAACCATTGTAAAAAAATGTCAGCCAACAACAGCCAACAAGTCTATATAGTAAAATTATCAGTACAATGTTCCAGTAATTTGCATAACAAGCTATCTCTTGTTAAATTTTATAGTATCTTCATCCTTAAAAATGGAGATCTTATTAAGATTAACTGTACTCAATATATACAGTACTCTGCACCCAGAGAGAATAACAATAATACTAATCAACATTAAGAGCAAATTAAATGTAGATTGATTATAAACAAGGTGCAAGAAGTCCATTAAACCATGATAAATTGACTTTTGACAAGGCAAACAAGATAACATTGACTTTTAACAAGACCTGTAACAGCCACTACAGGTCTACCAGAGGTTGAATCTTAGAGTGAAATATTTTGTATCAGCAGTCAGCACCTCAAAATTCAAAAGATTAACTATTGAAAACTTTCGCCTGACACCAAAAAGTTTTCCTATGAATCCTATCGTAATTAAGTCACGTACCAAAGGACAAAAAGGCTAATAAAAACATATAATTATTTATCCAGACGCTTTTGCAGTTGTTTATACTATAGTCCGAAGGCAAAAAAGTTCAAAAAGGAAAATAATTTGAAAACCGGCTCACCATGAGGCAAAATTAGCTTTCCCGATTAGTGAATTAAGCCATTCGCAACGTCATATGCAGAGCAAGAAGCCGCTTCTCCATTTACTTTGTCGAACAGGGAAAAAGATAAACAATTTTATCTTTTTTAGAGGAAATACGAAAAAAATATTAAAAAATATAATCAAAATTATTTTCGTAAAAACCAGGAGGGGGACACATGATTTTTCACTTTGTATCGCGGTATGTCAGTGGTAATTACCATGGGCAAAAGGGACCAGGTGACGTCACAAAGCTCAAAATCCGCCATGTTTGTTGCTTCACTTTCTGATCAGGAGCCGGTCCTCCAGGAATTATTATATAGCTCAGTGGGCCGTTGCGATGTTGGTTGCGGGTTGCTATGACTCTAGTGCTTCCGCTTCCAGAAATATATTTCCATACTTCTCTTCTCACATACCAGCAATACCAAGTACACTCCAAACACCCCAACCCACACAAAATTTTCCAACTATCATGTCACCATCGCTTAACCAAGGCGAGGGGTGGCTGCATGCATATATTTTTAATAATAACTCGAAATTTACATAGCGGGACAAAATAGTCGGGCTGGCTACGCCACTAGGCTAAGAGGCTAAATCAGCTTATGAAGGTAATATCTTTTTTGTATTTTGAACAAAAAGTTAATGGAAATTCTAAACGAGATTTACATGTAGTTCGAGGTCTACGACCTACGGTGAGTAAAAATAAATGTATTTAGCTTGTACGCCTCTAATTGACTATAATTATATTGGTCACGGAGAATTTTTAGTGGCTAAAATTTACGCCCAACTATCGAGCATTGGGTTATACGAAGTTAGACAACTGATTACTGCAATTCACTTAATAAAAATTCTGCGTTTGACATATTATCATGATTGAGGGAAAATCATGATTGGCCATTCAAAGTGTGTATTTGGCCAACCGGGAACATGCTTATAATTATATCTCTAAATACGTCCCAGCGTAGAATTTTTACCAAATTCATTTGCAGATATTTTGAACAAACTTAACGAATCTACGAAGCCGTGTGATGACTTTTACGAGTTCAGTTGTGGAGGATTCTTAAAGAAAACGCATTTACCAGAAACCTATCCGTATGGCATGAAAAGTACATTTACTGAGCTATCGGAAATCGTTCAATATTCTTTGAAAGCCCTGTTGGAAAACAAACAACTCATGTCGAAATTTCCAGAGGTACAGGAATTTAATCGTTTCGTTAACATGGATAACTTTGTCCTAAACAATCATTCGAAATTTTTGCATTTGTCCCAAATATATTAAATTTATTACATTGCATCGTATGTGACCCTGAATTTAACTTCGACGTTAACGCATCACCACTCCGGGCTGTTCTAATAAACTGCGTCATATTTCCGAGCTGGAACTTCGTTATTAAGCTAGCATTTAAAAAGGTGGAATTTATTATTCTGTTTAGCCTAATACTCCAAAAAGATAGTGCTTTTTTTCAAAGATAGTGATTGAAACTCGGTTATACGACCGTTTCTAAGTAAATATACTCAGCACCGTTGGAAGTGCTGTCATAAAGGATGTTATTCGACAAACTTTAGCCATCAATATCCTCGAAATCCTCCTTTATGCATGCTTTGTATAAACTTAACTGTTGCATTTTTTAGGATTCAGCTGTTCACAAAGCCTTCGTATTTTACAAGTCGTGCATGAATGATGCAAAAATTTCAAATGATGGAATTAAGCCAATTCTCGGTGTGATAGAACAACTTGGTTCTTGGAATATCACCAATAAGAACTGGAGTGAAACTGATTGGAAATTGGAGAAAATACTCGCTAGGACGATGTTTAACCTTTATACCGGAACATTTCTATCCGTCGATATAATGTCATCTTTCTTCAACAATTCCAAGCAATTCATAACAGTAAGTGAGTTAAATACAAAACACATGAGCATTCATGGATAATGAGGGTCAAATTATCATCCTGAAGCGCAGATTGGTGGACGCAGAGTAAAGCAGAAGAAATTATGGCGGCTTTAGCTTGCACTTATATCGGTAAAGTTTTATAAATCAAGAAACAATAGTGTTGTTATTAAGGAATCTTGAATTTAAAATTACGCATGGAAAAAGTTGCTACTAAAATTCATAGGGGGGCAAGTCTAACGTCGTTTTAACAAACAAGACTTGTTTTTTCATCAGGCGATTTTACCCATATATTGATTCTAATTCCTCTTATATACTCCATGCTTGTTAAACAAAGCTCGATCTCGATGCTATATTTACGACCACTAGCAGGCTAACGCACTACTTTGTTTCAACCTGTACAGATCAGTGCGGGAAAGTCTGGTTTCCAACCCATCACACTTGACAAAATACTGCCAGAAACAACACCTTGGAAACAAAATTTGGATGTCAAGGTAGGTTCATATTTTAAGTGCCGCATGGCCTTTTACGGCAAATTTCACAACCGCCTCCGAATTTCTACCCGCAAAATATCATCGCCCACCATATTCACCTGCGAAGGAGGTAGATGTCGAATAATATGTGTCTTTCATGAAATCGTAAATATCGTTTTGAAGTCGTAATGTGTAATAGCCTAGATTTAGATTAATCTTCTCTCCTACATGCTAAACAATCGGTGTTAACTGCTCTAATTCGTGAACTCATGTTTACGACAATTTTGATTTTGTGCCGTTTTATTGCAACTCTAAAAACGAGAATAATCGAAACATTTGCTATGGCTAAAAGCACGGCTCTCCGTTAACGCTACCGTATATATAGTTGTGAAAATGCTAATATATGCAAATTGCAACAGACTACAGATGCGGAAGAAGGACACTTTTTGTATTTTGACTGTAAAGAATAAAGAGTGTTTCCATTAAGCTTAATATCTTGATTCTTTACCGGCATTACAAATAATTACGCACCGTTTGAGACAGCCTATCGCATAGTACATGGCCAGAAATGCAAGCCAATTTGGATGCCAACCATGCGTGATTTTAATCCAATATCTCTCTCCTCCGCAGACGCTTAGGTTTATTATTACATGAAGTATCTCAACAATCATCAGCGCGCATGGTATGATGGGAGGAGGGTAATTTTCCAAGCTTTTTGCCAACTGTCACAAACAACGTGGCGAGTGGATTTTGCGTACAATAGTCAATACAACACATTATTAAAAAATAATACAGTAAGAGTCGCCTAAATCATGGACGTCAAGCGATCTCAAATCTAGTAAGGCTACTTTTCTCAATAATCCTGTGCATTTACATGAAATAATTGCTAAAGATAAACAATCTGATACGACTCATTTAGTCATTCGCGTGCGAAATCTTATATCTAAATACTTTACTGACCATCGATGCCAAGATCTTGAAAGTTCTCGACTGAATTTCCTCCAAAAAATCACTCATTTGCATTGATATTAATTTGAAGTTTTATTCATAATTTACGTTCGATTTGAAGTTGTTCAATTATTGACCATGGTTCTCCTTTCAACTTTCTTCTTCCCTTCATGCAATGCACGCTCACGCTTTCTCTGCAAACTTCATGTAAGACGATTTTAGCATGTAGGACGGTAAGACTGTTTCAGCGGGCTTTGCAGAGGAGAGAGATCTTATGATCCTATATGGCGTCCCGTATAAGAAATCAGTGGGGATTTATTAAAATTTGGGTTCTATGTAACCCACAATTAAGAAGTCATGTTTGGCTACGTCCATAACATCATCAATTATATGGATCTTTAACTACTGAAAATTTGAAGACTAGTCGGGATGCCCAAGTATGGTCCCGAGAAAGAATATTTTTACGATTGAAATTGCATAAGAAAGTATATTCTCCGAGCATATTGGGTACCTTACAGCTCCAATTTGTGCTCGTTGTTGGAAGGCATCGGCAAATGTCCACGTCAGAGCTGGTTGGTAAAGACTCTTGGTTTATAAACATCGCACTTTAGAAGCTTAAAACGACGCTTAAATGTGTCCCCCAACGCGATGAAATACATCAATTTTTGTAGTGTAGTCCATTATTTTCCTTTAGGTGTTGCTATGATACAAGCGAAACTGATCTAAATAATAATGAACTTAAAACTGAACCGCATGAGCACTACGCCAAGTATACAGATTTCACATAAATATGAGTTTGTATTTTAAAGCATAATTTTGTGTTTCCAGGGTTTTGATACTCATAAAGACAGATACAAGAAGTTTATGTCGACCATATTTAATCTTCTTGTTGCTAAAGAAGGGAACAGCATTTCCGGTGATAACTCTAATATTGACGAGGAGGTGAATCGCATTGTAGATTTGGAACGAGAATTCATAGAAGTATGAATATTTTTATTTCAGTCATTTTAACTATGCCAATGTCGACGGGTCGTGTTGTGTCCACTGAGCTATATAATAATTCCTGGAGGACCGGCTCCTGTCAAAAAAGTGAAGCAAGAAACATGGCGGATTTTTTCGTGCTGACGCCAGATATGGTCCGAAGAGGCCATGGCAATTACCACTGACAACCGCGATACAATGCTTCAGGCGCACTCCTTCGCCCTCCGGCTGTTTTCCAATTTTTTTTTTATTTTGCTTGTGATTTTTTCGTATTTTTTCGACCGAATCTTGATAGTTTTCCACTATTTTTTTGACGTGAAGGAACAACTGCCTCTTTTCACTTTGGGGATGCTGTTAGTCGCTAAAAAGGGGGAATATCGACTCCGACTCGCACTTGTAAGACCTACATTTGTTTTTGAATCTACTTTGGTGGCATTTTTACTACTACTTGCACAGAAGATGTACATAAAACATCTATTTTTTTCCGAGCTTCACGCTTATAATAATGGATCAGAGTTTATTTACATCAATTTTTTTTAATACGTAATTTATAAGTGCAGTTGTTTCGCAATCGTTTTAATTTTTGTGTCAAAATGATATATTTCAACATCTAGTTGCAAGATCCTTGCACTTGCCAGGCATTTGCACCATTTTATTTAACCCGGCCTGTATCTTTCAGTATGTATGTGTAATGTGTATCAAGCTGAAATTTTTAGCTGAGGTTTAATAATTTTGGCAAAGGCCATAACAAAGTGATATGAACTAGTATTCTGCATATAGGATTGTTTGACTTGGTCAATAGTTCTGTTTTGGCTAAGATCAGACATTTTATTTTCACTTTTCAATGGGAGAATGGCTACATGGTTTATATGTCAATTTATATTTATATTTACATATTTGAATGTCAATTGTGGGAAAATAGAAACCAGAAATAGCAGAGTTTGCCCACTTTTCCCATTTGTAGTAAAACTATACGCAATGCAAACTAACTTTGATCTGGTATCATACAGTACAATAAATAATTCAAGTTTGGTGCAAACCTTACAATGAAAATGCTAAACAGATTAGGTAATAAAAGCAAATTTTAGACCATAATAATACAAAGCCATATTAATATAATACATCCAGGTCTGCCATACTTTAAAAACAGAAACAGTCAGTCCCAAGAATCTTCCACTGCTCCAAACCAGACAATTTAATAGAACAGAAACAAAATCTGAGTGACTAAATAATCTTGCAAACTCAGGACTCAAGTTGGACTCAAGGTATTAAAACACACATGATTCTAGTGATCCTTGTCCTTAGGTGGGCTAGTGTCCAACATTGACTCTGGTCAGTCTTAATACAGAGATAATGTCAAATTAATTTGGCTATTTTATCTATTGGTGAATCTGGTAAAATAAAATATTTGAATGAACAGGGTAATTGTGCAAGTAAAAACTGAGCAGGTTTCCTAAACAATACAGTAAGTACTATGGGATTGTAAAGTTTGGTTCTTTAATTTGCTTTTAAGTTTTTGTAAATATATAGTTCATACTTTAAAATTTATGTTTTCATATTCTCAAAGAATTGGCAGTTTTCACTTATTAATCAAAAGTGGATTTCATGGCTGCCAGACTGGCAAGTTAATTGGCAAAAGGCCAAAATTAATAAAAAAGACAATGGGTTACATTACATACTCCTGTTTTTCAATCACAAAATCTTGAGTTCACATTTGAGTTAATTCTTCAAGTGAGAATAGATTATTCAGGATCACCTTTTTATTGAATGGCACTCATGCTGATATTTTTGTACAGTCCAACTGTTAATTACACTCATATCATAAAGAGTGACTATGTAGTACTAACAAGCATACCCGATCCTAAATAATTCTCCGTTTTCATGAAAATTATGTCATACTATACTTCATGTTCAAATTACTTCGGCTTCGCAATTTTGATTTCACCAATGATTTCAAATGTTATCCTTAATTAAATACCGAAACTCTTGCGGTTTCATTGATCGTTTGTCATATTTAAAGCACAAGAATTACGTCTCAGTCGTACAGGTTTTGAAATGAAATCAACAAATGGTAGTAAAATGTCTTCAAAAATTGAAAATACATCCAAAGGATTTTTTAAAAAAACATTTTAAAAGCAGTGGCAGGGGGGAGTGAATGTTGGAGCGGGCTCAATATTGAGCCGTGTCAGTGGTAATTGCCATGACCTCTTCGGACCATATCTGGCGTCAGCACGAAAAATCCGCCATGTTTCTTGCTTCACTTTTTTAGCCAAAAACATTAGGAGCCGGTCCTCCAGGAATTATTATATAGCTCAGTGGTTGTGTCCAGTGAACTGGTTGTGTCGTATCGTATCGTATCGTATCGTGTCGTATCGTGTCGTGTCGTGTCGTGTTGTGTCGTGTTGTGTTGCGTTGCGTTGTTTTGTTACGTATATGTGCACCATATTGCACGTAATTTTCGGTGAAAACATCCATCGTGGCTCTTACAGTGCACAAATTTTATTCATGAAGAAAGAATTTTTACCTTGTAGGTTGTGAAATATATAAACCTGAGGAATATTACAGAACTGAAAAACAATATCAAATTTATGACAATTGATGAATTGATGAAGCTGACATCGTTCCAGGTAAGATTCACAACTTTTTTCTTATATCTATTTCTTTTACGGCGGGCTAATATCGCGTTTTTTATGTGTAATTCAACATGACAAAAAACCCTGCCTCGAATGTTTTGTTAACCGATTGTTTTTTTATCGATTTAGGGAGGTTGGGGAATGATATAAATTTATAGTGACTTCCACTGAGGCCATATAGTTTAACGTCCACTAGTCAAATTTTTTTTTTAACTTTGGATAACATTAGACTTTATCCTTCCTACTACTAAGCGAGTTATTCTGTGTAACAAAAGATTTTTATGAACGTGCATTCACCATAGTTACGAACACCAGACACGCCCAGTGATAGAAAATAAGGGATTTTTTTCAAACACAATAATTATCACAAGTTTTTAACGGTAGAACGACAAAATTGTTACATAAATTTTTTACTAGGAGCTGCACAGAAAAAATTGTATAATAAAATTTTGGAAGGGCTGTCAAAATAAAATTTCTTTCTTCTGTCTAAAAAATCACTATTTCACTAAGACTGAACAGGATGCAAATATTTTGGGCTCACTGGCCTCCAAACCTTAAAGCTGTACTTTATACTATCGTTGATTTAACTTGTAAATTTCAGTTTGATTGGAAAGCCTATTTTTATGAAGGGACTGGTAAAACAATTGACGCTAATCTGAAATTTATGGTACTTAACCCTGATAACATCAAAAGGATTGTTCAGTGGCTTACAAAAAAGCCGAGCAGGTATAGGAAAATTTTTTTACAAGTAAGCAGAGTGTTTAAACGCGCTGCTGAAATGTAGGAACGATCGACTTTCTAATCCATTCAGCCAAATTTGTTCTCCTCCTTTTATCTTTTCTCGCAAATTTTGTATTTCAAGTTTGCTGGCAAACGAAATCATTTGGAACGTTATTCGAAGTTTGATACAAACTTTACCAGCGCCGTTCAGAAGTGCATTGGCGATATATGTAAAGGCATCTCTTCCACGATGGAAGGTTTGCAGCTTTTTAACTGACAAAAAAGCTTTCACCTTTGCTACAACACTGCTCTATGTAGAAAAACACTTGTCACAAAGTGCCATGGAAACGGTAAGTTGTTTTTCGTTCTCTTTCCCCTTGTAAACTTAATGCCCGATACCTCCAGAAGGCAAACAGCGATGCCTATACATATACTTGCGGTCTACCCTATACATAGCAACAGCCTTGAAATTGGATTGAATACGTTTTATTAGAATATCTTATTTTTTCGAAAAATGGTAACTTATCGTTCGCCAAAATGGTCGCTTCATGCACAGTGGCGTAATCCCACAAAATATGTCTAACATAATTTGAATATAGGAACAATGTAAAATTAATGATATTTCTATTGGCCTCCATTTCGATTGAGTGTTAAATATTAAGCCAGTTTTCCACTGGGCGAAATTTTTCGATCGAAAGAAAATTTTTCGCTCGATTTTCTTTTTAAATGTGAGAAAGCGACCGAGACGGATGCCCTTGACCGGTCACAATTGAAGAGAAAATCGAGCGAAAAATTTCTTTCGATCGAAAAATTTCGCCTAGTGGAAAACCGCCATTAAATTGCCTTCGTTTGATTAAATTTCAGAAGAAATGTTTTTCGTTAACAATCGCCTTTGTAATTACACTATAATGAGTCGTTTTATTCAATGAAATATTCACCCAGTTAGCCAATAATTGTTAAATAATACACGTATATTTTTTAGGCAGCAGAAATGTTTGCCGAAATAAAAGACCAGTTCATTAGCGGGCTAAAAGAACAAACATGGATGGACGCTGCGACTCGTGCACAAGCAAAGCTTAAGGTATGAACACACTACAAAACTTAGGATCGAGGGTTTCTCAAAGAGGAAGGCGGATTCGCTCTTGTCTCCAGGTTTGCTTGTCAACAATGTATGCATAGAATTTAACTTGTGTTGCAAACAATGTAGTATCAAATTAATATTATGTATGTTTGAGGATGTAAATAGTTTAGCTAATGCAGTACATTATGCTGATTATTGTAAAAAATTATCACCCTTACAACGCGAAGACAATTTTCTAAATTTCTAAGTTGTATTGGGGGAGGATGGCCCTAAATCCCGTTTTTCCCCGTGTAAGATATTGGTGCAGGTTTTCCAAAGAGAAGCCCATAACTTTTGCCATATTGCATAATACATATCCACACTGGTGGTTGAAATTTTCGTTAAATGTGAAAATCCTGTATTAGGGAAACCGTATGGAAGAGGAAACCCTAAGCACACTGCATTGCCTGAATAAATTTTACTTAGTATTTTCAGCTTAAATATCGATTTTCAAAACTGTTTCGTTTGTACGAAGATCTTCCTGAATTCTGAAACGTTTTCATAAAAAATTCCCCACGTATAAAGCACTCGGTTCGGCCTAGTTTCTTGTTTTGTGAAACACGCAATATATTGTATAATGAGGGCAGTATTCCTTTTCAATAGTTGCAGAAGATGAAGGATGTGATTGGATTTCCATCATTTATTAAGAATGCGGAAGTGCTGAATGGATATTATAGTAATGTGAGTAAGTTCCAAAATCTAGTGAGCTGAATTGGGACGATTATAAGCACGTGCATGCCTAACGTTGAAAAGGAACATTTGCAAAGTAGTTTACATTTATAAAGTACAATAACTAAACCGTACAGAAAATTATGTTACCTTTTTTTTGTTATCTATTCAAATCTATTTCAGACAATAAAGTTAATATTAATAGTGTATTTTCTCATGTTGTTTTTCAGTTTTTTGTAAACGAATCTCATTTCCTACAAAGTTATCTGAATGTTGTCAAAGCACAAATTCTGAATAAAATAAAGGGATTTGGATGGAAAGTAGATAAAATGAGGTACAATCTGATTGTGAAGGACACGGAAGGTAGATGGATCAATATAGTTGACCGTCTGGAGGAAATATTAGCCCCCTATCGCCCCCAACTTTTTTAATTTGCCACGCACAGCTAGACTATATAGTTTTACATCGGCAAAAATTGTGATTTTTTTATAAATTACAGGCCCAAAAGCATGTACAAAACGGCTTGGAATCTTATTTTATAATATTAAATTTCGCTGATTGTTGAAGACATTGAGAATTGAGAGAATATGGGATATTATTTTTAGATATTTCTGGAAACATGCCTTTAAATGATTATATATAAAAGAATCAATGGATAGATACATAGACAAATGGATAGTGCATGGTGTAGCTATAGCATCGACAGTTGCGTAGACAACCAGAGAATTTGTCACGCTATGTTAATATTTTGCTGTTCATTAACTTTAAAGACATGAATAATTATGATAACTCGAAATTTACATAGCGGGAAAAAATCGTCAGGCTGGCAACGCCACCGACAATTGGGGGGGGGGTTGCATATCTCATGAATAACATGAATATATGTGCATGGTGATTGTCGTTACAGTCTGCAAACATGAATATGAATAATTAGTTAATCTACCACAAAGAAAACTCGTATTTTAATTGTAATATCTGATTTTTAGATCGACAATTTCATATCTTGATACAAATGCTTACTATCATCCTCAACAAAATAGCATAAGTGAGTTTATTTTTCCTTATTATTTTTCTAAAAAGGAATTAGCTACTTCGTTATAGTTTGCAAAAACTCAAGCGTTTGTCGGCATCACTGAAATAAAATGAAATCGATGAAATCTCACACTCAGCTCATGCATTACAACATTTTATCAAATTTCCTAAGCGGAAGACATATATATATTACGTTTTATATCGAAGTAAGATTCATCGCATGTCTGGTTTACTCAGACTTACAAAAAAGTTTAACCTTCCTCCAGGAAGCATTTCAAGTTTTGAAAACCTTCCTCAAAACGTCGTAGTTGTATTGGTAAATAACATGATAGTACCTGAGAGAAGTTCTAACCATCAAAACGTAATATTGTTTTTTATTGGTACGTGCCCGTTCCTCGCAAACCTTATTCAAACCTTATGGGTGGTGCCCATGTACTCGTAGCTTTTTTACAACTCTGGGTTAACTGCCTTTAACTTATCCACACGTAACATTATTATGCAAACGCGGATAACCGGGAATAACTTCGTGAACGTACAGGTTTTTGATTAGGTAATTTTTTAAACTAAATGCTAAGCTATCTTGTGACATGTTATATGCTCTGTTATCGTTGTTCTTGCAGCTATGTTGGCAGGAATATTAGACGATCCCTTCTACAAGGACGGGAGATTAAAGTAATTTGCTTTGTAGATTTGTTTCCTCGATAATCCAGTTTGAATATATTCATTTAAACATATGTTGTCTTCAATTATTCTTTTCCTTATAGCGCGTTGAATTACGGTTCCCTTGGTATGGTTGTAGGACACGAAATAACGCATGGATTCGACAAGTCAGGTAATATAATCTAACTTCTCGTACTGCGTATACGTTATCAGATATGTTTTCTACTTGACGCTCGAGTTCCTTATTGTATTTACATGCAAATGTACCGATTCCCAATCAAGATAACGGACGACTCGCGCTTTAAACTAATTTTTGATCGAAGTAATGTGTAAGAAGAAAATGAATTACGACGGCTACAGGGAGCAAAGTCAAAATAGTGCTATTGCAAAGTTTGGCCGCAATTTTTTTAAAATAAAGATATAGCTAGGTATAAAGTTGGCACATATTTTGTACATAAACTATATATAGTTACGATTAAATTTTATTTGCAAACAGAGCACCATATAGTCATAACATATATGGTGGCTATCAAGGGTATTTGCGATAGATTAATAAACTCTTACATGCATTCCGTCTGCATGCATCGATATTCGGGAAATATGTGCCATCATGTGTTCCTGCTACATAGTTTCAAAAAATTAAAACAGTTAAAACGTTTACGTATTACGGATATACTTATGTGTACTTGTATATGTTATGGAAGGAGTATACTGTTTTTATGCATGGTTTTTTAAACTACTTCCAGGAAGTGAGTACGACGAGAATGGAAATATCCGTGAATGGTGGACCAAGGAATCGCGTGAAAATTTCAGAAAACGATCGAAATGTATGATTGATCAGTACAACAAAGTCAAAATTTACGGTCTTCAGGTTCGTGTAAAAAATGTGTTGCTTCGATCGTTAAAATAAATAGACTACATAATATGCAAATAATTATAGTATAAGACCGTAGAATTACTTAGCTAAATCACCGTTCCGGAGATTTCTGCATGGCTATATGTTTTGCTGATGAAACACATTTCTTGACCAGTATATAAGAAGTTTGACTATATATGCAAATTTTATAATCAAAGCTATTTAAATCAAGTTAGATGCCCCGTCCTGGTTTAAATGTGGCAATTATTAAAATCCGGTGGTGCTGTCTATGTTCGCCCGTTCAGACCTGGTGAAGAAATTAACCAGATTTAATCCCACCAATATAATAATATTTCAACGGAATCTGTTTTGATCCAAACCAGAAATTAAAAATGGCATGTAGACGTAGAAATACCAAATTAGCAACAAATTATTAAATTTTAATGTATTAGGTGAATGGCATTAAGACGCTGTCTGAAAACATCGCCGATAATGGAGGTTTGAAATTTGCTTTCAGGGTAAGTAGCCATGCAGCTTACATCATATACCTAGATGTTATATGACTTAAATTTTATGAGCTAGTGATTTGACAGATGCAACGAAAAAATGATTTTTAGCTCGCCTGCACTTTAGTGCAAGAGAGCTATTGCTATAGTCTTGGCGTCCGCGTCCCCGTCCCCGTCCCCGTCCCCGTCCCCGTCCCCGTCCCCGTCCCCGTCCCCGTCCCCGTCCCCGTCCCCGTCCCCGTCCCCGTCCCCGTCCCCGTCCCCGTCCCCGTCCCGTCCCCGTCCCCGTCCCCGTCCCCGTCCCCGTCCCCGTCCCCGTCCCCGTCCCCGTCCCGTCCCCGTCCCCGTCCCGCGTCCCGTCCCCGTCCCCGTCCCCGTCCCCGTCCCCGTCCCGTCCCGTCCCCGTCCGTGCACACTACATGATAAGTAGAATGTTAAGATGCCACTTTTATTTTCCCATTATTTTCAACTTATCTACTTAAGGAGTCTATTTGTTGCAAAAGAACCATTTACCAGGGGGGAGTGAACATTATACAACAAAATATAATGATAAGGTCAATGTTAAAATGCTATATTTTTTCTATACTTTGGCTTTACATCAGAGGAATCATTACCAATATAAGTCATCAATATGCATTGTGACTATTTATTGCCATTTGGTACACATTTATACAATAATAAAGAGAGTTTTGCTCAAAATTATCAAATGATAAGGTGAATGTTAAGCTAATTAGCATAATGATAAGGTCACAACCTCGTTCCCAGGGCCTTTTGGGACTTTATAGGGAGGGTTGAGGCTGCGGGGGGGGGGGAGTAGAGGAAAGGCCCTGGGATCGGCCGTTCAAAATACCCACATTTCGTGGGTATTTTGAATAAGCATAATTTATGCCTAAATATTTTCAAAATGGCGGCGTCTAATATTGTCAAGTATATTGGAATTGCACTTAATTCCGCAAACTTTCCGCCATTAAATCTCAAGCCACTTCAAGTAAAGTGTCTGGAGTATATTTTGAATGGCAAAGACGTAATCGGGGTCTTACCTACAGGGTTTGGCAAGTCATTAATTTTTCATATTCTACCGTATTTCATGCCAACTAAGAAGCGCAGCAATATTGTTCTAGTTATTTGTCCTCTAAATTCAATAATTGAAGACCAACTGAAAATCTTGAAGGATAGAGGTATCTCGGCTAATGTACTTGTTGGAAGAAGCAAAGATCGTAGCGAGATTGAAAAGTTGTTCTCATCGTCACCAGCTACTGAAGACAAATCGTCCAACGAAAACCTTAGTCACCTTACTGAGGAAGACTATCAAATCCCGAACGACATACTAAATGGAGAATGTTCGATTGTATTTGCCCACCCAGAAGCTCTATTAAGCAAAGAAGGACGAAAATTAATGACAAGTCAAATTTACCAAGACAATGTTGTAGCTTGTGTAATTGATGAGGCACATTGTGTTGAGCTATGGTAAGAAATTATTAAACGTCAATGATAGCAGCCTTGCTTGCAAAATAATATGTTCATGCAATGCCAATAGATTTCCTTATACCAGATGACCACCTTTTCAAATCTCATCAAATGGGTTATAACTGAAACGCCATGCTTGATGATTGCAAATTAAAATGGCAGTTTCAGTTTATTATACTGTATAAAACTGTGAAGAATTGATCACACTTGTAACCACTCATCAGTATTTGAATAGTATACATTTTGTCAAAATTGTAGTCATCATATCAAAATGTTATATGAAAATATGCAATGCTTGCTATGTACTTATCTGAATATATATTGTATAATGTCACATCCTTTTTCTTGTCAGTGAGGTACTGCATTAATGAATAATTGATTTATTAAATAATCATAATTATTTGGTAGGGGCGAGGAGTTTCGAACAGACTTTAAAGACCTATCCTCACTAAAAGCATTCTTTCCATTGGTTCCAACTATTGCGCTGACAGCAACAGCTTCACCAGTAATGTTGGAAAAGTTGAAAAAAAGTCTTCTGCTTGCCAGCTGCAAAATTGTGTCTGTCAACCCAAACAGAATGAATATATACCTGGAAAAAAATTCGACTTAGCAACAACGTGGGTAATGAGAGTTATAGAGCCATTATTGAACCAATTGCTCAGGAGCTAGCAATTAGAAGAGAGAAATACCCAATGACAATTATATATTTAAAGTTGAAATATTGTGGATATGCTTACTCTCTATTTGAGAGAATTCTGAAGGATGACCAATATGTGGGGAACTCAAAAGAGCCAGCTGGGAGACTTTTTGCACAATTCCACTCCCCACAAACTGACCGTATGAAAAAGGAAATCATAAGAGAGATAAAGAAAGAAGACTCAAGGGTAAGAATAATATTTGCAACTTCTGCTATTGGAATGGGAGTGGATTCACCATATGTCACAAGTGTCATTCATATCTCACCACCAAGCACACTTGAGGCCTACATGCAAGAGATAGGACGTGCTGGTCGAACTGTAGGCTTACAGGCTAAAGCAACCCTTTATTACAACAATTCTGACATTAGCAAAAACATATTACACGTACAACAGTGTATGAAAGATTACTGCCAAGCTTGCGACACATGTTTGAGAAAGGTCATTGTAGAGTATTTTGGATTTAATTTAGTGAAACAGAGCAATTGCTGCAGTATTTGTGATGAAGGCAGTAAGACCACAGAAGACACATTCTCTCCAAATATAAAAAAGCCCGGGAACTACCCATGGAAAACAGGATTCCTCTAAAAGAATCAATAAAAGCAATTTTGCACAGCTCTTCAAAAACATTGCAGTCTATACCCATGCTTGATGTCCCATTGTTAAACATAAACACCATGACTGAAAACATAATAGATGGTATTGAATATATCGCAAGAGAGTGCGATCTGTTATGCACATTTGGGATATGGGATGAAACTTGCTCATCCCAGATATTTTCTGTTATATGTGACCTCACAGTTTTGACATGATGTTTGTAATGCAAATAGCAACTTTCAAACTGGAGGAACAATGACAATGATCAAAGTATGTATTGGTAATAGTTTTGTTAACAGATTAACAGAAAAAAAATTTGTTAACAAATTAACAGACAGCTTTGGGAAAACTATGTAAATTTTATTACAGTATATAAACACAAACCACAGAGTGCTGTCTGTGTAAATCATAGAGATCATAAATAACACTAAAGTGGGAAATTTACATTGTCAGTCAAACAAAGGGAACACAATAATATGTGGCAAAAAAATGGAAGTGTTAAAAAAAAGCCAAGTTTGATTCAAAATTTCTATTTAGTTCATATCCATATTTTGTTTGAGTGTTTGACCTTATATGTTATGGTGGAATTGATTCCAACATACAATCAAATAAAAATATATAGGTTAACTTGAGAGTTCTTTCATGTGTTTTGCTAGCCACTGATGGAATTCGACAATGTTCAGATATTTCAGAGGACATTGTTTAATTTCAGGAAAACTCTCATGACATCTCAAGGGTACATGAGTGAAAGGATTGAGGTTTAAAAGATCTGCAATCATTTCTTTTTCATCTTCTAGGGAATCCCGAGATGTATGCTGGACAGATTTTTTGTGAATTCCAATAGAACAATCAACTGCTTCTGTAACTTGACTTATCCCTGTTGTTGCTCTGCAGATTTTACTAATGGAGTTCAAAGTTTTGTTTGCACCCATGCGTTGGACAATACTCTTTGACACTTTGTTGTATATTTCCTGTGCCAAGTCGTCCTCAATATTCTTCCCTGCACCTCCTCGATAGTTCACAAAGAATCCCCATTTGAATTCTTCTGACAATCTAGGGGTCAAGAGGCATTCAATCTGTGCTATGCTAACAAACATCTCGATAGCATATTTGCTGTAACTTCCCATTGATTTGAATACAGCCAGTAACAGTTTTTGATTGATCAGATTTCTGTTGCCATCAGCTTCTTTAGCAGTATCTTTCATTTGTAATAGCAGAATAGACAAGAAGATGAAACACAACCCATAGTTCATGACATAGTCTTCATCATCATACGACTCGTTGGTACCTTTCTGCAGGACCATTCTGTCAACGAATTGCCCAAAAACATTGTCATAGTATCTTGTCTTGCTTTCTTTGTTTGCCCTCCTGATGTTGTCGGGGAAAACATGGTCAGTAGGTTTGTCGTCAAGCTTTTTCATACCAAAAAACTTAAGAACAGCAGCAACAATGTAAGCTTTTCCCACGCTTATAAACAAGTCCTCGCTTCCTTCGTAAGAGTCAAGAACTTTGGATGGTGTAGCATTCTTACGGTGATACTTCTCTCTAAAATACTTTAATGTCCCAACCTGGTTTACGGACTCTGATTTGTGAAGAAATGAATACGAATATTGGAGAAGTGAAGCTTTGGTATGCCACATCACAGGTTTGAAAGGCGAGCAATGCTCAAACCTATCTGAAGGCGTATGAGACCCTGACAAAAGATCCTTCGCACCAGCAAAACGCACTCTCGTTAACTGATCCCCGGCAAATGCAATCTTCATATCTCTCATTTGATCATTCGGAGTTGCTGCTTGATGGGCATGCGTCTGACCAGGGGCCGCAGGTCCAGCAGGCACTGGTGGATTCTCTATGGGGGGCATTTCTTTGAGAAAACCAGCTTGAACATATATTTCAGAAATCCACTTTTCGTAAGTACGAAGGATGGAAACACAATCTTCATATTTTGCCTCATTGGCATTTATTATAGGCATGCTAACAATGGTTGACTGCTGTTCCATTTCTTTACTGTAAACATGTGAGATATGTTCCGGAACAACACCATTTAGAAACTTGAAATGGGGAAGATATTGAAGAACAATCCGACCTACAATAACCTTGGCATTGTTTGCATACTGTTTCCACTCATTTACATTTAAAGAAAATGTGGAACGTGGAAGGTCGTCAATGTTCCTCTTTGGCATATCATTTGGTAAGTGATTGAATGTCAATCTGTTTTCAATGAGATTGGTGGCAAACAAGTGAAGATCTTCATTATGAATGTTCTTTCGCATACTACCTTTCAGAATCCTTAGATCCCAATTATCTCCTGTACCACGGAATACCTTTCCTTTCCTGATCTTATTGACAACTTGATCAGAAAAATGGCCTCCAAGCATCCTGATGAGTGCATCCCTTCTTGATGTGGACAGACACACCCCAAGCTTGTTCAATCTTTCTTGTAACTACCAGAAAAAATACACCTTTGCCTTTCTTTAAGCAGAGATAGAAATTCATTAAAGATAATCTTGCACTTTCACAATTTCACAAAAAAGTACAAATTATCTTAAGTGAATTTTTATTTTTGCTTAATGAAGGGCAAGTGGAAGGGACATTTCTGTGCAATATTAGCAAGGTTATCTGCGTGTAAAGCCCGGATCAAACGAGGACGAAAGTCCATCGCAAATTCAACTTGCGAAGTACTTGAACTTCCTGTTCAAACGTTTTAAAAAATTGCGATGAAAATTTTAAATTATTCAATGTTGTCGGAAGTCAACTCAAGTCATCGCAAGTGGACAGTCACACGAGGTACAAGCATGCACGCGCAAAACCTGAAGCAAAAACTTGCGATGGACTTGCGTTCTAGTTTGATCCGGCTTAGCCCCGAGACTGGTTGACATTTACAGTCCATTAAACATTTTTACAGACAGTAATAATATGCACGTGCCTATACTCAACAATCAGAAAATACATGTTTGATTGATTCGTTAGGCAAATTTTAATTTGCGGCGATTCGAATGTATTTTGCATTTCTGTGCGAGCATGTTGATAAACAAGATGCGAGTCATGCGACCCTTCATGTAGCATTATAAACAGGGAATGAAACTTTATTTGCCCTACATTCTAGACAGAAATCTCCTAAAGAAAGTAAGTTATAAAAGCTGATTTACAAAATTTTCCTCAGTATCGGATCGAAACAGAAAGGAAAGTTTCTTTTAATATCACAATACAGTGTTTGTTAATCTGGGCATACATAACTTTCTGAATAAAAAAAATTCTGAATAAAAAAAAACTGAAGAAAAATTTTTATGTGAAAGAACATTACTATTTCCAATTATCTCCAAACATTTTAGAACTCCTATCGTGAACGCGTTGACTCGTATTGACTACGTAACTATATTGACTCGTATATTTTAGCCATCAAGTTAAAAATCAGATACATTTCTTAATAACTTAATTATCAATTTTGAATTATTCGCAAAAGATGAAATATGACAAGTTTTCAATAACAGCATATTTTACGAAATTGACAGGCTTTTCAAAACTTGTCAATTTCATAATATCATTAGTAACAAGGTCACGAACAGTTAAAAATCAACATAAAATTGACGGGAAAATCGCTCGTGCATTTGTAAAAATTATAATTTATTGAAGTAAAATGAAATAAAATAATCATGATTAAATATAATTTAATAATATTATTATATGTATACTACTTGTCAGTCTTATGGTAATATATATACGCCAATCCGATTGAAAAATATACGCACAATTTTAGTACAATGTCAAAGCTATTTTTAAACAGTCACGATAACATGCCTAATGAATGAAAACCCGCAAGTATAGCAATACAAAACGCAATTTAGTGAAAACGTTCTATTAGCTGAGGCTAGAATCAGGAATAGCTTAATTAAGAAATAAATATTTAAAGTAGGGATTCCGAGGGGAGTTCACTTCAAACATTTTTCTATATTGTTATTACTGTACCTGTTTAGTACATCCACCCTCGATAACAAGGACTGTGTTCACACGCTTGACGAGATTCAATTCATGCCATCTTTCACTCATCAGAATGGAGTAGATAAAACTATACTTGATGCGTAAACTTTCGCCAATGTCATCAATACTTTTTCCATCTCGATCAGCTACCGCATTCAAAAGCTCTATTAGCACGGGAAAATTATTTTTAAGTTCAATCCAAATCTTGTCATAGTTAAAATCTGTCAAACTTTCATAGCCATTGCCATATAAGATAGAACCTTCTGAGCGCTTGCAAAGTTTGGAGCTTGAGAAGCTAATATATTTAACTTGTAACTTTCGCAAAGCATTGATAACATTGTCACAGTGTGCTTTCAGAATAAATGCTAGAACATTTGCATCCTTCGAGTTGATAGCTCGGGTTAACATCTGCCGCTGCTTCTCACTCAAAAAATGCTCGGTGTCTACTGGTCCTTGATCGTACTGAATTGGAATGGGTAAGTTGCTTGTTGGACATTGTTGTTGGGCCGGTTTTTCGAATAATAATTGCCTGGATGAACTATTTGGAGTTAGACGCTTTAATTGTGGTTGTCGAGTAGAAGGTGACACCTCAACACAACGCTTTACAGAAACAACATCGTCAACGAATTCGTCGTTTTGTAACATTCGCACTTTAGTTATAAACTCGCATATCTTGTTCACGAACGACACACAAGATCTACACAATACCTTTGAATTCCTATCGTTTTCGTTAATGCGTATTCCACACGAAAACTCGACTTTCTGGCAGAGCTCTTGTTCTAAACCAGCTTTAGTGAATATTCTGATCACATGTCGTCTCTCTTTTGCCTCATGACAAAGTCTACAAACGGGATTCCTTGCCGAAATTTTATTTGGAGTCTTGTTCAGTTCTGCCATTTTATACCGCCCTTTGATCGCACCCCAACTTATTTATTAGCTCGGTTCGGAATAATTACAAAATATTCCGCTAATTACACATAAATTAGGAAAATCATTTAACCAATCAGAAGTCAGAAGCGGCTGGCCGATCCCAGGGCCTTTCCTCTACTCCCCCCCCCCGCAGCCTCAACCCTCCCTATAAAGTCCCAAAAGGCCCTGGGAACGAGGTTGGATAAGGTCAATGTTAAGATGTTATATTTTTTAAATATTTTGGCTTTGCATCAGAAGATTCATCATAAATATAGCTCATCAATATGTCTTGTGACTATATGGTGACATTTAGTACACATTTACACAAAAATAATGGCAATTTTGTTCAAAATTATCAAATGATAAGGTGAATGTTAAGCTAATTAGCATAATGATAAGGTCAATGTTAAGATGTTATATTTTTTAAATATTATGGCTTTACATCAGAGGAATCATCATAAATATAAGTCATGGATATGCATTGTGACTATTCAGTGCCATTTGGTGCACATTTATACAATAATAAAGAGAGCTTTGCTCAAAATTATCAAATGATAAGGCAAATGTTAAGCTTATTAGCATCATGATAAGGTCAATGTTAGAGTTATCCAGAGTTATCACGCTCATTACGATTTTCAGGGCTATTGCGTAGCCCTGTTTTTTTTAGTTCAAAGTTGTAGCTGAATCATATTTAACGAAAGTATTTGTACAACCCTAAGCCAAATGAGAAAACTTTCAAATATTTTCACCTGTATGCTACCATTTGTTTGTATTGTACATGTACAATTATAAATTATGAGATTGTGTTGTGACATGCCGTATCAAAATTCAATCGCTTAATATAGAAATCATTCAGGGAGTGAATATAAATAAAACATAGTCCAACGTTAAAGTTTAAAGAATATTGTCAGATAATTCGCAATTACAAGCTTTAGCACATAAGTATTTATAAGTAGAAAGCCGATAGGCTCGGAATGCAAAGGCAAATGGCAACGCATGTGACATATATTTGCATATTATTTATGTAGATACACATCATGCAAATATATTAAAGCACCTATAAGATTTATGTACATACCTTTTCGTTGTTTGATGCATAATCCTTTTTTGTGTAGATATAAAAATCCAATCTTGTTTATTTCATAAAGCTAGGCGCACACACGACGATTTTAGTCTGCCGATTCCTGTATAGATTGTCTAGATGGATGTTTTCATCAAAATGTGGCGACTGGCGAGTGGCGATCTATACCAGCCTCGTACCCAGGCGCTTTAATAGTAAAATATATAACGTTGCATCTATACTTGATCATAATATTAGGGTTAGACCAAGTAGACTCGCGTACACGCGCGAGGCGCGAGCGCCGCGAGAAGGAAAACATGTCTGGGCAAGGGCTGCCTGTATGTCTAAACCTGAATGGACCAACTACCGTAAAATCGTTGTGTGTGCGCCCGGCTTACAGCAGGGACTTTTGCCTGGTCCGTTAACTTACCTGTTGATATCACGTGCGCGGATTGCGAGAAACGGAAGAAATATTGGTCACAAACAAAACTAATGTAATTCCGAGGCCAGTTTTGGCCAGTAATTCTGAGGTCACAACTAATATCTGAAGTTTGTGCTTAATATTACCTTCCAACGCGGATTTTAGCCTTGTAATTTGTAATAAAAAGATCGGTAATTTGTGCTTCATACAGATACCATTCATACAGAGTTTAGCCTTATTCTAGACAAACAGTGCAGGCGAGCGATAGGTGATTTCAGCACCTCTCTGGTAAACTGAGCTCTATGCCTATCAGTCGCCGTTTTTGAAGCTTAAACTGGTCGCAATCCGGCTTTAAATGAGGCCGCAGAATAGACGTCAATTATCCATCTGGCCTTTTTTGTTCAAGTTCAATGTTATTTAATGAGCAATGCAATGTTTTTTCTTAGGCCTATCAAAAGTGGCGGAAAGCAAATGGAAATGAGAAGACATTGCCAGCTCTTTCTAAGTTCACCAATTACCAACTTTTCTTCATCAGCTTTGCTCAGGTAGTTATTTTACCCAGAACATCAGTGACGAACATTAATTTCCCAGTTTAGATGATGTACCAATCATTAACGAAATTCAGAAGCTGCATGGCCCTTGATTTTAACTAGCCTGTACTGTCTTCGTTATCAGTCATTCTAAAATGAATTTATATATTAAAACTTCAATGAAGCATAGCGAGATTATAACTCGTAATAGGACTCAGTCATACCACTATGAATGAACATAATCATCAAAGGTGCAAGAATGGACTGCACCTTATGCACCATATGCACATTACAATTTGGATTACACAATCCATCCTTTCCAGAATTCAACGTCTTGCTCATAGACCCATGCATCTCTATTCGAAAATATACGGTGCATATAACTAAGATTGCGTTCAGACTGATTGAACACTGGTTCATAAAACATGCTCACAGTGCGCTTGTTGAGTGCTACCTCTGGACGTAGTGCCTGTTTCTGGGCACCCCTGCCCAATTTCATTTTGAAGGTTGCCCGCTCTTATAGGCACCAGAAAAACTGAAAAAGTGACGGCCAACAGTGCCGGGCACTCAGTCTGAAGGCAGCCTAATTTGACTTCACTTGTAGAAAACTCGGTAACATGGGTGTTCGTGTGCCGTTTCTCCAGCTTGTAGATAATTAAACAACTGTTCTCAAGCGGACATCCCTGGATGAATATTTCAATAACATCGCATCATTTCTTTTCTCTATTTTTTTTTCAGACATGGTGCGCTAAATATAAATCAGTTGCACATCTGAAAGCTAAAATGAAAACAGATACCCATTCGCCGAATCCAGCCAGGTATGCCCATCACATTTCTTTCACTTCTAGATCTCTGTGCAAAAGTAAATTATGTTACACGTAAATGAGGATAGTCATTGCTAAGTTTTTTATTCAGGCAATAATAGGCTAGTTCCTTATCTTGCACGTTCGTGTGTGCATCCTACATCCAGTGGCGGATCTAGGTAGGGGTAGTCTAATATATATTCTATATAGGAGTAGAATATATTACTACAACTTACATTTTTAGCTACAGCTACAGCTTACTAGATTTTTAATTTAAAAATATTCTTTCGAAATCCATCACAAATAGCGTTGTTGTTAAGGTGTACTGAGTTTAAAATTTAGCTGTGTAATTTATTCTGACTTCCCCTAGATTCGCCACTGCCTACAACGAATTGCTTACGGAAAGCTTATTATTCGAAATTCGAGGTCTATAAACAAGCGAAGATACAACGAGAATTTAGGAATCACGCTTTTTTGTCGACGTTAGCGATCAAACTTTATCCCTCATATATACAAAAGCCCGCGCTTATATATCCTTGCCATTTTTGCATGATTTTATGTGCGATTTTTTCCTTTTCATAGTTGCGATTGAGTTAATAAGTTATGGATGTACAAATAAGGACACTTATACCACAGAATACCTATCAGAAGTAGAACTCCTGTACTTTCTTCAGGCTTCTTTGATAGGGGGGTGACTGCCTCAAAAAAATGCACTTGCTAAGTGACGAATCATGACGAATCACACTTACGAAAAAATAGTATAGAGTTATTCTTCTGATAGGTATTCTGTGCTTATACATTAGAGCATTTATAGGTTTTTGCTCGCCTCCATCCAGTGTCAAAAGAAGAAAATCGATATATATATATTTATTTATTCATTATTTATTTCAAAACTTCATGTACATGAAAAACAACGACACATACATAGGCAGGTGACAACAGGGCTATAACACCCTAGCTAAGGCCACCCACCTCTATTTAAAAACGAAAACAGACATAAGGACAGACGGACGGACAGAAAGACAAACGGACGGACATGATCTAATACTAATCATGATCTAACAGCAAGATGAGTCAAGTGACGGTTGGAAGAAGTTTCTGATGGTGTTGCAACGTAGACATATCGATCGCCAGGTTGAATTGATGTCAATGTCGTAGATATTTCGAAGAGCGGAGGTGTATGTAGTTTTAAGGATTGCTTTAAAAGTGTTATATACAGGAATTTCTTTTAGAGGTGTAGGTAAAGTGTTCCAGAGTCTTGAAGCGCGAACAAAGTAGCTAGTTTGAAAGCATTTAGTCCGAGATTTTGGAACTTGCAGATTTGAAGAGCATGAGTTTCTGAGGTTGTTAGGTGGTAGTGTTGGCAGATAGTTTGGTAAATCAATGTCATATTTTCCATAAACACATCCATGTAGAAATAGTAAGTCCTTGATTTCATGCCAGTAGGAGAGAGGAAGCAGATTTGTCCGGGTTAAACGTTCTTGATATGGAACAGAGAACCTGGGTGTGCCAAGAATATAAGATGTAGCCCGCCGCTGAACTCCCTCGATGTCCTTCATTTAGCTGATGCTCTGTCCAGACCAAACTTCGCTCGCGTAGTCGACATGGGGACGCACAAGAGTCAGGTAAAGCAATCGCTTAGACTGCTCACTAAATGACTTGGTGTGCCGCTTCAACAGGCCAAGCATCCTGCACGATTTACCCACTGCAGCTGATGTATGCTGACTCCATTTGAGGTCGGATGTCACCAGGACACCGAGGTCTTTTTGGCTCGTGGTGGATGTTATAGCATGGCTACCTACCTTATACCCAAAGCACACCGGGGTTCTCTTTCTGGAGATGGTGAGTGATTCACATTTCTGTTGGTTAAATCTCAAATGCCACTGTTGACTCCATTGAAACAGAATATCAAGTGCTGCTTGAAGAGAGTTGGCATCCAAGGTGTCACGAATAGTTTTTGAGCACTTCGTATCGTCAGCGTAGAGGTAGAGAGAAGAGTCGTCAACGGCGGCAGAAGGAAGATCGTTTACGAAGATCATGAACAATAACGGACCCAAGATGGAACCTTGTGGTACGCCAGAGATTACGGGAAGAGGAGAGGAAATATGTCCATCCACAACGGTTCTCTGTACTCGATTGGATAGATAGCTTGAGAACCAACTGAGAACACTTCCGTCAACACCATACGATTTTAGTTTATGGACGAGGAGAACATGATTAACGCTATCAAAGGCTTTGCTGAAATCAAGATAAATAACGTCAGTCTGCAGACCTTTATCAAGAGCACAACCAAGTTCGTGAAGGAAGCACAGCAGTTGAGTAACTGTTGACCGACCACTGAGGAAGCCATGCTGAGCATTGTGCAGTTGTGGAGCCAAGTGAGCGATCAGCCTCGAGAAAACACAACGTTCCAGCACTTTGGAGACGATGCACAAGAGAGATATAGGACGATAGTTGGAGATCATCTCTTTGCTACCTTTCTTATGCACGGGAACAACGTGGGCAAGTTTCCATTGCAAGGGTAAGTAGCCAGTTTGAAGAGACAAGTTGAAAAGAGAACACAGCGAGGGAGCAATTTCATCAGCACACTCCTTGAGTAACCTGGCAGGAATACCATCAGGACCATGAGTTTTGTTGGTGTCAAGCTTGTGGAGTATGGTGGCGACTTCCTCGCTGGTGAGAACAATCGTATCCAGTACTAGTCCAGTAGAAGAAGAATCGGGACCTACATCAACATCAGGAAGAAACAGTTCATCAGAATTTGTGGAGGTGAATGAAGAGAAGAAATAATCATTGAATGCCTCCGATTTCTCTTTCGTGTTGCGGTAGTAATGTTCATCGAGTTTCACAATGTTCGGAATAGAGCCAGATCTTGTGCGGGATTTTAAATAGGACCAAAAACGCTTCGGGTTATCTTTAAGAGAAGTTTGTAGAGACTGGATGTAGATACTGTGTTTCTTCCTGATGGTTGACTTAACCAAACGGCGAAGATGACGAAACTTTTCCCAACATGAGCTGTCCTTACCACGAGATAAGGCCTTCCTTCTGGCTGTCTTCTTTTGGCGGAGTAGATGCATGACTTCACCATCAATCCACGGAGGACTATCACCACGGATTTTTCTTTTCGGAACGTGCCGATCGACCGCTGACGTAAACAGGTCATACCAACGTTGCCAAGCAAGGTCAATGCCACTGACGCCATCCACGGGATCATCAAAGGTTGTGTTCCGCAGTGTGTCCCTAAGAGCCAAGAAGTCAGCGTTCTTGTAGCTGTACACCATGCGGGATGTTTTTGCAAGAAGTTGTGGTTTCACAGTGAAGTCAAACACCAACAAGGAATGATCTGTACGGAACTGCGTCTCATTAGGAGGTAAAATATCAAGGTTTATGACATGTTCTGGGAAGTTAGTAATAATTAAATCCAGTATGTTTCCATCAGAAGAACCAGCACTTGATGGTCTTGTTGGACTAGCGACAACTTGTGTCAGAAAATAGTCATAAAGAGTTTCGCAAAATAGAGATTCATCACTCGTAGGCGACGTGAAACAAGGCGACGACCAGTTGATAGTTGGAAAGTTAAAATCACCAAGAATTACGATCTTCTTGTTGGAATGTAGAGTGTCCACTTTCTGGAGAAAGGATGAAAACCCACTGACGAAATTTAATGAACATTCCGGAGGTCTGTAAAATGTCGCAAAAATAACATTTGGCGCATCTGCCAGCTCAATCTCAACCACTATCATTTCAAGTTCAACTTCAAGATCCAAACGACGACACGATATGAGGCTATTTTTAACCATTATAAGAACCCCACCGGCTCTTCGCCCGTCATGCCTATCATTACGGTAGCACGTGTACGAGAGATCTGCCGAAAGTTCACTGTCCCGAATGTGTGGACCAAGCCATGTTTCCGTTATCGCAAAAACATCAAAGTTTTTGGAGAGCACGAGTTGGTGAAAGCTGTCCAGTTTATTACACACAGATCTAACGTTCATAAGACCACATTTCATTGATGATTTCATTGAACGATTGCGTTTGATGTATGTCTGACCATATGGGACACCGGGTCCAGGATTAGTTTCCACATCACCTGACAGGCCAATAACCAATGCTGAGATGTAAAGGTAGCAACATATCCGGAGACCAAACGATAGTTTTGCTTTCAGCGGTAGTGAATGTAGTTTTACCATCTTTTTTCTTGGGGCGAACGTGCGAATTTTAACAGGCAAAGAGATGTTGATATCCACATGCAAGAGTTCAAGGTTCAGTGAACATGAAATACAGCGTTCCCGACGAGTAAGACCATAAGCCAGAGTGAATAGATGAAGGAAACAAACCAGCGCAAAACGCCATCTCATTCTGTTTCTAATTGGCATTTTAGAATAGTTCTTGATCCAAGTGAGTGTTCTAATTAGGTTGACGTTGGATTCTTGATTTCTTGTTTGCGCACGTGACCAAGAGACGATGATGACGAGATACGTAACGGTTAGCTGCTTGCGCACGCGACAACCAACAAACGCACGAACGCAAACACCAAATTAAAAAAGTTTATATGAAAATAACGGTACACCACCAAGAAGATAATTAAAAAAATACACAATAATTCTTTCACTCCACACAAACTGTAATTGAAAATGATGTAGACCAAGTACTTATCTAACACTGTATGTAGTTGATATTCCAGTTGAGTTAATATTTGCAAGTTAATTTTAGCAATAATGCGGAGCGGCCAAGATTGCTTCCGCAATCAACCACGACCGCTGACCAGTTCAATATATATATATATATATATATATATATATATATATATATATATATATATATATATATATATATATATATATATATATATATATATATATATATATATATATATAACAACATGTGTAAAACAATGTGCCCTCCCGGCTATATATATATATATATATATATATATATATATATATATATATATATATATATATATATATATATATTCCGGCTATATATGTAATATATATATATAATATATATATATATATATATATATATATATATATACACCAATTTGCAAAAACGTTGGCCGCAGATAGATAGATAGATAGATAGTCAAGTCTAATTAGAATTGCATATGATTACATTTGCATGGGATTTCAATCATATTACACAACATATGCAATTCAAATGAGATTTCGAGTATCTATCTATATATCTATCTGCCGCCAACGTTTTTGCAAACGGGTGTATATATATATATATATATATATATATATATATATATATATATATATATATATATATATATATATATATGCACCCGTGTGCGTATACATATATATGTATAAATATACAGTTTTTCAATCTGAAAAGCGCATTAAATATAATTTAAACGATTTCAGAATCTTTGGTTTCGGCAAGTTCGACATCAAGTTCATTGCATGAGCCTGAACAGCGATACAAGAAAGATTTTACTACATTTGAAAACGAAATTTCAATGTTCTACCCAGTCTATTCTCTAAGGTTTCCTTCATCTCCCTCATTACATTTAGAGCCCTACCTTCTCAGGAAGTGTGTTTCGAACGGAGGGGTACCGTATGATACTTGGCAGTAATAAATACTTACGCGGTGTATTCCTACAAGCTAAATTACTTATTGACTGTCACCATGCGAACATACAAGAATAGAGTAGTACTGTGTTACTTACAATAGAAATTTTCTCTTGAATTTTAGAGTTCGAGTTACACTACACAACTCTCCCGAATTCCGTGAGGCATTTGGATGTCCAGCTCCAAAAAACACGTGCGCGGTTTGGTAGTTGGTGTGAGAGTGCTCTAATTTTTATTTACAGACAAATAGTATTGCAAATTCAGTTCCCACTTAGATGCAGGGGCGCACACTATGGAGTATAAGTACGCGGAGAGGGTATAGTCACCCGTATTGCATGGGACCAAGAAAGCTCCGCGAAAACCCGTCTGGGACGAATAATGTTGGACCAGCCTAACTACCTGTCTACCTTTTCAGTTACCTGCCATACGTATCTGTGAAGAAGTTTTTATGGGAAGACTCGGAAATGCCCGTTTACTAAGATCTAGTCAACCAACATTCCGTTCAAAATTTTCACAGATCACTCTCTTAAAACCAAACCCTTAGTTTTCATCGGTCAATCGAATTAGTTTACGTTCGTATGCCTTTGCTTGTAAAGCATATGCATCGAAGTACTAAATAAAAGCACTCCCAGCACCCCCCGGTGCACCCTACATTTTTTATGTGCGCCCCTGAGTAGATGGCCTGACTCATGATATTAGAAAAAACCTAGTGAACACAAGCAGTATAGTGTTAAGTCTAGTTATCTATACCTTTAAGGTGTGAATTCAATATTGTTTTTTTTGGCATTCATAGTTTATTACTATATTCTAATCCTTACGATGTTTAATTAACGTAATATGCATGCTTTATTGAAATTTAAAAAGTATTTGCAGTTTCTTAGCCTCATTGTGGTATAAAATGTCCGGGCAAAATGCGGGCCGCAAAGCCTAGCACTTTTGATGCTTATGCTAATATAGACCCCTTACAGAGTTACCGGTACTCCAGATTCTTTCCTGTCTTACTAGAAAGAGTTATTATGTTCTAATTCTTATCGCTGACAAGTGTCATTGACTGAATATTTTAGCTCGGTTGTTCAATAAATAGATAATTTTGCTTTCCTTAAAAACGGTGACGTCATGCACGAAGGGGCTAACCCATGTTTAAACCGATGGGACACTATACCCGAACAGGGCCATACCAAGCTGCCCGCCTAAAAAAGTGCAACTTACAATTTTTAGTTGTATGTAATGTCATGTTTATAAAAATACACTGTACCCCATTCAAGAAACATCACTGTCCCCCCAGTGCCAAACATCACTGATTTTAGCAAAGATTGCTGGAATAAGTGGAATTTCGGGGGTGTTCAATAAAATTTGCCCATCAGGGGCCGGTTGTATAAAGCCCGTTTAGCTTAAACGGTGGATCAGTCAAAATTAACTTGAATATTGTGCACTGAATATGTAGTTGTAAACAGTATCTTTGAATAAAACGATAGACTTGCTTTCTATTTTGAACTTAACAACCGTTTAAGCTAAACGGGCTTGATACTACCGGCCTCAGATTAAAATGTTTCTAGGGTGCGTTTGCCCTCTAGCTCCCCGCTTGTGCACTCACCTGCATGGACGCCATTGTCAGGTTGCTATTAATTCAAGTCAATTATTTTAAAATTTAGTCAGAATTTCGAAATTTATGAAAATTTATTATATTTGTTAAAATTTAGCATGCAAATATACGTCGACCGTTTGCATTCCGGCCTGCTGTCACTGCTGTGTGACTTTATCATATTTTACTCCGCGTGGGCCAGTTTGATCATATGTAGGTTTTCAGCCTCGGTTCTAAAATTACGCTATCCACTCTACCTTAATAAACATGGCAAAATTACCTTTTAATTTGCTGGAAGAACCTGAAACACGACAGCCTTCGAAAGTACGCATAGTATTGTTTATATTGGTTATACTGCTGCTGCTTATGTCTGTAGCCTTCATTGTACTGTATGTCGTAGAGAAGACACAGGAGAAAGCGACCGATTTATCAAGTGAGACAACCATTAATGGGACATGCATATCTCGTGGTTGTGTCACTAGTGCTGCAGGTATTGTAGAACTATTCCGTTTATTTGATATGACTATACACAATCATCACCCGAACGATTAAATGCCGTAATGTTTTAATACAGAGTTTAGCCCGCCAACAAATTAATGCATTTAGTCTCGCTCTCTCATAGGGTTTGTTCGGTGACATGGTTTTGGATTATAACTTTGAGCCCGAAAAAGTGCGTTGTTATTTTTGCCTATTTTAGTCTGTTTAATTTTGTGAAATAACATTGACGTCCATGTTTACACGGTTGCAACCATGAGCATTAATATAGTGTTGAGCATGAGTTTGACGGGAAGTATAGCATTATGGCGTAATCTTATCAGGATTAACATCCCACTTGTGATGTAATATTAACGATTCTTAACGCATGAACAGGTAAATAGCTATAATATACAGCATATATTGTAATTATGGACTATGCAGTACTGCCAAGTCAATAAGGCCATGATCCGCTTTTGTATAAACTATAAAGGGGCATTAATTATTTATTAATAATGCAAGCACATTTCGAGGTCAGAAAGAGGTCAGCTTTGGCATTAATTAATTGGGCAGACCATTGGCAGTGATATTGCAGGAAAGAGGGTGCCAACAACTCAAACAAGGCCCAAATCCGCCCAATAATCACAATAAAAACATTTTCACAGGCTCTAATCAGCTAGCTAACAGTAACTGACCATGCAGAAATAGCCTTTATTGTTGCAAGCTTGCCTGGACTGATATAATCATTTAATCTTTAAGTTTAAAACTTAGACTAACTTGATCTAGATAATTACAACTACATGGTATAAAATTAATATCATAACTTTCAGGCTATACATTTTGTGAATGCTGTCTACCCTTAGCGCTTATAGATGCACTATGCATTTTTGGCATATTCAACACACCAGAAATGTGTGAAAGTGATGCCCCATGATTTTCTTTTTACTGAGTATATTCATATGAGACTTCAAGATTACTTAATTAACTAGTAGTTGTTTATCTAAAACCGGCTCATATGAGATCATGAAGTTATAAGATGCCTAGACAAAAGGCATGCTTGCTTTTCAGGTCCTTCTTACTAAGAGTAAATTAGGTTTGAAATGAAGATTCTAATTTGCAATTGACTGAAAAACAAATGCCTGCTAAATGCTGGAGTTAAATGAAATAAAGAAAATGATTCAAATGTCAGTTTTGTTTAACACCTGGCTTCTGATTGGTTGATTTTTGTACTCGGATCAGCTGGAAACAGTGAGAATTTCAGTTTGATATGCTTCCTTTCTAGGTTTCACCAGCCCTTCTTCTAGGTTTGCCTGCCTTTTCTCTGTTTTACCTACCTAAACTGCCTAGTTTCATCTTCATATCTTTTTTGACACTGCTCCTTGTCCCAGTTTAGTCAATCCTTCTCATCCTAATGACCTGCTTTCAATTTCATTTTCACTAACCCTGACCTTGCCTTGTTCCCAACTTCCTCCTAGTCCCACCAAACTATTCCAGACCACCAATTCCTCTCTCAAATTAACAAGCCTCACATACAGTTGACATTTCTCCTTCCTTCCATAACCACCACCCATTCCCCATCCTTTTTTTTCAAATGACCATCCTTTTTTGCCCAATGGTTATTCACCATGATAAGCAATTCCTCTCTGCCACCCCCCTGACGATTCTTGGCCATATCTACCACCCCCTGTTTTTCATCCTTTTATTATTAACTGTTTTTCAAAATTATACTTAGACATGATCAGAAAGCTTGACGAATCCACGAAGCCATGTGATGATTTTTATCAGTACAGTTGTGGTGGATTCTTAAAAAGAACTCATCTACGAGAAAATCAAGATCAAAGTGGTGGTGACACTGAATCGGCCGAATTCATTCAGTATTCTCTGAAGGATATTTTCGAGAATGATAAAGTAATGTTAGATTACTCAAAGGTAACTCCATAATATTTCAATTTTATTGGTATGTATTTCACCATTGTATCTAGAGTATGGTGGTTCATGATATCATCGGTGTTGTAAAAATGTATGTTTTTTAAAAAGTGAATTAGTATATTAATAAAATAAATATATATATATATTTAACAATTAGACAACGAGTCCGAGTTGGCTTCGCTCATAGACAACGAAAGCGAGTTGTCTAATTGTTTTAGTATACACCCTGTGCCTAGATATATTAATTTCGAGAAAATAATCAATACACCGCAATTACACCGAAAAATAATTCAATTTTATACGGTCGCGCTATCGAAATTTTCCCAACCGTGCACCATCACGAATAGACAATGGTTGAGTAGCCAATCAGAATATAGGATTTGTAATAGACATTTAGTCGGGTGTATATACTAAATATATATATATATATATATATATATATATATATATATATATATATATATATATATATATATATATACAGGGTGTATCAAAAAAAATGTCCCAAATGTAAAATTTTCGTTTTTCAGGATATTTTGCAGAATTTGGCAAATGTTTGTGTTCCTAGAGATAGTTAAGACTTATCTGGTATACCTAGGCCAAGTTTGGTTTTTCATTCACAAAATTATGTTACCGGGGGGGTGGTTCCTTTCCACTGATATTGAGAGGGCTTGCGCGCGAAAATGTGAAGCTGAAATTGAGATATTACTTAGCTGTCTAAAAGTAGGAAAGCTTTTTAATAAACTGTCAAAGTTTCAGGAAAAATAATGCATACTGGGAGCAACGCGCGACTCCTAAAAGTGGCAAATATTTCATTGCGCGCAGTGGATTAAATCCATCGTTGATTTTAGCGTGACCGATTTCATGCAAGGCTGGGCAAATGAATAAATTAAAGCGAGAAACTGAACACAAAAACAAAGCGATTTAATAACAAGATTTTTATTCGTGATGTTAATCCTCAACATTTCCACCATTTCTTTCTATGCAAACTGCGGCTCGTCTGAGCATGGTAAACACTGAACGGCGAACCATTTGTCTGTCCTGCCTCAAATTCTCCATTTTGTTTGAAATTCTTTCTTGCAAATCGCCTACGCTACCACCGGCAAATCTAGGCGAGTGGACAGACGAATGGTTCGCTGTTCAGTGTTTACTATGCTCTGACGAGCCGCAGTTGCTTAGAATGAAATGGTGGACATGCTGAGGATTAACATCACGAATAAATCGCTTTGTTTTTGTGTTCAGTTTCTCGCTTTAATTTATTCATTTTCCCAACCTTGCATGAGATCGGTCACGCTAAAATCAACGATGCGTTTAATCCACTGCGCTCAGTGAAATATTTGTCACCTTTAGGGGTCGCGCGTTGCTCCCAGTATGCATTATTTTTCCTGAAATTTTGACAGTTTATTAAAAAGCTTTCCTACTTTTAGACAGTTAAATAATATCTCAATTTCAGCTTCACATTTTCGCGCGCAAGCCCTCTCAATATCAGTGGAAAGAAACCACCCCCCCGGTAACATAATTTTGTTAATGAAAAACCAAACTTGGCCTAGGTATACCAGATAAATCTTAACTATCTCTAGGAACACAAAAATTTGCCAAATTCTGCAAAATATCCTGAAAAACGAAAATTTTACATTTGGGACATTTTTTTTTATACACCCTGTATAAATAAAATACTGGTGATAATGATAAATATTCAATGACAATGACGTTGAGTAGGGGAGACAGGATACTGATTAGCCGCTTTTTCACGACTTGATCTAGGATAAAAATTCAGCTGTCTATAAAGCCTTCGTATTTTACAAGTCCTGTATGAATGAAAGTTACATTAGCGATGCTGGAATGAAGCCAATTTTTGATGTGATAGAAAAGTATGGCTCGTGGAACATCACGAACAAAGACTGGAGTGAGGATTCTTGGATTCTTGAAAAAACTCTAGCGAGAATGGCCGTCGATCTTTCAACATTCACATTTCTAAAATTAGATGTAGCCCGAAATATTTTGAACACCAGTAAACCCTTTGCTATAATGGTAAGTAAAATTCAAAATAATTAAAGTGATCGTTCGTTCAGCGAACAGTACTGCTCATAAGTTAAAGAGTGTCAGATCCCTCTATGTTAAGATTGCCCAAATTTTGCATGTTTTTTTTTGTTCATATTTATTTAGAAGCGCAGGGAACATTAATATATAGTGTTAGTATTCAGAAAGCACATCGAATTTAAAAAGTATACGAAGTTCGAAACGTAAACAACCCGTTTGTTTAAATACGGACCTTACTTTCACCCTAAGGTTACGCTATAAAAGCAAAAGCCAGTGTTCGGCCTCTCAAACTCTTTCTTACTGGGCTTACCAATAAACGGTATTTCCCAAATAAGCATGGTTGCTATTTTTACCTTTGGAGTGGTTTGTCTTTTACCGTGTATTGTAGCCTGCTTCAGAATTTACCTCTGCCAATTGCCCTCGGTGCGAATAATGATGGGAATATTAAGATTAAAAGGTGCAATTTAGGGGGAGATGCGAGATTTTAAATACGCCCGGGAATGCATATGCGAAATTGAAGTTGTCCCCCATTGTGTCATGGACGTTGTGTGTTTTTGTACGTTTTGTGCAAGTGAGAGTTTGAGACGAGTTGAGAATGGTAACTAGCCAACGTGCGATTGAATGAATTAAAACTTTTTTTAAATTAATTTGAATTTGAAAAGCAGTTATTTCAAACTAAGTTTCAAGGTGAATCTGTGACCTCTAGGGGGTCCATATTTCAGTATATTCGACCTTACCAAGGTTGAATTTTACATATTCCGCGACCTTAGCCAGAACGAAGATAGTATATTCCGGTATATTCGACCTTACCAAGAACGAAGATACCAATTTTACATGCGATATTTTTAACTATACTGCAATAACTCTAACGGGGTGATACATACTCCGAACTAGTACCCTTAGAGCTTCGCGCTGGCACGGGGATAATCTATACACGTAAATTTGGAAATTTTAACAATACCTGTTATAACTATCGCACCGCCAAAACTCGTATTATGAAAAGAGCGCTCAACCTTCTCCATATCGCTATTGACTCTTCCTTTTAAATCTCGATTATACACGATGTAAAAAGGTAAAACCAAGAGAATGGCACAATATAAGGCAGAAGTTTCTTAAATTTCATTTCTCAACCCGCAGCAGCCCGATTTCCGCCCGACTGCCCGCTACTCATTTTAAATTTAATACTTACACAAAGCCTCTACGAAAGAGAGTGATTCGATTGTGTGTCTGCCCTCTTTGTTACAGGTCAGCAGAGGAAACAGTGGCCGTTCGCTCAATTTTGATAAAAAAGATTTTCCCAACGATATTCCTAAAATCTTCGAGACTGTTCAGGACAAGGTGAGTCTAGTCTTAGGTCACCTGCAGCCTTTTTCACGCATCGGAAAGTTATAAGCGTACAAACTAAACAGCCGTCGGAAATTAAAAATAACCAGAAAAGTAAACGAAAATACTGGGAAAAAATACACATGCAATATTGGTTAAATGTTGATAAATGTTGGATGGACTGTGTTTTGACAAAAATCTATCATATTTGCATTAAAATTTTATTTGTAAACACATTGTAATTCGTTTTTAATTCGAAAATGTGTCATTAATATAACACCAAATCAATGAATGAAAAAAATGATCTCGATCACTTCATGGTTGGCGAGTGCATGCGTGCGATCTTTATGTACGAGTTTTGAAGGATCGCAAAACGAACGAGTGAGCGTAACAAACGAGTGAGTTTGCGATCTTTCACAACGAGTCCATAATAAAAAAAGGAAGCACTCGCCAACCACGAAGTAATTTGTGTAATAAATGGGTATAGAGATCAATTTGACAACGACACGCTTTTAATACGCAAAAACACAGCAAGGAACAAAAATCGAAATTTTATGTATCAAAACATATTTACTACCATTCAAGTAAATTACCTTGTAGACACACCACTTAATTAACACTGCAAAGCTTTCTGTCCGTTAACCCGGGCCTTCATCAGTGCAATACCTGAGTACTTATATATTGATATCACCATGCAAACTTACAAGAATATTATATTTATTACCGTTCAGTTTCTTTACAATTTTCTTCAATAGAAGTTAGATATTCTTTCCGAAAGATTTTATAATGTACTGAATGTGAAAATGTCTTGAATTTGAGAATTATGTTTTGAATCTCACTAGAATTTCTCTTTATAAATAAACTGCCGCCAAAATGACATACGAGAATTTTTCACGTGTGAAGAATATCGTACGTCCAATCAAAAGTCGTGTATGGCATTTTTTCACACGTGAAAAAATCGTACGTCCAATCAAATTGCATCAGTGAAATACGATTTTTATTCCATCATTCTACTGTGCATAAATCTCTATACACATATAATAAAAGATCATTATCATGCTAATAATAGACAAATAATCATGCGCTTGCACGATAGTTTTTTTTGTCAAAGTCCCGCCAGACTTTTATGTGATATTTTCTACCTTTCTGGCCTTTTTCAGTTAATTGTAGGTTTTTTTTAGTTTCTATGCAAATATCTTTCTGCTTTTTTGTTTACTGTAGCAAAATTAATAATTGTAATGCACTACGGAGTGCAATTAATGCCAAAATCATACGAGTGGTTCGCATTAATTGCACGATATAATTGATCTATTACTTGTTAATAATATAAAAAAAATCTGTAATCAGAAAATGCAAGTTATTGAACTTCGATATAATTATTACATTTTTATCACAACAATATTTCGTAAATAGTACAATATTATTAAAACTTTATCAAAATTTTTCTTCCGCAATTCATATTTTGTATCCTGATTGGTGATTGGCTGGTTTTATATACTATAGAGTGACTTCGACAACGACTTCGACGAAAACTACAAGACGTTTATGTCAACGATATTAAAACTGCTTGGAGCTAGCGACAGCATTGTAGACGATGAAGTGGAGAGAATTTACCAGTTGCAGGAAGACTTTGGAAATGTGAGTATGATAGTCGAGTTATATGATTCACGACCTCCTATCAAATGTGCATCATAAGCTACTAAAAATACACGAAATAAAAAAAACAACTTCTCAACGTTTTGACCTTCTTCAGGAACGTTACTATGACGATTTCACTGACATTTTAAGTCTCCTGACAAAGGCATTTAGGTTGAAATATCGAAACGTCAAATCAGGGCTATAAATACGTTCACACGGAAGCGGACGAATATTGATGTTTGCTTAAATTTATCCGGTTTCCTCATGTGAACACGTAAACCTGAGTCTTGGTCCATTTTTACCGTGTGCTAGCAGCTGGACCGAACGAATTCGATGACGGTTCCAAATTTCTCCATTCGCGTGAGCACGAGGATCTGTATGTATACGGAGTGCTGTCGTAGCCTGACCTTTGAGTTGATAATAGTTTCTCATCCATTTCAAATTATGTGTCAGAATAGGATTACTCTTTATGTATAGATAGTTGTTTCTTAACAACTCCATAACCTTTTTATTTGTGGGTCAGCTTTTCTGGTTTATTTAAAGGTAGATTTAAAGGTAGGTTTATTTATAGTGCTGTAGATTAATTCATTACTTAACTCAGCTTTTTTGCTTGCGAGGTATTCTATGCCAATTCTCAAGAATTTATACTCGATTCTAAACGTTGTAGCGAAATTATTAAATTTTGTTGCTATCGCCTATTTTTTACAGGTTGGCACAACTCCTCTTGGCGAGCCAAGTGAATATCACGAGAAGGTGAAATTAATGACACATGAGGAATTAAATCGTTTCACATCGTTTAAGGTATTTCATTGCCTGGCCCTCTTATATTTTTTTTTATATTATTGTCTGCCATCCTACCTGTGCGACGCAGTGATAATTCGGTTTTAATATTTCAGTTTAATTGGACTGTGTATTTGAAAGAGGTTTTCCGTGGTTCCGGGAGATCACTTGGGCCCAGTGAAAAAGTGATGCTGCAAACAAATAATGTGAAAAATGTTATTGACTTTATTGCAGACAAGCCTAAAAGGTATGCATTCATATCAAATATTGTAAATATATTACCATTTGCGCTCAACTGGTCAGTGTCCAACCTCATAACCAGGGCCCAAGAGAAAAAACCCTTGGTACGAGGTTGCGTTTGTTTACGTTTCCAACTTTTTACGTTTCTCGAATAAATAATAATAATAACTCGAAGTAATGAATAATTTAATTTCTAACTATAAAATAAAGCTCCAAGTTTCAAATACCAGCTGTAACAAGAAAGTGCAGAAGTTTGATTATTTATTGATGTAAAAATAAAAGACTTGTTGAAATGAATATGAGTATAATCAATTTCAGTAAGTATCTACCTAATATGGTAAAGTTTTGTGGTTGGCTTTTTGTAACAATCATGAACAGTGTTCATTAACTGTTGTTTTGACATTCAATTTGTATAGTTCACTGTGTTTTATTGTTAGCATTAAACAATAGAAAATTCGTATAGTTAAGAACCGAATCATTATTCTACAATGTGTAACTTTAATTTTGATATAAATTTGAAAATATGTTTTTCTGATAATGCCTAACATGGCCTGTCAGAACCAGCTGAATAAATCGGTAAAGTTAGAAAGCTTTTTCCAATGTTTTCGATTTATTCGCTGATAAACAAACAATTAACTCCAAACAACAAACGTGAACGTGCTGACTGTAATTACAAAGGTGATTATCGAAACTTCTAGCCACTAATTGGTCGAGCGATCTCAGATGATCACGCGCCGATAATAATGCACCTAAGCTGGCAGAGCGGCTTTTTCAAAATGTTTCTAATTTTTAGTTTACTCGCCAATACTATGATGTGGAATGTTATCCGAGGTCTGTTACCAACACTGCCTATGTCGATGAGGAATGCAGGAGAAAAATACGAAAAGGACGAATATAAAAAACAGCCTGATCCCAGGTGGAAAACGTGTCTCAAATTAACAAAGGAATCATTTCGATATCCCGCGACGTTATTGTACGTGAATGAGCACGTGCCAGAAGAGACCCTGGCAACGGTAAGATAAATGACTGATTTCTATTTAGCCGTGAATGTCGTGAACATGTCAAGGTGGCTGATGTGATTATTTCTTGCATGTGTGTGCAGTCATCAATGACCACGATTTGAATACGGAAATAAAACAAAATTTACACTCGGACTATTTCTCATCGGTGAAAGTGACTTGTTCACTACAATTGCAAACTTGGCTTAAGATTTTTTCCCGTTATTTCAATTTCTCCCAATCTCCCACACGTGTTTCTAGAAACACAGGAAAAATTTCTTTTATAATATAACTCGAGAAAACGATTTTACACATTTTCTTAGTCAGATCAGTTATTCACTGAAATAAAGAACGAGTTTATCAATGGCTTGAAGGAACAGAAATGGATGGACGACAAAACCCGCGCTAACGCCCGGCGTAAGGTTAGTGGTGTGGTCTTCACCGCATTTCTGTTTTTCGCGAAGATATTTAGTAACATTTTGTAACCCTCTTACTCTGTGGAGGACTCCGATTAATCCCAAATGCATATTGTATATTAATTATGGTACAATTCAAAAACACCTCATCAGGAGACTTTATGCGAGGGAAAAATAAAGGAAAGCTAGAAATATTCCTTGTGAAATCAGGAAATGGAAAAATTAAAACAGGAATTGGAAAAATAATATTTCAAACTCTTATGATTTACTTTGTCCCTCGCGCTGCCTCTACCGACTTCCCTCACTAAGGGCTTTAGGTCTAAACCTTAGGTAGTTGTTATTCCACGTGAAGAGAGGGTATTCGAAAACGCTACCGCGCTGCTCCCTGGATATTTTGCAATATATCATATATTCTTGGTTTACATATGGCGTCATAATCTTGGTTGACGCTACAAAGTTTACTTCTGCTTTTCAAGAGAGCAAACTGCGTTGATTTACTTCTCCTTGTTTATTTTGTAACTGCTTATTATCTCTGTCGTATTATTGGGTGGGTATTAAAATACAGCAACGGTGAAAAAAATTATTTGTGTCCACGTTTTGACAAATCAACCAAGATGGCAGCAATTGCAAACCAGCTATAAGTTGTGATTGTATAGCTCTGTCGGTGTGTGGCAAAAAGATATAAAAATGCGCTTAGGAATTTTAAAGTAATCTAGTCTCAAATTTCTCATACGTTTGAAGCTTAAAAACTTTGCCAATATCGGACGAGCCACCGCGATTGCTGTTATTTTTAAACATCATCAATGGCATTAATCCCTAATACATTTTTAGCTAAAGATGATGCGAGATAATATTGGCTATCCACGATTTATAAAAATACCAGCGAAGCTAAACAAGGTCTATGAAAACGTAAGTTGGCTGTCATTTAGATTTTCCCTCGTATATTACCCGGCCATCGCATTAACTGTGCAAGGATACTGTTTCCAGGTTAAAGTTGATAAATCTACGCTATTACAAAACCGGATGAGTTCTTTAAAAAATGTAATGATGCAAAAGATTTATATGGCAGGCAAACATCCCGACAACGATAAGTATGTTTAATATTTAAATCCTCTTTAAATCCTCTTAAAATTTAAATCCATCCGCGTTCCAACTTGAACGCTTCGGCACTGTGCCAACTTCAAGGAAACGAAGATTTACGAAGCCATAGAAATAATGACATGTAATACTATTTAACAATTATCCACATTCAATACCTGAACATTATTTATGCAAACCCAGGAATTCCTGGGAATATAACCATTTGAAAGTGGTCAAAAATACAACCATCTAGGTTTTGAGTCAAAATGACCAATATTTTATGGTTAATATTATACCAAACCCTCAACACGAATAGAAACAACGAATTAGATCTTATCTCAGAACTTACAGTCGAATGTTTGATAAGTTTAAATCAGTATATCTCTTTGTGTTTCTTTGTAGATTTCTCGTTGATCTTCCGCCTCTTATGGTCAATGCTTTTTACTATCCCTTCACAAATGGAATGAGTAAGAATTTCGAGATGTTTTGAAATTGTGTTTATTTGAGTTTTTATTCAATGGTGACTTTCGGCAATTCTGCACGCTTATAACTATTGTTAACGGAGGGCTATAGTAGGAAATATAATGTCTCTTTCTGTTATCACCTAAATTGTGATAACAGAAAGAGACTTTATATTTCCTACTATATAGCCCTTCGTTTCAAACCATGCAAGCAAACCGTTTCCCATGTTAGCCAGGTCGAAGATTTTACTATATAAAATGACTCAGATGGGTTGATAGCTAATTATTCTATCAATTGGTACAAAAGTCATCGTAAAAGCTAGTGAAGTACCCATCCGCTGTTTTTTTTTGCTTTACATGAAGAATGCAGGTATAACGGTTTGCACATGCATACTGAATCCACAGTTGTAACTGCATACTAAATATACCTGAGATGAATAACGATATTTATTTCTTTCGTTCATTCGTTCTCATTCATGTTATTACTCTCTTATAATATTATAGCCATCTTAGCTGGAATACTACAGCCACCTTTTTACAAAAAAGACACGCTAAAGTATGAATAGCATATGTTATTTGCATATTTTTATTTCTACTTAAATTTCGCTTTGATGCTTCTCCTGTGATTATCTATTTATTTAACATAGGCGTTATAGAACAAAAATGCATTCAGTTAAAAGCTTTTGGTGTGAGAAAAACGTTTTTCATAAAAAAGGACATCTAAAATTTTTTGTGAACTTTTCTACTATGATGACATTGGCATATTTAAGATTACATATGAATTGTCAAAACGCAAATTTTAAAGTAATGAGTACGAAGTGATTCGAAATAATTGCAGATTTTGTGGCGACGCAATTTCTCTGCATTAATATATAAATTAGGAGAATCGTTTCAGCAAAAATTTACTTCTTTACAGTCTCCCGAGATTCTATTGTGTTATAAAACAAGGTCGAGAAATTTCTAAGAAATGTATAATCCTCCTTCTTCATAAAAGTTCGCTGCTGTTGCATGTATAATAAACCTTTTGCCTAAAATGGCTCAGTGGAAAACAGGTATATGTATATCTTCGATGTGCCTTCATGCTTCATTGCTGAAATATTTTTTTTCCAGAGCGTTGACTTATGGCTCCCTTGGTATGATAGTTGGTCATGAGATAACACATGGATTTGATAAGGAAGGTATGTTTTAGATTCTGAAATTACAATGGTTATTTTAACTGATTGACGAAGGAGAGGTCGTCGATCGCGGTATATGTATAGTAAAAACAGATGTTTAGCTCTAGAGCATGTTAAGCTTGGATAGTGTATCTGTTTAGGAGAGTGTATGCTTATGCTTCCTATTTTTTTTTTACCTAATTTTCTATTATTTTTGTACCATTTGGGAAACTACAATTTCTCACGAGGGAGTGTACATGTTGGATTGTACGAAAGTATGGCGAAAATGAGCGTTACAAGAGTTTTTAACGGGAATGCATGTATTATAAACATGCTATGCAAAAACGTGCGCAATGCAAGCTTAATACCAGATCCACCCAAATTATTATGAAAAAATTCCGCTAATCTGGTGTTCTACTCGCCGTGAAATGCAAAATTGTTTAGTACCTTTTTTTCAACACCCTGATTTCCACAAACAGGTAGTCAGTACGATGGAACCGGGAACGTTAATCAATGGTGGACTGACAAATCAAAGGAGAATTTCGTGAAAAGATCGAAATGTTTAATTGACCAATACAGTAAAATTAAAGTGTTTGGTGTACAGGTTTGTGTTTATGTGAAATGTGATGTTTTCGCATGTCAAAAATGAAATTATAGTTATTGTTGTCTTTAAACACAAACTGCAAACTATATAGGTAGTATTTCTCAGTTCCGGCTATCTAGAAGTTCGTTCATTCATTTTGTTCCTTTTTCGTAGGTATAGTTACTGCAAGGTGCTCTATATATATCGCGTATATGCAAAGTTAGGTTTTCTTAGAAGAGCGTGTCTTTTAATCAATTGCACGAATTTTTAGATTAAAAGAAGTTGATTTTATTAGCGCATAACAAATAAGTTCATTTATAGAAGAATGTTCACTGTAAAATAATAATCTTAGGTACAAGGCAATGTCACCCTGTCAGAAAACATCGCAGATAATGGTGGATTAAAATATGCTTATAGGGTAAGTTTAAATTAATATCGGAAAGAAACTGGATGTTATTTTACTTGTATATGCGTTACATTTTTGCAGCTTATTTCAGGACATAGTAATTATAAACAATTTTTGGATGAGGCTGACAGGATATCCAGAATAATTCAGGCAGATAACATTGACTGAGGCCTGAATTATTTTGAATTTTCTGCGAAAGCCAAATTTAATATTTTTTTATTCATGTGATTTCGAAAAAAGCATAAACAAATGGTCAGTATTCAAAGACATTTAATAAAATTGATGCTCAAAACATTATTTGTATAGTCCGCTGAAACCTGATAGATTTTAAAGTTTCCGTTGAATACATCGAGCCTTCCTTTCTTCAGGCCTCGACATGAAATGTTTCCAGGTATTTTACGAGGGTGTTTGCTTCGGTAATTCTTCCATCTCCTGCCTTGAAATTGATGCGAAACGAGCACTCGTTCTTGCAGCCATTGTAAATTTCATTATGTAAAAGATAAAACAAGCTCGCAAATTTCCTGCGCTTGTTCACGATAAGCGCGTGCACGGACCAATAAACTCCACAGAGAACAACCTAACCGCTGAAAAATATAGCGCAGACACCGATGGATATCTGAAATTATCCCTATATACATTTTCAGCCCAATCAGCAGACGATTACACTATCTAATGAATTATAATATCTGGTATGTTTTAGGCATATCAAAAATGGCGGAAAAGAAATGGCATAGAGGCTAATTTACCAGGACTTAAATTTACCAACGACCAACTTTTCTTTATTAGTTTTGCGCAGGTATCAGCATCATTTACTTTTAGTTTATTAAGTTAAACGCACAGAAGATGAGCACAATTAGCTAGGTTATAGCATATGAATTTATTGGCACTATACGGCTCTACCCGTGCCTAATTTTATTAGTGCTCAGGCTACGAATATAAAGGCCGGGCAAGCATGAAATAAGCACGGGTACCCATTAATATTTAGTCATGCCGTGCCGATAGCCCCGTTTACGCTACACTCGAATTATTGGAACGCCACGGCTAAATGGGTACCCGTGCCCAGCCATTTTACCCATGCCCGGCCTTTGTTTTCGTAGCCTGAGCACTAGTAAATTGAGCCCATAATAGTTACCCATTTTAGCCGTGCCGTGGCCATAAATCGAGTGTAGTGTAAACGGAGCTGATGAATCGAATGTCGCAGGGGGCGCAAGTTCAAAAAAAATTATGGGTTGTGTCCAATGTTCTGGGACCGAATTTGCACTCCGCTGCTACTGATTTTCATTACAGATATACTGATATAATTATGGAAATCACAAAAATAGACCAATAGATATTAAAGCAGTTTTCTGACACGGAGTAGATAATAAAAGAGAAATCTTGCGTCAGTACAACGACACTGCAATAAAACTAACAATGCGTGTTTTGGCTATATATAATTGACTTATGAGTCATAACTCATATGACTATGAGTCATATGATTGGTGACTACTGACTAGCAGGACCGACTAAAGAATTTTGGGCGCCCGAGGCCAAATTCTCGTTAGGTGCCCCAAAACCATTGCAAAAAACGCCATAGTAAAGGCTCTGTTACACCGTGCATTTTTTCTTGCAACTTGCAAATGAATGCAATTCTGCTTTAAAGAGATGTAAATTAAATAGGAGTCTTCAAAATGTTATTTTAAGAAAGTATAATAATCACAAAGTTCGGTAGTTAACAAATTCACATTTCTCAAAAGAAGAATTGCATTGCACGTTGCAAGAAAAATTGCACCTTCTAACACAGCCTTAAGTTCATGTAAATTTGAACTGTTGTAATGCTGTAATGCAAAATTTTGAAATTTTGGAGTGAAGCAAATGCGATTTCTGGCGTTTTGGGGATGAAATTGTTGCAATGTCGAATATATATTTGCATTACCTGAACTATAAATAACCCAAAACTTTTTCTGAAAGATGACTATATTTATTTCCAATGATAGAAAAGCATTCTAAAGAGGAAGTTTTGGAGTTTTTTAGTCATGTCATGTCATGGAAAATATATCGATGTTGTAAACAAATGAATCTGTTACGAGCAAATATAGCGATGTTACAAAACAATAAATGTTATTAGTCAATATAACGAAATGTACAAGACTTTGTACGATCCATCCTGACTGCGGTTTCGAGTCTGCAACACACTCCAGAGGCGCCTTCTAGGCTCCTTGCGCAGAGCAATTTTCCGCAATACGATTCCTTGCAGGCAGATCTAACCATCACTTCCAAATTCCTCGTCGTGATCGTAGCATCTCAACCAGCACTCACGACAGTACTTCGTCAAGACAACCAGCCACATGCACGGCCCACGGCGTCTCTCAAACGACTTTAACCCTTTCCGGACTACTTCTGATTTATTGTTTTGTTACATCGATATATCTGCTCATAAAATAGATTTATGAGTTATAACACCGATTTATTTGTTTACAATATACATAAATTGTGCATGACATAAATATATGTGTTTTGAACATTTTGTCCCTAAAAAACTTCACAGGAAGTCGGTCATAGAACATAGCTAATCAAATTATGATTAAATTGAACTTTTTTCAATACATATGTCATTAATAATTAAGATTCAACTGTCTTGTAGGTGTGGTGTGAAAAATATAAAATGGACAGTATCGAATTTCTCATTTCTGGCAGTCATTCTCCTAATCCTGTGAGGTGAGTAGAAAACATTGATAGCTGAATAGTAACTATAGGAAGTATACTAGGAACCGCCGACCACCACCCTTTTTTTAATTTAAGGGTGAGGGTTCCTGTGCACAATTTCCCTGCGTTCAGCAAAGCATTTGGATGCACGCCGCCAAAAGATACGTGCGCAGTGTGGTAAAGAGTTCTATTGCGGTAATTATGAATGGTATTCCTTTATTATTGCTCTGCATAATAATAAAACGAGGTTAGATTATGATTAATTTTTATTTATGTTCAAACGCGAGCAAAATGAGAAATGAAACGGAAAAAGTTGAAAGTCAAATGGGAACGTCTTTGAACGTTTGTGGTCAGAGCAGCATGCACACGAGAAACGTGGGTACACTAGTTCCAGCTCTGTATCTATTATTTTCTCTGTGATAACATATAATTTGGATTTAGAGCGGAATTAATACCCTGCTCGGCGCTTTGCGCCGCTCGAGGCTCGCACGACAAAAAGCACTGTCGAATGGCATTTTTGTTACAAGCAAGCATGCAAGCACGGCGATCAACAACAAGGAAAGTGTGTTGCTGCCCTTCGTAAGACACCGCAGAAATTGATATATTTGTAAAATTTTAATTCAAAAAACTCACTGGTTCACATGTGTGCATTTCTGTTATGCTCTCATTGAAAATACTACTAATTAAGTTAAATCAAGTTTAAATTCTCTTTCTCGCTTATCAAAAACTTTTATCAGCTGTAAAATGGCCATTAAAGGTTATTATTTAAAATAACCATACAAGGTTATTTTATTTATTATTATCATTATTACAACTTTATTTAGTGAGGATAAAACGTAACAGCAAAAGCTGACAAACTTGTGGTCCTCCTAAAATTCTAAAATTACAGACATTATAGACTAAGAATGTACAAATATTAGATATATGTACAAATATTAGATTATTATGCATGTGTAAAGTTAAGTATTAAAAATCATCGTTTCAAAGTTATTAATATGTTTATATGTTAAAAAAAATAAGAACGTAAGACTTTATTAAAAATATTTAATGTTTCATAAAATGCTCATAAAATGTCAGTGTAAAAAAATGTCATGGTGGTCATATTTTCATTGCTTGTAGCTATTTAGATATTTACTTTCTTTTGGGCTCTTGAAATTCTTACGTATCACGAATGTAGCCCACCATATTTGATGGCATGAGTCTTTTATTTAACTAATTACTACAAATTTTTAAACTTTAAAAGTCTTTCAAAATGTCAGACTTTCAAAAACATCGGCTATCGAGATACACTGGCGGTCAAAAAGAACTGCTCAAATGTTGTTATTACCGTGTGTAACGGGAATCGTGACAATCAATATTTTACGGTCAAAAGAACTGCTTAGACACAAAATCTTGAAAAAGGAACAAACATAGGAGAGGACTTCATAGGCATTATGGATAATTCTCTTATTCCAAGCAGTATTTCAATAATGTAATGCAACCTATCACACTTCAAAGATAATCAAGTAATGGTTTCAGGAAAAGGGAGTGACAGAAATGGATTGGCTTGCACGGTCAAAAGACTTTAACCCTATTGAAAATCTGTGGAACAATGTCAAGGCCTAGGGATAGTGCAAGAGATTCATAAAGCGTCCATGATTTATGGTTTGCTGCATAGGATGAATTTCGTTTAACTAAGATTACCACCTTAACAGAAAGTATGCCACGCCGGTGCATGTAAGTCTGTCAAAGGAGGGCAACAAAATATTCATATTTCATATAGTTTAGCATGTAATCTAGTCTTTACTCGTATATGCTGCTAGAGAGACATGCATTTACGCTCACGATAATTTGAGAGCATTTAAACTTATTTTGAGCAGTTCTTTTTGACCGCCAGTGTATATCCAGCGTATATCCGATACTGAGATCTAATTACGTGACGTCAAAAGCTGGGTTGACGCTTTAAGAATAACAATTAGATGTTTACGCTTTAGTTTAGAACTCTTACAATTCAAACGCTATAATTTGAGACACGTGCGATTCTAATACCATGGATTCATCACTTCGCTGGATCGTTAATTTTAAGTTATAAAATGAATTTTCACCCAGCTTATGACGTAACGCATATCAGAGCAAGAATATGCTTATCCAACATGGCGGATGGAAGACAATTCCATTCGAAAATATCTTGAGAAGTAATAAAGTTAACAAAAATCCGTAAACTAATTGTATAAATAATCATGACGTTGTTTTAAAATACCCAAAGATAATTTTTATTGCCGTATCCCTTTAACTGCAGTTAGTTAGACGTTAACTAGTCTTTTATACAACTGGCCCCTGGGAGATTCTCCGTTGATTCCTAATTGAATATGTTTGGTTGCAAGTAGCTACCCGATCAGGAAATTCCCCCCATAAAATTTCGGGCTTTTCATTCTGTTTCTCGTGGTCGTTTCAGCTTCGTGCATGTTTTACACAATTCTCATTAAAACTGTTTGTATGGAACTCCTGGACAGAAAATATTTGGTAAGTAAATAATAAGAACTTACTGACTGAGAGTGAGGTCTGTACGGTAAAATATCAAACCGAGGTCGTGCTGTATTGACCGAGCGAATAGCGAGGTCAATACACCAAGACCGAGGTTTGATATTTTACCGTACAGACCGAACAGTCGAAGTTAGTAAGTTTTTTATTATATGGCATATTTCATGCAGACATTGTAATGATTAATTCTTTATGAGTAATTTTAATGATCAATCTCATCCGGGCACACGACACCAAAACATCGGCCTAAAGTGAAAAAAACCGCTCTATTTTGTAAAATATAAATTTATTATTTTTATTTCAAATTCATTATTTTCCGTTTAAGAATTTAATCTGTTTTTCAGTTTAAATTTAATTAGTTTTTGCCGTGAGTTTTGCCTTGTTTTCACAGGGCAATAAGAATTGCGTATTGCCCGTGGGCAATACGGGGAAATCCGGACCTGTCAGCAGCCAATCAAATTGCAGAATTAACCAAAACAAGTGCTTGCCATATAATAATATTGCTTATTTGTTTCATACTATATCTACTCCTTACATATAGGTATCTTTTGGGCAACAAGCAAAACTTCCAGGAATACTGTGTTATACCACTTATATCGTAAAAATCTATTGCCTATTTTGCCTATGGCCTATGTGTGTCTGTGTCATTATATCCACCTGTAATAATAATAGAGATTAAATTCGCGTGTAACAAGGCGGAATTTCGTTTTAGATTAATCAGCTATAGTTTGTTAAGATTTTCAGTAACCCAATAAAGATGCATGAATTTTGACTACTTCCAGTAAAACGGTACATTATTTACTGTTTCGCATGAAGTATTACAAATGTAGACACTCTGATTGGTTTTGCCTGAAAAATGTAAAAAAAAATTCTTTTATTAATATGCAGTTGTCAGTATATTGAGCTATTAAGTGTGGACTTCCGTTTCTCCTGTAGTGCCTATATAGAATTATTTTGATAATTCTTTTTAAAGCTGTTTGTGCGAAATGGATTTCAGCGAAGAAAATGTTTGGTGAGTATTCATTTTTTCACGATTTAGCTAGTTAATGTAGGAATAGAATAGCGAATAATGCGTCAAAAATCCAGGGAACATCGCAGATATATATAATTATTCGGAATACTATTTTATTTATATCAGTAACGTGAGAACATTGCCACAATTTGTTCTTAAAGTTAGGTAGTTGTAACCGAAGACCTTACGACGCGACAGCTCGACGATGGTCTACAATTCAACGACTCTTCATTACAAAAGTAATGAATGATTTGTGGTGATAACTCATAAGAATTCATACTGTACGGCTTTGTTCTGTGCAAAAGGTCAAATTTAAGCCTGCTTTCCATTTAGTCGTAATTGTCGTGAACAAGTCATTTTCACTGATGAATATACTATAGTCCACATGTTTATAAACTTATGTATATATACGATTTCGGTCATTGTTGTCTGAATATTCACACATCACATCAGCCACCATGACAATCAACACTCACGAATCCACCAGGAATTTACTATGTTTACACTATTCTCATACCGTATTTGCATGGTCACGAGATCAAAATTATCCATGTCATATCCAAGTCAAACCGAGCCAAGTATGATTGCATGATTTCCTTAACGCGATGTGCCAAATGAAAAGTTCTGGGGACCGTAAACAACTTAAACTAATGTCGTCACCATGTGAATCAGTCATGTAAAGGGGCTCTTACATGCAGGACCGTATAGCTATAGAAGCTCAATTGTTGGGGATATATTCCCGACCGAATTCTTTCGATAACGATTGTTTTTACTTTTATTCAAACATAACTCATAAGTATATGATTTGTTCTCCGGCTCCAATTATATACTAGTAGCTACGAATTAATTTGTTTTAATTCGGTTTTCATATGTCGGATTTCTCATAACAACGAATTACAAAGAATTATGGCATGCCAGTGAAATGCAGACGAATTATGACGAATTGTGTCATATGAAATCAGCTTTTAGACTGGCATTATATTTTATCAAAATACTCCATTTTACTAGTTCCAAGCATTAATAATTCACTAATGAAATTTCATGTGGCTTTTTTGTTAGTTTAAATTGACGCGGCATCGTCGATCTGTTGTACATCTTAAGCCTGTTTTCCACAAGGCGAATTTGTTCGCGCGAACTGATAAAAAGTAGGAACGATTCTACATTTTCGCGGTGAATTCTTTTGCAAGCCAATCACATCGCCGGATTTTGGATATCGCCTCGCTCTGGCGAATGGATTCGTCTAGTGGAAAACGGGCTGTAAAGGTCCCTTATTTCGAACAAGTTCGCATGTGTTTAGTCTAGCAGCAAATAATACCACCCGATATCCATGCAATCTTAAATAGGAATGCGTTGCCCGTGATTTGTAATGGACGTTTTACGAAGGAAATTAACCCTTACAATAACTTGATGTAAACTATAGCAAGACTGCTAATTTTTTTACGAGCAAATAATGTATAGCTAAATTTATAAAATATAAGCATCACCTTGCACTTTTGGTCCTGAAGAATGCTAAGTATGCAGTTCAAGTACCTTTTTTGAAAATATTTGTAGGCCTTAATCCTTTCATCAGTACTTAGTATACACGTTTAGTATACACTTTTACGGTCAATTAATGTATGCATAAGGCAACATAAAATTAAATATAAGAATAAGAATGAATATATAGAACTTGAACGTTTGAACGTATGAACGAACGCAGAAAACAAGATGAAGACTGAATACGTAGACACAATTTGTCGATTGGAATGACACTTTTATATTTTTTTATCCACTTTTTTTATTGTCACTTTGCTTATAAGATCCTGTGCTTTAACAAAATAGGATTAACTGCTTTGCACATCGCTTCTGCTCATAACAATGTGTGGGCCATCTTGACTAAAGTTTTCTGAATTTCGCATGCATTGCATGTGCATTTTTCCAAACGTAAACTCTTGTTCATATTCGTTTAGAAAATACTTTTAGTGTAAAATTTGAAGATAGTTTTAGTGTTTGCATGTTGACTGCTTTATAAACCGCGTTTTTTTGTTGCGTGAAAAGACTGGGGCATAACTTGTAGGCTTTCACTGATCACCTAAAGAAATGCATTAACTTTAAATTAGTCATGTTAGCAATTTGTTGTATTTAAATTTTAATTCATGAGATAAGATTGGGTCATTTCCACTTACTAGTGATTTGGCCAGGACCTACAGGCAGTGAGACCATAGATTATTATTTCATCAAAAAAACTCTAATTCCTGTGTACGTTTTGTTGAACATGACTATTACTTTGGTTTTCCAGTTTAATTGACTCTGAAGAACCTGAGGCCAAGCTTAAAATACGAAAGCCTTCCAAAACTCGCTATCTTTCGTTCATATCAATTTTACTGGTATTACTGCTGCTTACTCTGACCGCGGCCTTCATTGTACTGTATATGAAGAAAGGGGTGGATTCTTCATGCAAGTCCGGTAGTGGGATATGTACATCTCCTGGCTGTTTCGCTAGCGCTGCAGGTATGGAAGCAGAACTAAAATGCAAACTACAGGGTTTCCAAAAAAAAAACATTCAACATTTCAAGCCTATAGTTGCTAAATGAAAACGTGATTAACTAATAGAGAATGATCTCATTTTAAAGCTCTTGATTTCTCTTTTCAACGATACGTTTCTTTTTTTCCCTTTTTTCTTTGGTATTTCACACAAGAAATCTACTTACAACTTCCGCACAACCAATGAATTTAAGATGTACCGTAAAAGAACATTTTTCATGTCACATATATGCATAGCTATTCAGAAATTAATGTTTTTCCTTAATACTACCAAACTGTTTAGCAAAATAATATTCTTGTATGTTTGCATATGGTGACATCAATAAGTAATTTAGCTTGTGGGTACACCACGCGAGTATTTAATACTGCAAAGCTTTCGGTCCGTTAACCCGGGCCTTGTTGAGACGTACTTCAAAACAAAGTTTAAATTGCTAATTGCATTTTTGGGAAACCCTGTATATATCGTCCTGTAACGAAGCAAATGTAATTTAACAACCTGAAAAATAAACTTCGTCTCACCTAACTTTCGGTGATTGTTCGGTGATTGTCACTTGGTTTACTGGGTGAAATGTTGATCTCTTTAAACTTGAATACAGAAAAGCAGAGCGCTATTTCTGCTTATCATTTATTCATGCGATAGTTCACGAGTTGATTTGAAATCATCGTCGCATCATGAGGCGTCTCGGCAAAACTCGGGAAGTTATGCCCCAGGTGCCAGTTGTATGAAAGCCGGATATCGCTATCAACCGTGTTTTTTCAATCGCTTTAAAATCGCCCGTTTTTTGGTATAACTTTGATTAAATCTTACTATTCCTAAATCGCGGATCCTCTTATTTAATAATGGTTGGTTCCAAAGCAGAAACTCCATTGCTTTTCAAACTTTTTAGAACCGTTAAAAATCACTATCCGGAGATAGCGCTATGCGGCTTTCATACAACCCACCACTGGAGTTAATTTTTCCGTTCTTCCAAACAACAGAATAAAGGGTGAAAATTTTCTATTTAAAATTTACATTTGAGTGAAAAACAAACGTGTCTGCGCATGAAAATAATAGAATTCCTTAATATATTCAAGTAAGTCATGCTAGAAACAAATGTTCAGTTTTGTCGATGATCTGGCTTCTGATTTGCTGATTTATATGCAGATCAACTGGCAGTTGCACGTCTAGGAAGGATGTCTAAAAATCCAACACTCCCCCCTCCCCTTGGTCACCTTCCTTATTTTGAGACTTGGGTCTTGCAGTCTTGCTATAAACTGCCACGAAAAATATATGTTTAGGCATCGTAGAAAAGCTTGATCAATCCACCAAGCCATGTGATGATTTTTATCAGTACAGCTGTGGAGGATTCCTAAAAAGAACTCGTTTAAGAAAAAATGAATTTCTAAAAGATTCGTTTATCGAAGGGAAAGAATTCGTCGAGCAAGCTCTTAAGAGAATTTTCGAGGATGAGGGATTGATGTCCAATTACTCTAAGGTAGAACAAAAATCACGATTTATTCTGATTTTAAAATTTCAAGGGAGCAGACTTAAATGTAGGAGCTGTGTGACCTCGTGCGCATCTTTTCTGCGCATATAGAAACTTGAAAACTGCAGCCTGTAGATATCAAGTTTCATATCAAAGATGGCGGCGCCGTGTGTGGGAGCGCATGGCGGCAGACGCGACAATTCAGGAGGGAAACGAAAATATAGTGGTTCGATAAGCTCACAAAAAAGCTGGAATAGTGCGAACAAACGCATATATTTATCATTCAAGATATTTGAAGCATGGAGAGATGCGAAAAGCGACGCAGGGTACGAAAAATGTAGCCATAGCGACTTTGCTGCTCATCTTCTGTCCTTGGAATAGCAGAGGGTAAGTTAATAATTTGAAACAATTCGATTAAAGGTAAAGCATGGCTATTAAAAAGGATGATGATAGCAGTTTGGAGGATGTTATGAATGGTGTTTTGGTAAATTCTTCCCAACAATTTTTAGGTAAAAAGTGTATGTTTTTCCTTGTACAGATCGCATGAAGCTACACAGTCGGCCATTGAAGACATGAATGATGAAAGAACTATAGAGAAAAGAGGTGAAATATAAGGTAAGAAATATAATGTTGTTTAAGCTTAAGCTCGTTTGTTTTATCCTATTTCATATCCTGTTCCGTATGCTTTTATTATTTGCTTCTTTATCAGTGAAGACAACACGTCTGATTTTGATAATGTCTGCTCTCTGGATCTGCTTCTGTCAGTGTTCCAATCCAGATGCCAGGTACCTGGGTGTATTGTGCAAGCAGCTGTCTCTATCCTGTTGTCCGGAAGTGATTATGCCAAAGTTGAACGGACGGCAAGATTCCTTAATCCTGCATCAAAGAATAACTTTGATCATAATTGTAGCTACTATGATTCCTTGTGGGTGTGATAGACATAAAATGGTACATATATGTATATGTATAATATACATGACAAAAATAATTTACAAAGTGTAAAATGTTAAAGGATGATAAATTGCCTCTGCTATATGGCTATATAAATTCTACCTTAACATCCTTGTGCTCTTTTTCTCTCTGACTTTCCTCGGATTTCATGGGTTTGTGACTCAAACGAAAACCTTGCGCTCCGCTGCTTGATTTAGCACGCGTGTTCGTGCTGCTGGTCTGCTTCTGTCGTCTCGCTCTCTGTCGGGATTTTTTGCTATTTCCTATATTGTCAGTTTGAAAGGCCTTCTAGTCAAAAGAAAAATATTTTCTATGGAATTACCGTATTCTTGCAAAGTTTGGCACGGGTACCGCATTTACACTCGCTCGAACACAATGAATTATTCCCTTTGCATGGCCATCCTCTATTTCCTTTTCTCTTGGTTCTACACGAGCTTTTGCTATCACAACGGTTTGCCTATGAACGTAAAATTATAATAAATTCAAAATTAAGACCCGGTTTACACGATGCCGTTTTCATTTGAAAACGGTATTAAATTATGCAGTTTCGGCCTTGCCTTTGCATGATACCGGCAAAATTGAAACGGAAACGGCACAAAACGGTAAGATTGGTAAGATTGTAGCCTGGGAGAATGGTAAGATTATGACTAAATGACTTCTTAGTAATTAATCCACTCCATGTAAAATTACCAGGCTGTCGCTCGGTCTTCTCTGTCTACTATGCTCGGTCTGCTCTTTTCGGTGTCAGGTTTTTTTGGCAACGATATTCTTTTTAAAAATCGTATCGAAAAAGAAATGCCACATGATAAACAATTATACACTGTAAATTCAAAAGAGTCGTTTTGACCAGGGCGAGTCATTTCAACACCTTTATTCAAAATGTCATTTTTACTCCTCTAATGTGTCGTTTCGACTCTAATAGTCGTTTTAACTCCGACATTGGGTTAAAATGACAATTCGGAGGACTCGTTTAGTTCTTTTGAAGGGTCACAAGACTCTCGCAAGAGTCAATAGACTCTTAAGTAGAGTTCGCATGGAGTCATGTGACTCGTTCTTGGAGCCAGATGACTCTTTGTTGGAGTGGTGGAACTCTTTCTTAGAGTCATTCTGGCTTTTATAACAGCCACTTATACATAAAACAAATAATTTGCATGTTTAAAATATTAAATTGAAGTCATTAGGCATGTTACATGTATTACAAATCCTTTGTATTTGAAGCAAATAACCAGTCAACACATTAAAAAAATACTCAATTATTATGACACAAATACACTTGATATTAGTTGTTATCGTTTCTTCATGTATCGAGAAAGTCTTATAAATTTGTTAAGTTGCTTATATGTGTATGTTTGTGTCTGTCTATTTGTAAGTTAGTTGTGGAACCCCGTTATTGGAGACATATCTCTGTGTGGTGATTCCAGCCATTGCATGTGTGTAGTTCATTTGTAGTTTATGTGTAGTTCATTCTAACTTTTTAACATGGCAAATTTATAAAATAAAATAAATATAAAAAAATATATTACGCTGCATGTATATAGGTTTTATATCTCTTGAAAATGTCAGCTGGAACAGGATATGCACACATAAAAATATATTATACATAAATCCATTTTAATAGTTCTGACTCATGCTGGTAAGTATATGCTGATATCAAAAATGACAAATAAGCAACAAACGTTCTGATTGGCTAAGACAGAAAGTTTGAATTTCAATGAGAACGTCAGCAATTTAACTGTCATTTCGTAAACCTTTTTGTAAAAGCGTTTCATAAACTTTGTGCAAAGTAATTAAAACGGGAAGAAACAAGATATATGAAGCATGACAGATAGCAAAGATGAACAGGGATACAATCAAGACCGAAAGCCGTGTAAGAGAAATAATTCATAATCTGCATGCAAGCTTATAAGTGTTTTCAAAGGGTGCGTGTTTACTATGTTTCTTTCGTATTTGCTTCGCAGTAAGAATGAGCTGTATTTGTATAATTTTCAGCTTTGTATGCCGTTTATTTGTTTAATGTTCAGCTTTTTGTGCAAACGGATAAACCTGGGAAAGGCTATTACACCTTTGCCTTAACTTCAAAAAGTGTTTTTGAAAGTGTAATTTGAATTTTGATATAAAAAATACACACTATGTCTATGAAGTATAAAACGTTTAGCCGTCGACTCTAATTACTGAATAAAATAACATTTGAGGCTTTTTCTTTGTCTCTGAAGTTTTGTACTGTTTTAATCGTTTGAAACTTCGATTTTAAACCATTACTTAATTAATTGCTGCTAACATATGGCCATTTACCATATTTTAATTTTAAAAATGTATATCCAACCCATTTTTTAAAGACACCGGACATTTGACAGATGGCCTGTTGGCCGATATTTTAAAGCCTGCATGCTTATATATAGATATTTATTATATAATAATTTCTCTTCAAAGAAACATATTTGCGGGATGCATGTATGGTATGCTGTAATACTCACTGCATATACATTATTAAACATCGTTTACTCAAACTCTGCTTTTGTATTATATGCAACCTTCATGAAACTAATATTGGTGTACAGTACTATAGTAAAATTGATGCCACAGAATAGTCGTAATGACCTCAAATAAGAGTAAAATCGATGTCAAAGAGGAGTGGAAATGACTCCAAATAAGAGCAAAAACGATGCTAAAGAAGAGTTCAAATGACCCCAAATAAGAGTACATTGATGCCAAGGAAGAGTTGAAATGACTCTAAATGAGAGTAAAATCGATGCTAAAGAAGAGTCGAATGACTCCAAATAAGAGTAATATTGATGCTAAAAGAAGAGTCGAATGACTCCAAATAAGAGTAATATTGATGCCACAGAATAGCCGTAATGACCCCAAATAAGAGTAAAATCGATGCTAAAGAAGAGTCGAATGACTCCAAATAAGAGTAATATTGATGCCACAGAATAGTCGTAATGACCCCAAATAAGAGTAAAATCGATGACAAAAAGGAGTCGAAATGACTCCAAATAAGAGTGAAATTGATGCCAAAGGAGAGTCAAAAATCAAAATGACTCTTTTAAAACGACACTTTTGAGGAGTTAATTTGCATTTTAACTGTTGCAAGAGTCATTTTGAAACGACTCCATGGGTAGTCAAAATGACTCTAGTTAAAGGGTTAAAATGACTCTTTACAGGTGTCAACCCAAAATGAGTCAAAATGACTCTCTTCAAGGAGTCGTCCTGGGGTCAAGAAAACGACTCCTTTGAAGGAGTCAAAATGACTCTTTTGAATTAACAGTGTAATGCTGTGACTGCATCGTGTAAAAGCGGAACATTTTCGAACCTCTCAATTCAGTTTTGCACCGTTTTCAAATTATGCCGGCATCGTGTAAACGGAGTCTAAAAATCTTGCTTTCTTATATGCAAATATATGGAAATTTACCATATAGATTCCCCTAATATTGTTTCGCTTCACTCATCCTTATGGCGGCATTTGTTCCGAACGATTTCCGACAGTTTCCGATCTTTTTGTTATGCGATCTTTTGATCTTCCGATGTTATGCGCAGAAAAGATGCGCACGAGGTGACACAGCTCCTAATCCTAATGTCTATCTAATCGATCCTGAATATTTTTTCTCAAAAAAATATATAAAGAACGCGAGAATTAATCGAAAAGTGATATTAAGTGAAAAAGGAAATCAATCATTAGAATGATTTCCATTGCAATTACGCGTTTTTAATTTTCAAAAGAGGCAACTTTTGAAACTTTATTTAGGCAACAAATAGGGACTTTCAAAAAATTGAGTACTAAACTTAGGAGATTGTGTTTGGCTGCGAAATATTGTAAAGTACGGAAAATATAGCCATGCAAAGTTGGCAATTTTATATACTTTTTTACTGATTTAGCTACATGCACGCTTCCGGCCGTAATAAAAAGGTGTACAAAATTGCCAACTTCGCATGGTTATATTTTCCGTATAACTTAACATTTTTCAACCAACTAACTTCAATATGCTCTTTTTTACTGTGATGGTTCATTTCCTTCTTGTTGCCTAGTTCGTAAGTTTGTCAAATACTAAAAGTTTATAATTATATAAACTTCGCCGTCCCAGTCCAGCAATTTGAATGCAAGCTTACATTAAATAAAGTAATCCAGTTGATTTGTGAAATCTGTTCTGAGGTGCAATGAGGTGCAGTTTTAGTTGAGTTTAAATTATATATATATATATATATATATATATATATATATATATATATATATATATATATATATATATATATATATATATATATATATATATATATATTTATATATATTGTCCAACTACAAAAAGGAGTGAGTGAGAAAACAGCGCGGTCTAATTTGTACATCAACAAATTTATTGTTAAATTTCTGTTTTGGAGAGGTGTTTTTCAGAATTTGACCTTTTAAAGATTAAAAACAACATAAAGCGAAAAAAATTCCGTTCGAAGGAAAAATTTCGCGTAGTGGAAAACCACCCTATAAGTATATGTCTGTATATCAATTCTTTCCTCAACCAAATATAGGATCAAAATTCAGCTGTCTATAAAGCCTTCGTATTTTACAAATCGTGTATGGATGAAAATTACATTAGTAATGCTGGAATGAAGCCAATTCTTGATATGATAGAAAAGTATGGCTCGTGGAACATCACGAACGAAGATTGGAGTGAGGATTCATGGTACCTTGAAAGAACTTTGGCTAGAATGAAAGTCGATCTTTCAACAGTCACATTTGTAGATGCTGCTGTAATACCAAATATTTTTGACATCACTAAACCGAATACTATTTTTGTAAGTAAAATACCATTTCCCCAGTTTATATTTAAACTAAATTTGAATCTGCAAAAATTTCAGCACCGCTAGAAAGTACAGTGCTGTCCAGAAATAACCTAACACTGCGGTTAGGTTGCAGCTAGATTCCGGAAACCGCAGACGACCGCAAGGGAAAAATACTTTCAAAGTGGCCGTTCGCTTCCAAACGAATTGTTTTAAACAGCTGAGACCGACAACAGAATAACCAAATCGAAGGCCGAGGTTTCACCTCCGTCTTCCCGCGTTTCGACCTCCGTCTCTTCTTTGTTCAACCGCGATCCGACCGAGGTTTGACCTAGGTTAACCGCGGTTTTGTTAGGTTATTTCTGGACAGTACTGTATAGTAAAATATTCAGTAAAATATTGGGAAATATTTGGAAAGTTTTTTACAAGTTATTAGTGACGTTCGAAAAAGTCTTAGCATCTTTACCAGTTCCCTCTCCCGCGTAATTAGGTTTCTATAGTTACAGTGCTGAGGAACACTCCTTCGATTTGTTAATGCTTTAATTATTTTCAACTATGTTTCGGAATCAATAATTCCGGTTTTGTTTTCGATACGTGTATTTATTTCATCCAGTCAGCTAGTGTAGTATTAGATCAGTGGTATGACATATAGTCAAGCAACTGCGCGTTGTTTTCTAAGTCATTATGTTTCTGCTACTTTTGTCTCAGGTTGCAAAAGCAGGTCAGAATTTAGGTACTCAGGGCAAAGGATATTCTTATTACAAATTTCCTCAATCCTTGCGGACTGTTCGGGTAAGTCTCATCATATGGTCTCATACACACAGAACCATTTTACGTACGAAGGCTTTTAGAGGGATAAGGGTGAGTTGACGATTCTCATTACCAGAAATTTGCGACATGATAACTTGCATTTATACTAATTTGCATTTAACTTTCAGCATAATGGCCTTCAACTTTTACTATCAAATACATATAGTAAGTATACAAAAACTAAAAATGCCGTTGCCCTAGACCTTGCTTATGCTGTTTGCCGACCTCTGGGTCAATAGAACAGCCGTTTCCCAACGTTTTAATGATCGAATTACTTACCTTAGGTATTTCTACGTTTGGCCAACTAATTGTAAACAAATGTGTATATAGCCTTCGTATTGTTCAAGTTCCTGATAAGACTGATAATATTTTTTAAAGTGATTGCAGTGAAAATCAAGCCGTACAGAAAAGTTTATACGCAAATACGCAAAGTTTATACGTCAATTCATCAACTACCTGAATCGAGATACTCGAATCAATGTGAGCGATTTTATAAGTTCGTTGACAGAACACGGATAAAACTTTGAGCAATATATTTTTAAATTTGGCAGATTGCAGAAATGCCCAAGCTAAAAAATTTGGTCTCTAAAACGTTTCTAAACAGCTGCTCTACTGATCTAGAGGTCGGCAAACATTAGGCAAGGTCTAATTATAAGGCAACGGCATTTTTAAGTTTTGTATATTTACTATATATATTTTATAGTAAAAGTTGAAGGCTATTATGCTGAAAGTTAAATGCAAATTAGTATACATGCAAATTATCATGTCGCAAATTTCTGGTAATGGAACACGGACAAGCCCAAGTATACTCCTAACCTGGTGTTCATGTACATGAATGATGTTCTTATAATAGTATAAATGAATACTATTTGCTTTCAAATAACCAACACAATAACCAGATTTATCAGAAATGGTTACATCCAAGCGTTAACCGTACGTAAGGAAATGCTATGTTAGGCCTAGGTCAAACGTTTCTTGAAGAGAGAAATATATGCGTGTCATTGTTGTTGCAGTTTCTCACGATGACGAATATACGCAATTTTTGGGGTACTTTCAATTTTCCTAAACGCGTTTAAACAACCATAGCAATGTAAGAAGTATTTTTTAAGAGTCAATAGACCATTTGAACAATAAATTAAGCCCAATATTAAAGACAGCCGCCCTGACAAGGTCTTGCGCTCACAATTTTTTAAAAAAGTACCCCAGATGGTGATACATTCGTTATCGTGAGAAAGGCTAATTAAGGTCCATCGATCAGTCAGTTCAGCCAAGGGACGCACATGTTCCAGATGCGGCGGCAATGATTATTTTGAAATATGCTGGACCTGATCTTAGTACATGCTTAGTACAGCACCAAAACAAGCCATCTCAATTTCTACATATTTGTGGTCTTTTGACAGTCCATAATCTCTAATTAAAATTATTACTCGTGTGTAAATGCAGGTGTATGTAGAAATTCCTTGTTTTTTATCTTTTTGTGTCGCAGGATGTCAATGATCAGACGTGGCGTCCCCTTACCTCTAGATATAAGACGTTTATGTTGACGGTATTCAAATTGCTTGGAGCTAGCGACAACATTCAATTATACAAAGACGTGGAAAGAATTAATCAGTTGGAGCAAGACTTTAATTATGTTAGTATGTATAAATAATTATTTAATTAATTATTTAACCTCGAAAAATATACAGAAAAATTCTGGAAATTTCAATTTTAGGGCCTTCTCATCAGGAATGTTAGTAAGACAGTCATTTTGTCGGGAAAGCCCACCTCGTGATTTCAGGAAAGGCCCTGGGATCGGCCGTTCAAAACACCCACGGGTATTGGGTATTTTGGATAAGCACAATTTATCATAAAATTTTGCCTAATATTTTCGAAATGGCTCAACGGAAAATATTGTACCATTAAAGTATATCGGAATTGTACTATTTCGGAATAATTATAAAATATTCCGCTAATGACATATAATTTAGGAAAAATCCTTTAACCAATCAAAAGTCGGAAAGCGGCTGGCCAATCCCAGGGCCTTTTACCCCAACCCAGAATCAAGGTAAAAGGCCCTGGGAACGAGGTTGCGGGAAAGCCTATCGGTCGAAATGTTGAGACGATTTTGATAAAAAAAAATTTTGAAAAATCCGTTACATCATCTTCTGTTTTTACCAACCAACTTTTCACGTGTGCTTAAAGCTTACTGGCACTTAATGTGGCCCTGTACAAAAAACTGGGTTTTCTTTTATTTTAAAAAATATCAAAATCTTTTTAAGATAATAAAAACATGGAGTTTCTTTTAGCTTTGAATATTCTTGCCTAGCTTTAATATAGCTATGTTTTGATTTATTTTTCCCGAGACTCAAAGAAGTATGATTTTTTGTTTTTTTACGAGTATGATTTAAAAGTTTTCTTGACACAACTCTTGAAAACAAGTTAAGACAACCTTAAAAGGAGTCGTTTTCAATAACTGCACGGTCAGTGATATACCTCCCTGACCTTTTACAGACTTCGTCGCAATAGAAATTACACAATTATATATTAACAATGCAGCAACCGAAAGTAATCTTGTGAAAAATCAACATATCATAGGTTTAGTAAAATGATGAATTTTTATCACATTACACTTTAAATAAATCAATTGTTCTTCAAGAACGAGAAAAACTACACAACGTACGCTAGAAAGAGTATAAAACGCAGAGCAAAGATAAAACCTCAGATTAAAGCTATTGAGATGCCGCGTGGGACTATATGAAATATGAGATATTATTATTTATTTAAAAAAATCCTGGTTTCTGATTGGGTAACACCGTAACAGCTAACTGTTAAATTGTCATATCAACTCGATGGCAAACCAAATATGGACACCGAATCAATATGCAAAAAATTTTAGACGCGTTGGCGCATATTGCTATGAGAACCGCAATCATATTGATTCGCCGACGCAATTTCTAATGACCACGACCGCTTGCGAGGGACTAGGGAATTATTTTGCTTCTTACTACGAATGGATGAGCAATTGTTTTGAATTTTTTGAATTAATAATAAAACAATTCTTGAATTCGTTTTTCGCACAATATGAGGAAATATCAAGCCCTCATTACCGTTATCAACCTCGGAATTCGGCTTCAGTTGATAACGGCAAATTTCGGGCTTGGTAATTATTCATATCGTGATCAATAATTGTTAAATATTTGTCAACATTTTAGATGATTGTTATTCCTAATAAATAGGCCTATATACTTTTAGAATATGATTTTTCCAGTTTCTTATTAATGAAATGATATAGTTCACTGTTTCGTTTAAAACTCAATGCCGTATCACTCTAGTTTCTCTGCCTTTTGGTTGTAATCTTGCAGGTCTAAAAATTTCAATCGCTAAATAAAACAATGACAAGCACTTCGATCATTAAATATTCATAGGAGCATTATTTTGATGGTATCTGCATGTAGCGATGACAAAATATTGTTAAATATTGTTACAGAAAGATAATATAGATATTTTTAGCAATCCCCCCCCCCCATCTTACTTGGCTCCCTCCCCGTCTTACCTGGCTCTCTCTCCATCTTACTTGGCTCTCTCCCCATCTTACTTGCATGGTTCTCCCACCCCCATCTTACTTGGTTTCTTACCAGTCTTACCATGACGTCATGCAGGTATTGCGTTGCCATCTCAAATTAGACCTACTTTTAAATTACCGAGTATGCGTCCGAAATGTTTAATTTCCAATAATTTAAATTATGTAAATATAACGACCAAAATTAATACGAGTTTCACGTTCATTCCTGTAATTCTGCCGTTTACGTCATACTGTCCTACTGACAACTTATTTTTTGACAAAGCCGTTTTTAGTTGCTGGAGTGATTTATCTGGTTAATTCTCTTAACCTGTTTTGAAACCTTGACCGGCAAAAAGTCAGACGATTCGCGAATCACTGAGGGGAGTTTTCCTCACATTAGTTCTGCATAAAAGCGCGCAGACAATGAAAGATTCCGCTTCGTGCGCAAAATTCCGCCTAGTGGAAAACATTCCTTAGATGGACTGTTGACATGCTTGATGCTTATCACTGTAAACATGCTTTTAATATATAATCTTAAGCTTCTTGAAAGACAGCAATAACTAATTATTATCATCCCCCATTGTTTTACAGATGTATGAAGAAGATGTACCTTCTTTTATGAATACAAATGAACTGAAAAAGCACTTAAAAATTATGACGTTGCAAGAATTGAATAATCACACATCGTTTAAGGTATATATTTTTGATCGTAGCTCACGTTTAGTCATTTGGAAAGTGTTCCAAGGTTTTTAAAGGGTTTTTTTATTTACGACGTGTAAGGCAAATTTTCTCAAATAAAAATTGTAACTACTGCTCAAAAACTGCCTAAAACGTCACTAATAATGAAAATTTTAACTTTGAAAAATCTCAGAGCTGACTTAATTATTAAAACATTATAGAAAGATATCATGTAAAATATATAATTACAAACTCATGTATTTATGACTGTTTAACCATTCTATAGTTTAACTGGACTATGTATTTCGAAGAGATTTTTCGTGGTTCCGGCAGATCATTTCACCCCAGCGATAGATTAATGGTGCTAGTCCCGAATAACCTAAAAAATGTGGTTGACTTTATCACGGGAAAGCCTAAAAGGTAAGTGTGTACTTTTACAATTTGTTTGTTTGTTGAAAATTCAACAAATGTATTTGTCACGAAAAGAAACTTTGCTTACACAGATCAACACTCTTTAAGTTCTCGTAATTCAAAAGTGTGAAACCCTAATATAATACTAATTACCTCGACGAAATTTTCCTGGACGGTTTACATGAAGTAAGCTGGGGTAACCATGGTTAGAACTATTCTTGCGTTTATTACAAATAATTTTTCAATTTCCTTTCCTTTATTTAGTCCAAAGGACCTATACTCTTTTATAGAAGTTATCGTTACATTCAGCTTCAGTTAAGAAATACTAAATGCTTCCTAATTTCACATGACGTGAACAAAAAGCGCCTGGAATAATAACACATAGTAACACCCATAATGATCATTACCAATTCATTAAATATTAATGATTATCGTTTTGATTATCATACTATGGATAATTAATGTGGTTTCTCTTTTCAGTTTACTTGCCAGTACTATGATGTGGAATGCTATCCAACGTCTACTACCAACACTGCCTCTCAAGATGAGAAAGGCAGAAAATAATTATAAAGAATATCTTTCACCAACAAATTATAATTCTCATGCCAGATGGAAAACCTGTCTTAGTTTAACCCATCAGCAGTTCACATATGTCGCATCATTACTTTATATGAATGAAAACGTGCCCGAGGAATCTATAAATATGGTAAGGGTTCACGATTGCTTACCGAGGTAGCATCGGCATCGTTGGTCCTAATTGCATTAACACTTAAGGTCTCTGCAAGCAAGTTCGCAAACTTTTTTTATAAAAGTGTTATATATAAAAACAAAAAGGCTCTTGCTCTTCAAGATTAAAAAGCGTAAAAGGAACGATTTATATCTATATAAAGCTTTGAAATTTTTTAAATCAGTAGGCTACGTGCATGTCTATAGTATACATATTTGTTTACAATATTCTGTGTTTGCTGTATGAAGAAGGATGCAGTTTATTTATTTTTGAGCTTGTTATACGTAGTTTTCCAAAGTCATATTGGGCTATGAAAGGCTTTTACACCATCGCTTTAACTTCAAAAAGGTTTTTTAAAACATAAATGTATATTTTAATATAAACACTTGCTTCAAAATCAAATCTTTTACAGTCAACTGCATATATAATCGAAGAATAATTCATGAAGTTCTGTACTTAAAGATTTTGTACTATTTTTATGTTTTTCTGAAGCCTCGAATGTTGAAATTTCAGCAGTTACCCAAGTTGATAGGGTATATAAACACCTGTAGAAAACGGGGGAAATCACCTTCCATGTTGTGACTATATTTTGTACCGACCAAATGATAAAAATATTGAGTGTTATAGCTAATCTAGGCCCAGGAGATTATTTTCTTCGTTGGAAATGGCGAGGGATGCTGCATGCATGTATTTCTAGTTAGTAATTTTTAAGCGTACTTTTATCATCTTTTAGTCATCCAGAATATTGAATTTCAGCAAAATACTTCGATGTTTTTTTGCATAGTGAATCATCGATTTGTGGAAACACCACGTGAATTTAGTATATGCGAAGCTTTCGGTCCATTAACCCGGGTCTTAATCTGTGCAATTAACTTAATTTAAAAAAGTGTAAACGTCACTTGTCATCACGAGTCCCTGGTTTATTTGCTAGAGCTTTAATTGTATGGTAGAACCTTTTAATCAGCAAATTCTTGTTTGTTATGATTAATTCACTGGCGTTTTCAGACCTCAGAATCTCAATGCTGCATAATGCATATTTGTTTAAAAATTTTATAGGCGAAGGAGTTATTTACTGAAATGAAGAAAGAATTTTTGAATGGCTTGAACGAACAAGAATGGTTGGACGACAAAACACGAGCGAGCGCACGCCGCAAGGTCAGTCTATAGAAATATTTGACAAAATTTAACAACATTGATAATTTGCGGTTCAGGAGGGTGGCATATTCATATATTCCTGTTAACAGACTGGAAAGACAATTTCAAAAGAAACTGATCAATCATAAAAAAGCTATGATTTTTACTCGGTGATATTAATGCCGAGGGCTTGTTTTATTCAATAAAAAAATTAAGAGCTCAAATTCCTACTACAACAGACAGTCCGAGAAAATACGATTTTTTACAGCTTATCAAGATAAAAGAAAATTTTGGCTATCTACAATTCATAAAAGATCCCGCGAAGCTGAACAAGTTCTATGAAGAAGTGAGAAGTTTAATTTAAATATTTTCTTATTGGAATAGTCCATGTTTGACTATTCAATAATTTGTTATCTAGGTTAAAGTTAATATATCTCAACTTTTGCAAAACCAGTTAAGCTCGGTGAGGAATACTTTTATGAAGCAGATTCAGCTGTTTGGTAAACTGTATGGCGACAACACGGTCAACACCTATACGTATGTTCAATATTTGTCATCTTGTTATAAAGGTCATTAAATCTGTCATTTTATTATAGTTTTTATCCTGCATTAATATACAGTACACGCGATTGGTCAAAATCAATCGCGTGGTTTCTTGTTGCCTGGCGACAGATCATGGGAAGCATATATAGTTTATTCGCAATATCCCATGAAAATCGTGGTTTGTTCAAAAATAACAACCTGCAGCGAGGCTTGGATCTTCAATCTAGCAATCAATGAACTCAGATTGTATATTAAAAGTGTTAGAGACTTTATGTTCGTGTTTTGTTGACAAATAAACGCACTTGCTGACCATACAATGAACTCGAAATTTCAATATCGCACTCGGCCTACGGCCTCGTGAAATATTCGAATTTCTCGTTCATTGTATTATGGTCAGCGCGAGCGTTTATTTGTGAAAAAAAACATTCACAACAGTCTCTAACCCTTAAATATCCCATGGCCAGAATCTGATTTGCATATCTGCATGATAAGGTATAATTTTATTGCAGCACTATGCAGTATTTAAAGCGTTTTAGATGTAATAAAACGCAAATTCGTATAATTATAATACATTGTTCTCGAGCAATACATTTGTATTGTTGTCCAAATTTGTGTAAATTTATATCTAGGCACTGTTGTCGAGCAATAAATTTGCTCCATGTATACAATGATAATTGGGATGGATTATATGAAGAGTACTAATAAACGTGAAAGATTATATGATGTGGCATCCTAAATAGCATTCATGGTACTTTACCACGTATAAAGCCCCCACATGTGACTTCTTAGGTTTGATTTAATGGGCTAAAATGCGTATGAAATGATAAGGAGTTGCAATTAACAAAACAAATAAATAATAAGTAATACAATACAAATAAATTTACCTGTGTTTCTACGAATCAGTCATTTAATTATTAATTTACCCTGCAAATTTTAGGATCAACTTTAGTATTGTACTCCATAATTTATCTTTATATTGGCTCTAATTGACTCACTCACTGATTATTTGTTCTCAGACTATTTCATCAGATTATTTCACCTCTTGCTGCCAATGCTTTCTACTTTGGTGTAACAAATGAAATTTGTAAGTAACTTTGGGGGGGGGATCCCTCCTTTCTCATTTTAATATTTGATCACTTTTATGCATGGGTATTCCTTTGTTTGCACGAAGAAGTGCAATGTTTTGTCTTTTAGTATAATTCATACATCAATGCTTCACCAGATATCATTATGTTTCTGTCTTTATATAGATATTTTGGCAGGAGTATTACGGCCACCTTTTTATCATAAGGACTCACTAAGGTAAATATAATTTCATGTACTCAACCTCATTTTTTATCCTATACCATGGGGGTTGAGTTAGAAAATAAGCGAGAGAGGCGAATAAGTAAAAAATAAATAACATCTGCTTTAACTCGACCAAAATAACTCAAAGAACAACTATACGAACAATTCGAATTCGTGTTTTGATATATACATGCATAGTGTATGAAATTCATGTATCCAACAACAAGAACCTGCTATCCAGGTAGAGTCGCAGCTCCACGCAAGAATTATTTTCTTTGGCTAAACTTTACAATACATTTCTGTTTCAACCAATAGCATAGCTTTAGAAAGCATAGAAAAGTATTATCCAATTGAACGAAAGCTTCCGAGCCCTGCGACATGATCCAAGACATGCTTTGCGTTTAAGAATATTTTTTTACAAAACAAAGAGCAACTAATTTGCTTGCTGAAGATGCTAAGACATAAAAACGAGAAATGATTGGCAAATTTAAATATAATCATTAAATTCACATTTTTCCATCCACCACTGGCAAGAGCTTCATTCTTACTGGTAATATACAGAGCTCATAATATAACTAGTCTTCTTTGTTATGCGCATGCGCCATTATTAGTTCTTGATTGGCTGAGACAAAAATTTGCATTTTCAAACGTCAATGCACATTAACTGTCATTTTGCAAAATTTTGATGAAAAGTTTATATTTCATAAATATGGGATATATTTATAACTTTTTAATACATTAATTAAAGGAAGAGGGCATTTTACTGTTGAACAAGTTTAACAAGACCAAATTTTCGACCGAATGTAACGTGAATAATGAAGTTGGAAGATTTTCCCTTGGTATCATTTCTACCAGCACAGTTTTAAAAATTCATTCTGCATGCATGTATTTGTAGTCCTCGAGCCGGTGCGGAGCGCCGTGCGAGGGTACTAAATCCGCCCGGAGATTAGGAATTACACCCGGGTATTGTGACAGAACATAGCGGAATCCAAAGTTGTCCAAATTCTATGTCATGGACCGTGGACGTTCAATGGTCATGACACTTGTGCGCACGCGCAAAACTTGAACGAGTAAGGACTGGTGATTCGCAAATTGCTGATTGGCTAAGACAAAATGTTTGTATTTCAATGAAAAATGTCAGCAGTTTAATTATCATTTTGCAAACTATTTTTTTAAAAAAATGCTTCGTAAACAATATGTTATATTATCGTTTAACTCCAGAAAGAGTTCTTGAAAGTGTGATTCGTAGATTTGATATAATAAACATCACTTTGAAGCTTTTATAGAGTCGACTATAATCTCTGCGTGAATTCAATAATCGAAAAAACAACATTCGACGTTTCGTGTTTGGGGATTTAAATTATTTTTGCTGTTTTGAAGGCTTAGCTATAGTGAAGTATTAACCAAGTCTATATGACTATAATTGCATGCAACGTAATGCAGCGTGTAAACGGGTGATTTCATTTCACCTTTATGACTGTGTTTGTTTCCGAAAAATGTGAAATATCAGCAATAATATTGAGGTTTGGCTAGCTGAGGAAAACAATTTGCTTCGTTTGAAATGGTGAGGGGTTGCTGCATGCATGTAATCACTATTTCTAGCATAGTCATACTAACTCAGTTTCTTGATAAAAGACGTCGGGAAGTGTTTTTGTCTATGTTGGGCAGTTGTTATACCACATTAATGATGCGAAGATCTCAAAATATTTTCATATTTGCTTCGTTTATATGCTTGCTTTTATTTTTCGAGTATTCGATCATTTTTGTTTCATTTTCATTTTAGTTAAACTTGTAATCCTCTTGCTTCCAATTTCAGAGCGTTAAATTATGGATCCCTTGGCATGCATGTTACTAGCGCATGAAATAGCACATACTTTGGGCAAGAAAGGTATGATCAAGCTTCCATTGTAGAAGGAAGAGTTGCGCGCTAGAAATTTTAGGTACCCCGGTTAAATGTATATGTCTGTTTAAAGGGTCCGAAGAAGATGGCTAAGAATTTCGTTGTAACTAACCTTCAAGCATTTCATGGCCAGAAAATTCGGACATATTTAACATTCTACTTCCGCCTAAATTTGCATATGGTGTCAAAATAAAGCTTTGTGAGTTTATAGTAAACTGTAATGTGCACAGTACTAAACGCTAAAAATACACCTTTAGGTAGGTCGATTATAATTTGCCTTAATTGCTCGTTGCAGAGCAAGTTAATCTTAATATTTTTATACAGTATTACAAAATGTTTTATCAGTATTCGTCCTGCATTTTCAAAACAAAGTTTTGGTCATTTATCACGTTGAATACCATATAAAACGAGAACCGTAATAGCGTAGAAATAAAATAAAAATGCAGAGCCGACATAAACCTTTGCCAGCAAAATATTACCTCAGGATCTTCAATATGACACGAGTTACAAGAAACAACCAGGGCAAATAGCAAAGATGCAATGATTTTCTTAAATTTTGCAAAATTTAAGAATGCGCAATATAATTTATAGTTCTGCAAACGAATAATATTTGAACAGATATGCAAATTTGCTACGGCAATCTGCATATTCCATGTCCGCAATTTCTGGCCATGTTACGTATACCTTCAAAGTTAAAAAAGTTTAATAATCGATTTGCTATCGCACAATTGTGCGCTGTAGTTGGGGATACATTTACACTCTGTGTAGATAGATAAGACCTTTTAAATTGTCATATACGTATACCGTAAAAGATTGAAAAATGCGGTTAAAAATGAATTTGCTATCGCACAGTGGCGCGCTGTATTGGGGTACGTTTATGTACGCTGTACATTCGATGTTACGCGCTGTGTGGGTATTTCACTTCGCAAGTCAGGCTATCCTACCTATGCTCCACGGCCACTCTGCGGCAAAACCATGCTGGTTATGTGACAGCGCAAAATTGCCCAAAATATGGGAGATTTTTAATTAGTGCTTGGTTCATCTCTAAGGGAGGGGTGGTAAAGTCAATATACCACTTCTGCTATTTTTAGCACTTGTGACAGTCCAGATGGGTAGGGATAAAATGCGTATACGGATTATGGATGGCGGATTGAAAAATGCGGATGAGGGGGTAAAATGCGAATCGGGAGGATAAAATGCGGATGAGGGGTAAAAATGCAAAAAAAACATGTATGCTGAAAGCTGGAACTTTAAAAATATGAATTTATTGCATGCCTTTCTTAAAATTTGTTTATCACCGCAATGGATGCCGCTGTGCCGCATGTGTTTTCGATTTCGTGCAAGAGAGAATCTGCAGATTTGTGAAGACATTAATTTTCCATCGATGTCTGTTTCTTTTTATTATTTCGAGCGAGTTGACTACAAATGGACGTATGACAGTGAAGACATTAATGGCGATAAAAATCCGCTGATAAGACGATGAACTAATGCTTTGCGTGAGTTTCGGTGAAAAAGAAGACGTCATAAAAACAATCATGACCCGTGTGCAAGTTAATATTTTCCGGGGGGTTACAGATGGCATCCTCAGCTCTTTCATGTAGCTTTTTCATATTGGGTTGATTAATTAATTTAGTATTGCTTAAAATTCGATCGCAAATTCCAAGAGGGAGAACGCACATGAATTGGCTGCATCTTTTGTCGGGTGCGACATGCCTGATTTCTCCTTGCTGTTTTGCATTTCTGTCTGATAATTTGGCTTAAAGTTTTGTGATTGTTTTGTTTTGTTCGCATACATTTTATATAAATGACACACTTGATAATTTTACTTATTTTCGTCAGCGAATACTGCTTTGGATGCATGTCAAGGTAATAAACAGCTACTGGCAGGGGTGGATCCAGCACTAGTGCACTAATTTGCATGACACAAGAAAACTGCTCAAAATAAACTTTTAGTTTTGTAATGCAAATTAGTGCACTAGTGCTGGATCCACCCCTGGCTACTGGAATGCATATTTGACATGTGGGCATCATATTATTATATCGTTAATTAAAGACGTATATCAGCGATTTGATCATGAACTTGTGCGCGTTGGTTCAAATTAATTTTTTTGCATTTTATATAAATGACACACTTGATAATTTTACTCATTTTCGTCAGCAAATACTGCTTTGGATGCATGTCAAGGTTATAAACAGCTACTGGAATGCATATGTGACATGTGGGCATCATACTATTATATCGTTAATTAAAGACGTATGTCAGCGATTTGATCATGAACTTGTGCGCGTTGGTTCAAAATAATTAATTGTCGTTTCAAAAGTTGCAAATTTCACTGAAAATATCTCGTAACTTATGAAAGGAGCAGAGAGTTTTCAATAAATCAGCCTTTATGTTTATAAAGCCTTGACGGGCATCCAATATTCAGTATTTCCTGAATACATCAGTTAACGAGCACAACTCTTAGATATCAAGATAGTGCTTTGAACTGTTTAATCGGGCGCTGAAGTGCTAAATTTATATTACCTTTTTCAATACACACTGCTGACTTCGATCTCTACAAACAGGTGGGCAGTTCGACGAAAACGGAAACATCAAACAATGGTGGACAAAAAAATCGCACAAAAATCTCGTGAAAATATCGAAATGTTTCGTTGAACAGTACAGTAAAGTGAAAGTTTTTGGCGTACAGGTTGGGTTTGCCTGTGGTTTTCTTCTTATTTCTTTTTGTATTTCGTTTGCAGTTTTTTTCGTTTGTCGTTTAACATTATGTATACTGCTTCTACAACGACTTCACTTTTACATATCAAAAAATTATATTTCATGTCATAATGGCTACCGAAATAATATGCAGATCGTGCATGGTTTAACTTGCCGGTCGAGCACCAATCTCCACTGCGAGGAAAGTCAAATCACATATGTCTTTAATAATGTCAAGACATTATTATATTATATTATCATATCTTATATCAAATATTCAGACAAATATATAGCCGTTATGGCATGAAAAGTTATATTGTTAAGCAATTGTGCCATTACGGGATGATATAGTAGCTTCGTAACGTATTCTTCTGAGAAACCCTATATATGTTGAGATGATTGTCACAATTATATTTATAGACTCATCATAGACTCATCGCTATTGCTTAATTGTCCAATTAGGTTGACGGCAATTCCACCCTTGCAGAAAATATTGCTGATAATGGAGGATTAAAGTATGCTTATAGGGTAAAGTGTAATATTAGTATCTACATAGCTACCTATGTATAAAAGTGTCCCAGCTTTCATTAGTATAGTTATATAATGCCCCATCATCTCTTTTTTTAGGCATATCAAAATTTTAGGGGAAAATACGGGAATGAGGGAATGTTACCAGCACTTCCATTTACTAATGATCAACTTTTCTTCATTAGTTTTGCACAGGTAACAATTTGCATCAGGCAATTTTGATTTGCCGGGATGCAAGAATTAGCATATGCAACTGCTGATCATGTTGCGCGAAGTCTCACGCAAGCTGCCATCCCAAAATATCAGTGCACAAGTACTCGGTCACATATGGAATCAAATTCCTCCTCCGTATTTATGAGGAGGAAAATCCCTCTCGGACGACAATGCTCCTTCTGCTTACAGTTCCATTGAGGCCGATCGAATATTCACGTAGGCGGCGACTTAGGCCGGATGAATATTTCTTCGGTTGTTTCTCCGAAAAAATTAGGCTCTACTTGCCACTTATGCCGGGATAAGGAATTGCTAAATGCGTTTCTGTGTACAACATGATCCAAAACACGGTATGATCAACGGACTTGACAAAGCTTGAATATGCAAGGCGGTGATCATGACTCTTAAGTCCAAAAAGAACAATACCGCCAATAAGAACAAAACATTTTCCTTCTTTAGACGATGTGTGCAAAATATAGCGACGACATAAATTGGCTGAGAGCGACGGTTTCTATTTATTCTCTTGATCCTGTCAGGTGAGCAATGAATGTTGTCGGCTGAATCTCGTGAAAACCACATTTCACGGTGTCCTTTTAATGTTTCAGGGTGCAGGTCCCTTTGCACAATGTCCCTGCCTTCAGTAGAGCATTTGGATGCACGCCGCCGAATAATACGTGCGCAGTGTGGTAAATTTAGAGGGAAATAATCCTGGAGTGTACTTTATTACGTATTTCAATGATTTTGTAGTTTTCTTTTCTGAAAACAATTCCTGATCACCAGAGCAGGAAATATCAGGAAATTGTGGCAAAACTTGGCAACAGTCTAATGAACAGTCTAATGAGCAGTCTAATGAGGAATAGTCTATAATCGACAAAATTACAGTAACACGGTAGTACGCCAATATAATACGATAACGTAGAACAGAATTTTCGTAGTCTAGTATGAACCTGATTAAGAAAAAACAATTCAATTTTAACCAAAAAGCTTCGGGCACTCTTTTCTTTGTGGGAATCAAAGAAATATGAGAAAGTGTTAGAAATTAAAAAATTTTGGAATGAAGATGTTTTCATCAATAAAATAGGAAATCATGATATGTTTGTATAAACACTTAGTCAATACATGCACCACCGATCTATATATTGACAGGTTAACCTACTATGCATTATATATTAAGGGATAAATTTTTCTGTTCAAAAGTGATCACAATAAGAACTGAGAAGCACTGAAAAAATCATCATTTTCAACCAAAACAGTTTGTAAGGGAAACATCTTACCTAACTCTAATTTAGCGAATTTCCAGATGTTTCAAAAAAAGTCTAAAAGTGCTAAAATAACTTCTATCTCAGTATGAACCAGAGAAACTTGAGAAACCTAAGAGAAAATTGAACCAGTTTTTTCCAGTCCGATGGTTATCTGAAATGTAATTTTCTGATCATTTTTGTTATGGATTAGAGTCAATATTTTTCTCCCTATATTCAGTTTATTTGCGACAGTACGCTAGTTGTAATTTTTAAAAAGATGCGAATATATAAGTTAAGAGCTTATTCGAATTCTAAATTCTAAACGACTGTTTAAAATAACGGTCAGTTCTCCATGATCTTGCAGCTCCATTTAGTCAAAATAGAATATAAAGAACGGATATTGCATTGTAGATAAACATAAAAAAATTTCGATCTAATGTCTTTAGTATTATATAGAAGAACAATAATTTATCGTCCATTTTTCATATGGCGAGGCACCCGGCCCGGTACAGATTTCGACACGCTGAAATAATGTTCTCCTATGTCAGAAATATGTGTCCCCTCACCAACACACAGATTAAAAAAAAAATTTTGAAAAGTTAAACCACAAATGCTGGAATATTTTCAGAAAGTTGACATAAAACACGGTTGTCAATAAGTCAAAATTGTATTTCTAAAAAGATATTGCACGCGCGCACGCAAGAATGAAATTAGTCAAACTATGTAATACGTCATACTTGTCATAACTTTTGGGGTGCGTAGTCCGTGGCTGTAGTTGATGTCTTCTTTCTTAGAGTTGGTTAAAACAACATTCCATGAAGATTATTCAATTATTACAGGTATACCAGGGAGCCACTAAAATATACTATGCTGCCCCGCAATATTATAAGTAGAAATGACCAGACTTAACCTTCTAAGTTTATACACTGGCGGTCTAAAAGAACTGCTCAAAACAAGTTAAAGTGCTCTCAAATGAACGAAACTGTCCCTCTAACAATATAATTATACGAGTAAATATAGACTAGATTTTGTTGACCCTCTTTTGGCCTTACAATTTGACCCTCTTTCGGCCTTACACCAGCGTGGCATACTTTCTGTTAAGGTGGTAATCTTCACGGTGAAAAGAAATCCATCCTATGGACAGTCTTTACAGCAACGAATTATTTAATTTACGCCATAATCGCAGTCGACTCTATATAATCTTTAAAGTGATATTTGGTTTATCAAAACTCCGTATTACACTTTCAAAAACTCTTTTTAAAGTCTAAGCGATGATGTAAAGTCTTAAATCGTTAGTTAACCCTTCGTAAAACGACATACCAAGCTCATATAGTACTTGTGAAATAATGCATTCTAATCTAGTACACTCGCACGGTGCTCCCCACCGGCTCGGGGACAAGGAAATTATAATATATGACTAACAGGGGCTTAATATATAATTGAGTAGGGAACATACTTGGTTCATGGTCCATATGGAAATAATGAGATTGTGCGATCACTCTTGCATATTTCAAATTCAAGTTAACGATCCTTTGTTGCGAGGACGAAAGCCTAAAATGTGTCCCGAGGCGATATAAGATTTATTATTAATATATACCGCTTGTCAAAGTTTGGTGTTCGTAGCGTTTCATTGGTCGAGAGCGAATCACGCGAGAGTGACGAAATTTTGGTGTGACCACCGCGACCCCCTGCAGAGTGAGATAACGTGTTATCCCATGGGAAATAACAACTTTTATCCATTTGAAATGAATGGATATTTCGTTGTTTACCTTGTAGTTTGGTTTTTCTTTGACAAGTGGTATATAATAAAAAACTTATTTACTGAGAACTCAGAAAACATTATGTTTTGTGGGGGTCTCGGGTCCACAAAACATAACGTTTCCTTCGTTCGCAGTAAATAAGTGTTAATTATTATATACCACTTGTCAAAGTTTGGTGTTCGTAGCGTTTCATTGGTCGAGAGCGAATCACGTGAGAGTGACGAAATTTTGATGTCGCCCGCGCGACCCCCAGCAGGGGGAAACAATCACGCCGGGCTAGAACACCCGAAAATTCAGCCATATGTTTGTCGGGGAAATAATTCAAAATGACCGCCAAAATTTCAAAATGGCCGCCAGGGAGGCGGAGCTATAAACCATGAATAATTTATAAATAGGTGCGATGAGGTTCAAAAGGTGATAGCTTAGTATAAACGAAATTTATCTTTGAGGTCCTTTATGTACCTACACACCCTCAAAATTCGCAAAAGTCAATGGCGGGCACACAGAAAAACGAAAAATCCGTGCACACATGTGTGTTCTTCTTGCCGCCCGGTGGAAATAAATTTAAAAATATGGTCAGTTAGTGGCTAGTTTTCAAAAAATCAAAACCATAGAATTTACCAGCTCTGGTTAAAGTTCAATAAAAGATGAGTTCATGCTGATCAAACATTATAATCATTCCATATTGCGAATGATGTGTTCTGACAAAGCTGCATCATGGAAGCGATTCCCAATTGGCGAACTCGCGAGGAAGCGAAAACTTTTGAAAGAAAATTACATTGCAGCTGATGTTAAACGTGCAGAATTGGCAAACGAACTAGATTCTGTTCAACATGACATTGATAAAATGTCGAAAAGGGTGAGTAAATTTATTAGTAAATACTATACTATCAAATTTGTAAAATGCTTAAATATATTGTGCAGCAAATTTGATATAATGCATCAGTGGTATGCGCTGTATTTGTGCAATGTGTACGTACAGTCTATGCATTGTTTAAAAAGTGCTCTCACTGGTTGAAGTATAAGGATGAAAAAATCGTGCCTAATAACTATGTCCCTCTCTAGCCAATATTGACATATATGGAAAATTAATATAATTTCTTTGTGTAGAACTTTTTATATAATTAAATTTGTAGATTGATTGCCATCAAGAGAAGTTAGCTGATCTAAGTCTAAGTGAGAAGGAGTTGTCTGAAAAACGAAGGCGACTCGAACCAAAAACATTTGCAGGCTTTTCAAAAAGGAAGGAAACAATGAGACAGATGACACCATCAAAGTTATGTGCTGACAACTCTGAGAAGCTATGCTTGGAAATACCAGTAAGGTCTGCCCAAAGAAGACGTAAAGAAACATTAGACGCCTCTAAAGTTATTCATGGAAGCAGTGAAGGTAGTTATAGTATCAGTTAAAGTATGAAATATACTTTAGTATATTAGTATAATTACAATATATTCCATTGTCTATTCTGCCTAGTAAATATTTGGTCACTTTTAATTTAGGGGCTTTTTGCATTGGCCTTGGCCAACTGGCCACCCTGTTGGCTCAAACAGGGTCTGAGCAAAGCAGACCCATTAACGCATTGAGTGACATTGCACCCTAATACACCCTACATCTAGCATTTACTCTGTCTAATGCCAGAGTATTTAGTCTGTCTAATGCCAGAAAATTTTACTAGTCGAGGGGAGAGCACTGGCACTTAATGGGTTAACATAAATTTTATTTCTCAAGGAAAGTAGAATAAGGCTGGGTGTCTTAGCTATGAGATCCATTCTGGCTATATATATTGTATCAGCCAGGTTAATTGTGCTAGGCCTGGTTAGAACATTGTGATGTAAACAACCCCTTAGTGTTGGTAATTAAATGTTACTTGCTGATTTTCCTTTTTTCGACATTTACATTCAAACTTAATATCCTTTTCCATTTATAATTTGTCCAGGTGAAAAAGCTGCCCTTGATGGTTTATGGGTGACATTCATCAATGAATGTTCCAGAAAACAACTCCATTCATATGTTGAGGCATCACCCAAAATGCAAAAGATTATTCCAATGGTAGTTAAAACCAAAACTAAAGAGTATGAAGAGAGTCACAGTAACTTGGTAAGAAGCTTGAAAGTCCTTTACACAAAAGGACTTCTCTCAAAGGAAAAATACAAAGCTATATGTCGAAGCATTATTTCAGTACAATGCACAGAATCATCTCCTTCAGTGAGCAGTGCAAAACTTGTATATTATGATAAGCTTATTGCATTTGTTAAGTCTGTCGACATTGACAATATCAAAAACTTTTCTGATGACTTCTGTCAAGGCTTAGAGGCCTTTGAAGATCCAGTCAGTGGGTCTTATAGAGATTTGTGTAGTTACCTTTTAGTATTAGCAGAGTTGTATATCTTAATTGATCAAGCATTAGGGCCTGACTCATTCCTTAGGCATTTTGGAAGTCTCCCAATATATCACTTTAGGATTGCATTAGGGGCTGATGGTGCTCCTTTCGGCAAGGAGGAAGAGGCTACAGCATGGCTTGTCTCTTTCATTAACGCAGCAAAACACATTCAAAGTGAAAATGAAAATTTTATCATATGTGGGGCAAACTGTTCTGAAGGCCACATTGGTATGCCAAGGTATGCTAAAAAGTTAGTGAGTGAAATTTCAGATATAGAAAAGCAATCTTACACTGTTGCTGGTTACTTAGTAAGATTTTCCATAGAACTAATCCCCAGTGACATGAAATGGCTTTCCATTATGTCAGGGGAACTTAATAATGCTGCGTACTATTTTTCTCCGTTTGGGAATGTAAACGAAAGTAACAAAGCTACTACAAATGGGTCTTTAGGCAAAGATTCTGCTTGCACATGGCACCCATGGGATTACAATGAGCGCATTAAATCTGCTGAACTTGTTGCCAATAAAAGGGAGAGCTTAAATCAAAGTAAGCTGTCTGATGCAAACAAACGAAATAAGCTTTTGAATTTCATTAAAGAGCATAATTCTAGACAAGAGCATAAACCCATCTTAGGCAACCTTATTGATAATGGATTTGCAGAGCCACTCCACAACAGTAACAATGGTTGGGGTAACTTACATAATATAATGTTGGAAATTGTTATAGCTAAGTCAAAGATCCCCCCTACTGTCACAGAACTTGATAGTTTACCTAGTGAATGCAAGTTTATTGTTTTTTTAACAATACTGAAAGACACCTTACATGTCACCAGGCTAGTTAAAAAGCTAAGGCACTGGTTTAAGGAAGGTCGAAAGAAGTCTTTCAGTTATCGGTTCACTGGAAAAGAAACAAAACAATTTTGCCAAAAATTTGCATTTATTATGCATTGCCTTAGTGATAAAGATGACCCCCCCGAGGTGAAACAGAAAATTTCAGCCTTGAATTACTGTTGCATACAGCTTCGAGATGCTACTGCCTACTATTCACGTGTTCTCATTAAGGAAGACGAAATTGAAAAATGTAAACAGGCATGTCAATGTTTCTTTAATATATATGCACTTATGTTAAGGTCAGTTACACCAACAGTATGGACAATAGGGTATGCCATACCAACACATTTAGAAATTCTGTATCAGAGATATGCAATGGGTTTAGGCATAAATAGCATGCAGGGAAGGGAGGCGAAGCATGTTCGTCTCTCCCAATTTGCTAAACACTCGACAAAAACTACCCGGTGGGCCATGGTTTTGCGGCATGATTTCATTGCCAATGTTTGGATCCGCAAGCAAGATCCCACTTATACTACCTATACAAAGTATGAGCATTGTTACATACCTAAAGAAATAGCCTTAGATACCTTCTGCTACTGTGGTTTTCCTTTGGAACAACAAGTTAGAGAGTGTTGTATTTGTTCTTCGCCCTTGCATAAAGCAATTACTAGGAGTGCTATATCTGGAGCTTTAGAAAATACACTGATTACAAGTACAGCGTAAAGTTGGCTTTACATGTTGACACCCATATTTTGTTATTAGTATGCATGTTTAAACATAGAAAAAATACTTGAGTTAATACTGGTATAATAATACCATATAGTTGTGGCATTTTTGCCATGTGTTGTCATGCTTCAGAAGAATTTTTATGAAATAACCTAGCAAGAAGTGGTTTAGCAAGGGCATTTGGCAGGGGGGAGTTATATATGACTGTTTTAATAAGATAGTGCACTGGGGCACATTGCAATTTAACCCACCCTACTTTTAGTTCAAGTCTTTATTATAATCAAAAAATCAAATCATATTCCAATGCAACTATATATTACACAATGTTATTTGTTTAAAATGCTGTGCTGTCAACAAATGAACAAAAAAGTATCTAATGCACTATTTTCATTTAAACATCCCACTTAACCATGCGTATAACCGGGTAATCATGTTAAGATTGGGTCCACATAGGATCACAAATAACTGCTGCACACCTTACGAACTGTTCACAAAGTTGGTTCCGAGCATCACGCAACCAAATGTTTAGTTCCTCGAAAGCTCAGGCAAAGACTTATATAGAAAACAAGACAGATAGATTCACATAGTATGTTACAAAATATGTTGAGGGATACCAGAGGCATTCCAAAATCCATAGGACATGATAACCTTGATTTGTTCTTGGGATTTTGAGTATGTCAGGAGCAGTGGTTTCGTTGGTAAAATAATTGCTTTGCAAAAGGAACCGTCCTTCAAACGTTTAAAGAAAAGATCCTCTTCCTGTACAACAGAATTGTTTTTGTTGACGATACGCAATTTCCAAGCATGAGCAAGAGAAACCTCGACACTGTCGACACACCGTGTGCTCCTTGCCAGGGTACCAAAATTTCCCTTCAAAATTGTCAGTTTTAGCAAATCAAAAACCTCCTTAGCCATGTTTCGGGAAAAGCATACTTTCCAAGGACGAGCTAATGATGTTATAGCCTTCATTGTTCTCTTGACAATAATATTCCATCGCAGTAATTCTCTCGATATAATTGGGTACAAGGGAGCAACATAAAACATGCAAGCGTCCTCTCCTTCCCACAAGTATTTCTTTACTACTTCTTTAGATCGAACGAGGACTTCAGAGCATATTTTACCGGCTACATCTCTGTTTTTTGCTTGTTTTATGTAATCATTTGTCAGTTTATGCAAGTCAACAATAAGCGACGCCATATTGATTTCTAGGTTGAAACCCGCACGCGGGCGAACAAGTTTATCCCAGTGGTTTATCCCGAATTAATAATATTAAAAATTAAGTGGCCGAATTTTCGGGTGTTCCAGCCCGGCGTGAATGCATTATTTCATGGGAAATAACAACTTTAATCACGTGCTGCACTCGTGGACATCTGACCTTCAGTTGACATTGGGCTAAGTTGACCTTCGTCCTTTGCAGCGTTTGTTTTTGACAACTGTTAAAAACTAGAATGGAAAGATTTGCCAGCAATACTAGCGACGAAATAGACAGCTTGCTGGTGAAATATCGACAGGTCTCGGGTCCACAAAACATAATGTTTCCTTCGGTCGCAGTAAATAAGTGTTAATTATACACCACTTGTCAAAGTTTAGTTTTCGTAGCGTTTCATTGGCCGAGGGCTGATCACGTGATCTGTCTCGGGTTCAAAAACATGTCAGTTATCCTTGGTCGCGGTAAATAAAAGTTAATTAAAAAGTAGTGAAGTTGTTAAACTAGTGAAAATAAAACAAGTAAAATTATGGCATTTTAAAAAATATTCTTGCTAACAATAACAAGGAAAGTGTGTTGTTGCCCTTCGTAAGACACCGCAGAAATTGATATATTTGTAAAATTTTAATCGATATATTTGTAAAAAACTCACTGGTTCACATGTGTGAATTTCTGTTAGGCTCTCATTGAAAATACTACTAATTAAGTTAAATCAAGTTAAAATTCTCTTTCTCAATAATCTCTTAGACGCTTATCAAAAACCTTTAGCGGCTGTGGGATGGCCGTTTTAAATGTTTATTATTACTATTATTAAAACTTTATTTAGTGAGGATAAAACGTAACAGCAAAAGCTGAGAAACTTGTGGTCCTCCTAAAATTCTAAAATTACAGACATTATAGATTAAGAATGTACAAATATATATTAGATAAATGTACAAATATTAGATAAATGTACAAATAATAGAACATTATGCATGTGTAAAGTTAAGTATTAAAAATCATTATTTCAAAGTTATCAATATGTTTATATGTTGCAAAAAAATAAGAGCGTATGGCTTTACTAAAAATATTTAATGTTTCATAAAAAACTCATAAAATGTCAGTGTAAAAAAATGTCAAGGTCATATTTTCATTGCTTGTAGCTATTTAGATATTTACTTTATTTTGGACTCTTGAAATAGTTACGTATCACGAATGTAGTCCACCATGATTATGTGGTGGCATGAGTCTTTTATTGAACTAATTACTACAAATCTTTAATCTTTGAAAGTCTTTCAAAATTACAGACCTTTAAAAACATCGGTTATCGAGATATATCCGCCATATTGTTTTATAATGAGATCTGATTACGTGACGTCAAAAGCAGCGTTTAAAAAATAACAATTACATGTTTACGCTTTAGTGTAGAACTCTTACAATTCAAACGTTATAATTTGAGACACGTGCGATTCTAATACCATGGAACTATCACTTCGCTGGATCATTAATTTGAAGTTACAAAACGAATTTTCACCCAGCTTATGACGTATAGCATATCAGAGCAAGAATATGCTTATCCAACATGGCGGATGGAAACAATTCCATTCAAAAATATCTTGAGAAGTAATAAAGTTAACAAAAATCCGTAAACTAATTTTATAAGTAATCATGACTTTGTTTTAAAATGCACAAAGATAATATTTATTGCCTTATCCCTTTAAGTACAGTTAGACGTTAACTAGTCTTTTATACAACTGGCCCCTTGGAGATTCTCCGTTGATTCCTAATTGAATATGTTTGGTTGCAAGTAGCTACGCGATCAGGAAATTCCCCCCATGAAATGTCGGGCTTTTCATTTTGTTTCTCGTTGTCGTTTCAGCTTCGTGCATGTTTTACACAATTCTCATTAAAACTGTTTGTATGTATGGAACTCCTGGACAGGAAATATTTGGTAAGTAAATAATATTGTTTATTTGTTTCATACTATATCTACTCCTTACATATAGGTATCTTTTGGGCAACAAGCAAAACTTCCAGGAATACTGTGTTATACCACTTATATCGTAAAAATCTATGGCCTATTTTGCCTATGGCCTATGTGTGTCATTATATCCACCTAGCTGTAATAATAATAGCGATTAAATTCGCGTGTAACAAGGCGGAATTTTGTTTTAGATTAATCAGCTAGTTTGTTTAGATTTTCAGTAAGCCAATAAAGATGCATAAATTTTGACTACTTCCAGTAAAACGGTACATTATTTACCATTTTACATGAAGTATTACAAATGTAGACACTCTGATTGGTTTTGCCTGAAAAATGTAAAAAAAAATTCTTTCATTAATATGCAGTTGTCAGTATATTGAGCTATTAAGTGTGGACTTCCGTTTCTCCTGTAGTGTCTAGAATTATTTCGATAATTCTTTTTAAAGCTGTTTGTGTGAAATGGATTTCAGCGAAGAAAATGTTTGGTGAGTATTCATTTGTTTTACGATTAAGCTTGTTAATAGGAACAAAATAGCGAATAATGCGTCAAAAATCCAGAGAACATCGCAGATATATAATTATTCGGAATACTATTTTATTTATATCAGTAACGTGAGAACATTGCCACAATTTGTTCTTAAAGTTAGGTAGTTGTAACCGAAGACCTTACGACGCGACAGCTCGACGATGCGTCTTCAATTCAACGAATCTTCATTACAAAAGTAATGAATAATTTGTGTTCATAACTCATAAGAGTACACATACTGGACAGCTTTGTTCTCGACAAAAGGTTAAATTTAAGCCTGCTTTCCATTTAGTCGTAATTGTCGTGAACAAGTAATTTTCACTGTTGAATATATTATAGTCCAGATGTAAACTTATGTATTCGATTTCGATCATTGTTGTCTGAATATACACACATCACATCAGCCACCATGACAACACTCATGAATCCACCAGGAATTAACAATGTTTACACTATTCTCTTTATTGTACACATACCGTATTTGCACGACATTTGGTCACGACATCAAAATTATCATCTCATATCCAAGTCAAACCGAGCCAAGTATGATTGCATGATTTCCTTGACACGATCTGCCAAATGAAAAATTCTGGGGACAGAGATGCCGCAAACAACTTAAACTAATGTCGTCACCAATGTGAATCCGATATAGTGTAAAATACTCAGTTTTTACTAGTTCCATGCATTTTATATTAAAATAATTCACTAATGAAATTTCATGTGGCTTCGGTTTAATCGACGTCGCATCGTCGATCTGTCGTACATCTTAAGGCGAATTTATTCACGCGAACTGATAAAATGTAGGAAACGATTCTACTTTTTCGCAGTGAATTCTTTCGCAAGCGAATCACATCGCCGTATTTTGTGGAAAACGGGCTTTAAGTTAAGGTCCCTCATATCGAATAAGTTCGCATGTGTTTAGTCTAGCAGCAAATAATACCACCCGATTTCAATGCAATATTAAATAGGAATGCGTTGCCCGTGATTTTTAATGGACGTTTTACATATGAAATGAACCCTTACAATAACTTGATGTAAACTATAGCAAGACTGCTGATTTTTACGATCAAATATATAGCTAAATTTATAGAAATATTCGTATCAGCTTACAGTATTGGTTCTGAAGAATGCTAAGTATTCAGTTCAAGTACCTTTTTTAAAAATCCTTTCATCAGTACTTAGAATACGTTTAGTACACTTTTACGGTCAAAGGTTTACGGTGTACATATGGCAGCATAAAATTATGAGAATATACAATATACAGACCTTGAACGTTTGAACGTATGAACGAACGCAGAACACAGGATGAAGACTGAACACGTAAACACAATTTTTCGATTGGATGTGTATTTTTTTATTGTGTACTTTTTTATTGTCAACTGAGATCCTATACTTAACAACAATAGCATGAAGTTTGTTTTGCGCATCGCTTCTGCTCATAATAATGTGTGGGCCATCTCGCTAAAATTTCCTGAATTTCGCATGCATGGCATGTTTCGCATTTTTCTGCATGAACATAAACGCTTGTTCATATTCGCTTGAAGAGATTAAAGATGATTTTAGTGTTTGCATGCTTGTTGACCTCATTAAAAAACCGCGTTTTTCTGTTGCGTGAAAAACTGGAGCATGACTTGTAGGCTTTCACTGATCACATAAAGAAATGTATCAAGTTTGAATTAGTCATTTTAACAATTTGTTTTTACAGTGTATTGGAATTTTAATTCACGAGATAAGAACATGGCTATAACTTTATTTTTCTAGTTTGATCGATTCAGAAGAACCTGAGACCAAGCTCAAGACACGAAAGCCTTCCAAGTCTCGCTTTCTTTCGTATATATCAATTTTACTGGTATTACTGCTGCTTACTTTGACCGCAGCCTTCATTGTACTGTATGTGGAGAAGGAGACGGATTCATCATGTGAATCTGGTAGTAGGAGATGTACATCTTCTGGCTGTTTCGCTAGTGCTGCAGGTATGGAAGCAGAACTATACTCTATTTCTTTAAAATGTAAACTATATACAGGGTTTCCCAAAAAATGCAATTAACTTTTCAAGCCTATACGTGATCGAATTAATCGAGAATTATCTCATTTTAAAGCCTGCTCATTTTCTTTTCAACGATACGTTTTAACAATACGTTGAAGTATTTCAGGCAGGAAATAAATGTACTTTCAAGATGCATGGATTCCGGTGAATTCCGGCACAACCGGTGAATTTAAGATGCACGGTAAAAGAACATTTTTTATGTACCATGGGTATTCGGAAATTCATGTTTGTTTTTAATACTACCAAACTGTTTGGCAAAACGTTTAATAACATAACATCATGGTACTGTTAACTGTAGCCGAAAAAGCTTTCTTCAGAGACCTACTTCAAAACAGAAAGTTCGAATTTGGATTTTCGTGTTTTTTGGGGGCACCCTGTAGACAATCATCGCCCTAACGATGAAAATGCAATTTAGCTATACGACAAATACGTTTCGTCTCGCCTTCCTCTCGAGGATTGGTTCGGCGATTATCTCTCCGTTTTTGTGAATTGTCTCCATCACTTAGCGTTTTCAATATCAAGAAGCACAGCGCTATTTCTGCTTATATAGGCTATGTGCACTCGAGCGTCATTTTTGAGCGTTTTCAAAATCGTTTTTATCTGGTTTATAGCGTTGATGCCCTGTCCACACGATCCAAGGAGAATTTTTCCGAATATGTTTTTATTAGCTTTAACTTTTATTGTAAATTGACGGTGTTTAAAACAGTTTTGGCGTGAAAATGAAAATGAAAACGCTCGAAAACTTTACCGTCATGTACGTAGTTCTAGTTTAATCATGCGATAGTTCACCAGTTGATTTGAAATCATCGTAGCATCATGAGGCGTCTCAACAAAACTGAGTTTTTACGCTCCTGGAGTTAGTTGTTCTTCAAAGCAATAGAATAAAACGTGAAAAAAAATCCAAATTCAAATTTACAGTTGGGTGAAAAACAAACGTGTTTCCGCATGAGATAATGTCTTGGTCACTTTCCTTACTTTCAGACTCTCGTTTTTACTATAACTGTCACGAAAAATATATTTTAGGCATCTTAGAAAAGCTTAATCAATCGACAAAGCCATGTGATGATTTTTATCAGTACAGCTGTGGAGGATTCATAAAAAGAACTCATCTAGGAGCAAATGAAACTCTAGCAGATTCGTTTGTCAAAGGCAACGTATTCATTGACCAAGCTCTTAAGAGAATTTTCGAGGATGAGGAATTAATGTTCAATTACTCAAAGGTAACACGAAGAAATATGAGTTTAAATACTTATTTCATGCTTCATGCTTAAACAAGACACGGACTCGTGGTTGAGATCTGGAAACTTGTAGAATAAACATTTAAATCTCCTAAAATAACTTTCGTTCGCCAATGATTGGCAACATGTAAAGAGAAATTTAATATCCACTTAATATAACAAAATATATTATATTAATTGCCGACCAAATATTTCCTTTCCATACGCACGCGGTACGAAACGACCTATAGTATCATAAGGTATCTAGTTCCTAGCTTGGGTCCAAATCCAATTTCGAGGGCATTATGCACTAAGCGACTCTCGGGTAGGTGCACCGGGGGCTTGAGTAAAAACTATGACGCCTCTGAGAGGGTTTTCTCTCAGTTTCAGGATCTCGCCGTTTACTAATTTTTGTGACATTTTTTATTTATTTTTTGGTGTAATGGTTGTTGTATAAACCATAACCATAAATCCATGGGATTACTTTTCTATAAATTATTTGTTTTCCAACGAAGCCTGTGGTGAAATTTTGCAAGTTTTCGGTGCTAAATTTCACAAAATTCACAACATTAGAATTTGCCTAATGGAAAACTTTGTGCGTATTGACTATTTCCTCAACCAAATCTAGGATAAAAATTCAGCCGTCTATAAAGCCTTCGTATTTTACAAGTCCTGTACGAATGAAAATTACATTAGCAATGCTGGAATGAAGCCAATTCTTGATGTGATAGAAAAATATGGCTCGTGGAAGATCACGAACAAAAACTGGAGTGAGGATTCTTGGATTCTTGAAAAAACTTTGGCAAGAATGGAGGTCGATCTTTCAACAGTTACATTTATAGGTGCTGCTGTATTCCCAAATATTTTTGATACCACTAAACCGAATACTATTATTGTAAGTAAAAGATCATTTCTGCAGTTTATATTGAAACAAAATTTAAATCTACAAAAATATCAGTACCTCTAGAAAATATAGTAAAGAAATGTTTAAAATTGTGAGGAATATCTGGAAAGTTTTAAGTTAGTATTACATTCGAAAAAGTCTTCCACGCTTTGAAATCATTAATTCCGGCTTTGTTTTTGATAGGTATAGTTATTCTACCAAGTCAGCTTGTGTAGTGTTAGATCAGTGGTATGACATATAGTTAAGTAACCATTGTTTCTAAATTATTTTGTTTCTGCTATCTTTGTTACAGGTTGGAAAGGGAGGAACTTATCAGAATTTAGCTACTCTGAACAAAATAGATTCTCTTTACAAGTTTCCTCAAACCTTGCGGACTGTTCGGGTAAGTCTCATACACACTGAACCATTTTAAAGTACGACGGTTTTTAGAGGGATAAGGGTGAGTTGACGATTTTGAACACGGCAAGTCAACGCCACATTGCTAGAAACGCAATCAATCATATCATGAAATCATACATATACTCTCCATTTTCTTTCTTAGGCTACGATCACACGGGACCGGACAAATTTACAAACGTGCTCGAATTCGTCCGGTTTAAGTATTCACACGGTGGAAATGAATGAAAATTTGAGCGGTTAAACGTGTTCCCACGAGGAAACGGGACGAATTCGAGCACTGTCCGGTCCCGCATGAACGTATAGTCTTAGGAAAACCAGACTGGGCGCGATGCGGCAACGCGAAGCGAATTTTCAGTTTTCTGAAACATATAAACTAAACTCTGGAAGCAAAATTTGAAGTCTATGGACGCTAGAGCAGTCAAAATAATTTATATTACCGTTAAATAATCAACAAGAATGTAGCGAAGGGTTAAACTTTATTTGCTTTTGCAAAATTAAAACTCCCTTTGAAATATCGCTGCGGAAAATATTTGAAATAATTATTAGACGTTGCCAAATCGCGTCCTATCTATGTGGGCCTTTAGCGCTTTTTCTACTTCAAGCAAACGGTTTCTTGGATAGAACTAATAAGTCTGAAACAAAGAAGTACGCTACGGTTGAAGTGGAAAACAGGCCCTATTCAACAATCATGAGCATTTTCGCTCATTATTATGCGATACTTGGAAATTTCTGTTGATCAGATTTTCGTCACTATAATTATAGAAGAATTGCTACAATAGTATTTTTGGTCTTCTTGACAGTTCTTAATCTTTGAAACTTTAGTTCGTCGTTTTGCACATGTATGTAGACATTCGTTTTTTTATATTTTTGTGTCGCAGGATGTCGATGATCAGACCCGGCGTCCCCTTACCGATAGGTATAAGACGTTTATGTTGACTATATTCAAATTGCTTGGAGCCGGCGACAACATTCAATTACATAATGACGTAGAAAGAATTATTCACTTGGAGCAAGACTTTAATAATGTTAGTATGAATAATTACTGATTTAACCTTCAAAAATGTAAAGAAAAATTCTGGAAATTTAAATTTTAGGGCCTTCTCATCAACTCTCTTGACGGCCTATCGGTCAAAATGATTGATAAGATTTTTTTAAAGAAGCTGTCATATCATCTTCTGTTTTTACCAACCAACTTTTCACGTGTGAAAATCTCTGAGATTAAAGCTAGCGGCCGCATGCATGGGACTATATATGAGATAATATTTGTGAACAATTGAGATAATTGTTATTTCTGATATATAACTTAGCATTAAATGTGGTATAATAACTGCCTAAAATAGACAAAACTCTTTTCGACGTTTCGACCTGAGGGCCTTCGTCGCGAGAGTTACTCTAAACGAGTTACAGCGCTGTCACTCTGCTCTCTGGTCATATTTCTGATATGTAGGTCCTTATACTTTTTAAAATCTGATTTTCCAGTTTTCAGATGATATCTGAATGTATGTATAGTTAAATATTGTTAAAATTACTTAAAGTTAAAGACTGTTGTTAGTGTTTTGTTTACAAATAAAACACTATTATTTATTTATTTATTTATTTATTTATTTTTTTATTTTATTTATTTATTTATTTATTATTTATTTATTTATTTATTTATTTATTTATTTGTTTATTTATTTATTTATTTATTTATTTATTTATTTATTTATTTATTTTATTTATTTTTTTTTATTTATTTATTTACTATTTATTTATTTATTTATTTTTTATTTATTGCGTCTATTTTACAGAATAGATGCAAAATATTGTCACAACACCCCGTCTTACTTGGTTCTCCCACCCCCAACTTACTTGGATTTTAACCTGATGATGACGTCAGGTTTGCGTTGCCATATCAAATTAGACATATACTTTTAAATTACCGATTGACAATCATGATTATATTTTTTATTCAATGATGGTTTGATTTTCATTTATTCAAAAAATTTAAATATAGCGATATATATCGATAATATATTACTATAAAATACTAATCATCCCGGCCAATTTCACGGTTTACGTAAAGTAAGCCGCCCGCCGGGGTAATTATGGTTAGACCTATTCTTGCTTCTATTACAAATAATTCTTCATTAATTTACTTTACTTTACTCAGCCTGAAGGACTTACCATTCTATAGAAGTTAAGAAATACCAAATGCTTCCTAATTTTGCATGTCGCGAACAAAAAGCGCCTGGAATAATTTGATATACAGTATAGCAACTGTACACACAATTATCACTAACAATTAATTGAATATTAATAATTATTATTATCATTATCATACTTGGAATAATTAACGTGTTTTTTTCAGTTTACTAGCCAATACTATGATGTGGAATGCTATCCGGCGTCTACTACCAACACTGCCTTTGACCATGAGAAAGGCAGAAGATAATTTTAAAAAAATGATTTCACCAAAATATCAGTCTGATGGCAGATGGAAAACGTGTCTTGGTTTAACTCATCAGCAGTTCGAATATGTCGCATCATTACTTTATGTGAATGAAAACGTGCCCGAGGAAGCTGTCGATACGGTGAGGGTTCATGATTACCCACCGAGGTAGGATCTCTACAGTTGGGCCAATTTTACATAAATTATGGATCAGTTAAGCCAGGTTTGAAATGTTATTTAGTTTGTTATGAGCGCGGAGTTATACTTCGAGCGTATTTTCATCATCCTTTAGCCAACGAGAATGTTGACTTTCAGCTAAATACTTGAAATTTTGCATGGTGAATTAATGCTGAAATTTAGCATTGTGAATAATTGTATTGTCGATTTGTTGAGACACAACCTGAATTTGTCATATGCGAAGCTTTTCTGTCCAACAAGGGGGAATTTCGTTTTAGACCAATCCGCAAGTTTGTTTACACTTTTATTAACCCGATCAGAATGCATAAATTATCACCTCTTCCGCTAAAATGGTACATTATTTAACATTTTACATAACGTATTAGAATTTTTGGCATTCTGATTGGTTTTGCTCAAAAATAAACAAATTATATGCCGTGTACTTTGAAACGAAATTCCACCTTGTTTTTCGGTCCATTAACCCGGGCCTCCATCTGTGCAATAAACTTTTACAAAGCGCAAACGTCATTTGCTGATATATTTGCTAGCGCTTTAGTTGCCTTGGCGAATCGTTTAACCAGCAAATTAATTCTTTCACATTCGCAAAACAACAGAATTGTTTGGTTTCGATGGAACTGTAGTTTGTTATCATGAATTGAATAGCGTTTTCAGACTTTGAAATCTCAATGCTGCATAATGCATATTGGTTTGAAAATTTTACAGGCGAAAGAGTTATTTACTGAAATAAAGAAAGAATTTTTGAATGGCTTGAACGAGCAAGAATGGTTGGACGAAAAAACACGAGCCAGCGCTCGCCGGAAGGTCAGTATAATGTAGCTTATTTCCACGGCACTTTTTTTTTGACAGAGAGACATTTGATATTTAAGGATTAATGCAGTCTGTGAGTGCATTATCGGGTTTTACATGCACGAGTTCACGAACAAGGAACGAGAACTTCGAGTTCCTTGTTTGTGAACGAGTGCATGTAAAACCCGATAATACACAAACAAAAAGTGCTTTAATGCTTTTAATATTCATTTTGAGTAAACTCGTAAAGACTTTGTATAATTTTTAAACTTAGCTAAACAACACATGCTTATCTTTAAATACTAAAACACCCCAAGCGGTTGCCCGTTTAGTATTTTTCGGTGTGGATTCATTTATAATTACATTAATTTCCTCTTTGGTCTCTTCGCTAAGTTCGGCATTTTTTTTTTGTTGCCGCAATTTTAATAGTGCAATAAATCCTATAACGGCACTGCCGTGGCGTTGTTGTTATATAACATTCACTCACGTGGTGCAAATCGACCAATCAGAACGTAAGTTTACAAAAAATGAATATTAATACCATTTAACAACATTGATATTTGAGGTTGTGGGAGGGGGGAGATATTCATCTATTCCTGCATGTTAACAGGCTGGAAAGACAGTTTCAAAAGAAACTGATCAATCATGAAAAGGCTAGGATTGAAAAATTGAAAAATATATTAAAATGAAAATTGAAAAATATATTAAAATATGTTGACGGCTTCTTTTACTCAATAAAAAAGTAAGAGCTGAAAATCCTACTACAACTGACAGTCCTAATAAATCCGACTTTTTACAGCTTATCAAGATGAAAGAATATGTTGGCTATCCACGATTCATAAAAGATCCCTCGAAGCTGAACAAGTTCTATGAAGATGTGAGAAGTTTAATTTAAGTCTTTTTTATCCGAATAGTCCTTATGTGACTATGCAATAATTTGTTATCTAGGTTAAAGTTGATATTTCTCAACTTTTACAAAACCAGTTAAGTTCGGTAAGGAATTCTTTCATAAAGAAGATTCAGTTGTTTGGCAAACTGTTTGGCGACTACAAGTATACGTATGTTTAATATTTGTTTGTTGGGGGTGAATTCTAATCTGTTCTTTTGCCATAAAAGTTTTATCCTGCAATATCGCATGGCCGGAAATTGCGAACATGAAAATTTCAGATTACTTAAAATTATTTGATAAAAATTATTTAAAACACAAGAAGTAGCAACTCAAGTCGCTCAATAAATTTATTGTCGACCAATTATCATTCACTGACTATTTGTTCTTAGACCACTTCAGATTCTTCCAGTCCTTGCTACTAATACTGTTTACCTTGGTATAACAAATGAAATTTGTAAGTAACTTTGGAAGGAGATCCATCCTCTCACATATTCCTTTGTTTGCACGAAGAAATTCAATGTTTTGCTTTTTAGTTATAATTCATACATCAATTTTCAACAGCTATCACTATATTTCTGTGTTTTTAGCTATTTTGGCAGGAGTATTACGGCCACCTTTGTATCACAAGGACGCACTGAGGTAAATAAATCATTCATCATCCTATACCATCATGCAGGGTTGAGTTCGAGAAAATATAAATAAAAAAATATATATACCACCTATATTCCACACAGCTTTAACTCAACAAAGATACCACTCTATATATATATACATTTTTGAATATATCAAATTTTCGGATTTTGAATATATCAAAGTTTAAGGTATTTAAACGTTCCATATATTCAAAATTCGCAACCATGATATAGGCGCTTTGAAATAGACAAAAACCTTTTCGACGCATGGGCTTCCATCTAGTGGGTATAGGTCGAAACGTCGGGAAGTGTTTTTTCTATTTTAGGCAGTTGTTATACTACAATAGTATAATTACAAAAGTGATTATTGAAAATTCTGGCATCTGATTGGTTACCTCGGATTATTGCGCGATAATCACCTAAACGATTTTTCAGAATGACCGCGAGTTGTTTTTGTTAAAGACGAGAGAGACCAGAGAGACCTAGCCTCCTCCAAAGGCATCTCTTATGTATTTATATTAGGCATTTATATTTGGCATGGGTTAGCTGTGTCGGGGAAGGCGAGGAAAAAAGTGGGAGAGATCTCCAGCATTTTTTTTTCACTCCCCGACACAGCTAACCCAAGCCAAATATAAATGCCTAATATAAATACAAAAGAGATGCCTGCGGAGGAGGCTACGAGAGAGACGTTATTTTAACGAAAATACTGTAACTAACAACCTCGTTGTGCGGTGTGCTGTCTGAATATCGAACAATATTTAGGTGCACAAGCGCTTCTATACTTTTAAATCTATATACTCAGAAAGATTACTTAAGTTTTATGTTCAAAAGCTTTATATTGAAAAGAGTGAACTTGTTAATGATGCGAAGAGCTCGAGAATTCGATCATTTTTGCCTCCTATATAGTTGCGTCTTATTTACATTAATACATTGGAAAGGTACCGGTGGAAATCTATTGTTAAACTCGAAATCCTCTTGCTTCCAATTTCAGAGCGTTAAATTATGGATCCCTTGGCATGTTAGTAGGCCATGAAATAGCACATGCTTTGGGCGATAAAGGTATGGTCAAGCTTCCATAGTAGAAGGAAGAGATGAGATCTAAAAACCGTTTTCTCGACTCATTAGGGACCTTAAACATGTAGGACGGCAACACGACGACGACGTGATTGGAATACTCCTTTAGATTAATGTTATGATAAAGCGTTGTTCTATGTTATCAGCTGTACCATTTTACTGAGATATAAGGCCTCGAAAACATTGTTTTTACGTTTACAATCTATAGAGCCTAATTCGAGGTAGCGCACACTGGGTCCTGAAATGCAGACGTTCTACATAGGACGTAATAAGCAACGTTTTGCCGTTGTAAACAGAACGTAGATCACGTCTAAAACTCCCATGGGTATTTAATAATTCATTTCTTTTCAATGAAGCATTGTATTGATAGCTGCCGTCGTCGTGTTTCCGTCCTACATGCTGAAGGTCCCTATAAACTCATCGTAGAGGTTAACGTTTCAAAATTGTTCCTAGTACCTAGGTAACACACCCTTGGTACCACACCTTTTAGGTGAACACAACTCTTAGATATCAAGATAGTGATTTTGACTTTTTAATCAAGAAAGTAATATAAAGTTATATTACCTTTTCAATACACCCTGGTGACTGAGATCTCTACAAACAGGTGGGCAGTTCGACGAAAACGGAAACATGGATCAATGGTGGACTAAAAAATCGCACGAGAACTTCGTGAAAAGATCGAAGTGTTTCGTTCAACAGTATAGTAAAGTGAAAGTTTTTGGTGAACAGGTTGGATTTGCGTGTTGTCTCCTTCTTATTTTTTTGCATCTCGTTAACAGTTTTTTCGCCTGTCGTTTAACATGCTGCAATGCAAAACTAAATGAATAATGTATACTGCGTCTATAACAACTTCATTTTTACGTATCAGGAAATTATTTAAGTTTTTAACAATACCTTTTTCATGTCATAATGGCTATAGAAATAACATGCAGATCGTCGTTTAACATGCCGGTCGAGCAACAATCTCCATGCACTGCGAGGAAAATTTGAATGACAGAGTTATATCTATCATAAATATTAATATCTCTTGTCAAATACACAAACATTCAAATATCAAGTCGTTACGACATGAAAAGGCATATTGTTAAGCAATAGACACTTTCCGAATTTGTTCTTGGGCAATGAGAACCATCTAACCCACCAACAATGGATTTCATTGCCATCCTCGTTTCCAAGCTATAAGAGAGTTTACCATTCACGAAGCGGCCAGCATAAGTCCCGAACGAGATTGGAAATGAAGGCGGACGGTGTTTGGATACGTGGAGCTACTGCATTTTTGAACGTAAGAGTGACGCGTGTAAACTCGAAATGTAACCAAGGCAGGCCAACCCATATCATTTTCAAGTAACATGCATGAGAACGAAAAGAAGAGAAAATACCAACAGAAAGTTTTAGACGAAATGGACTCTCTTACCCCACTCGTTTTCGGAACAAATGGTGAAGTGGGATTTGAATGCCACAAATTTCTTTCTCAGTTGGCGCAGAAATTAGCAGAAAGAGATCAAGGGGTTCAAGATAAAGCTCAATTTCAACATTCCTACACACTTTACCAAGTTGCGTTGTTTGCAAATTACGGACTCCACCATGCCCACGACCCCCCTTTTTTTTTACAAGAGAGGGGATTGATTGAGGAGATTGATGTTAAAGCGATCTCCACATGCACAATGGCTTGATAATGATTCAGAGTTACATTGTATCTCGTTCGTAACGAGTCTCTAAATTCTTGCTTATAGGGCTGTAAACCTTGATCTTTAAGTGGTATCGCGTTTAGCTAGGAACTCGATCGCTCCTTTATCTCTTGATTGCTTTACCGAGAACAGTACAACTGGGGATAATGTTGCATTAGTGGTATCCATTCTTCATTTAACAGTTATTCATTTGAAGTTCGTAACGTAGTGATCACAACGTAAAATGAACAAAATTCCGTCGTTGAATCGTAGAGTACGCGTCGGAATCACACAAGACGCGTTGGCCGCGCTTGTCACCAAGCCTTTCTAACGCGTCTTCCCTTGCCGCGTCGTGAATCGTAACTCTCTATTGCTCTAATTACGGCATGATATAGAAACTAATCCATTACAGCATTATATAGCGGCTTCAATACGTGCATTTTTGAGAAATCTTATATACGTAGTATGTATGATTGTGTCACAAATACACGCATTCTTAAAAATTCATCGCCACTGTTTAATTGTCCATTAGGTTGACGGCTATTCCACCCTTGAAGAGAATATTGCTGATAATGGAGGATTAAAATATGCTTATAGGGTAAAGTGTATAAAAGTGACCCAATTCTCATTCTTATTATATACAGTGCTGTCCAGAAATTACCTGACAGAAACTGCGGTCTGATCGCGGTTGAGACAAAGGTCAGACCGAGGTCGAACCACGGTGAGACGGGTTTTAACCTCGGCCTAACTCGGTCTGACAGGCATTTCTTGGTCGTTCTCAGCTGTTCATGACATTCCGTTCGGAAGCGAACGACAACCGCGATCGTATTTTTTCCCTTGCGGTCGTCTGCGGTTTCTATCGGTCGACCGCAACCGAACCATAGCCGAGCCGCAACCGCAGTGTTAGGTTATTTCTGGACACTACTGTATAAAGCCCTTATCATCTGTTTTGTTTTAGGCATATCAAAATTTCGGGAAAAGATACGACAATGAGGCAAAGTTACCAGCACTTCCGTTTACTGATGATCAACTTTTCTTCATTAGTTTCGCGCAGGTAACAATTTACATGAGTGGCCCGAAAATCCCTCTCGGACGACAATGCCCCTATACTGTTCACAGTTTCATTTCTCGCAACTTAAGGCGCTGTTACACTGTGCAATTTTTTTGCAACTTGCAATGCAATTATAATTTAGTAAAGAGTGTTCCAAATGCTAAGAAAACGTTGGCAGTTCGTAATAAATGTTCGTATTTGTCAACTTTAGATGCCTAAGGGATAGAATTGCATTGCAAGTTACGTAGTGAAACAGCGCCTTTAGGCTGAATGAAAATTCAATCGACGTGGGTTTACCAAAGTTTAATTATTACTAAGAATTACCAAATGAGGTTTTGCGTACAACGTGATCAAAAACGCTGCATGATTAACAGACTTGAAAAAGCTCGACTGCAAGGCGGTCATCATGACTCTTAAATCCAAAATTGAGAACGAAACCGTTCCCTTGTATAGGCGTGGTGTGCAAAATATAGCCAAGACAAGATAAAATTGCTGACAGCGACGGTTCCTACTTATTCTCTTGATCCTGTCAGGTGAGCAAAGAATGTTGTCGTCCGAATCTCGTGAAAACTACATTTCACGGTGTCCTTTTAATGTTTCAGGGTGCAGGTCCCTTTGCACAATTTCCCCCCGTTCAGCAAAGCATTTGGATGCACGCCGCCGAAAGATACGTGCGCAGTGTGGTAAAATACAGTAATCAAGCTCTGTAATTATTAAAGAATTTGAATGATTTTGTAGTTTCAGTTTCCGAAAACATTTTCTGATCACTAGGGCAAGAAAAATCATAAATTTGTGGCAAAACAAGGCAGCAGTCTGCTTAAAATAATAATCGACAAATTGCAGTAACACAGTGATATGTTAGTACGATAACGCGGAACGTGAAGTTATAAATACAGTAACACAGTAAAACACAGTAATATGTTAGTACGATGACGCAGAACGTGAAGTTACAAATACAGTAACATAGTAATATGTTAGTACGATAACGTGAGGTTATAAAGGGACATTTTTTAGTTCGAACGTGAGCATAACAAGAAATTAGATAAAGAAAAAAATAATCTTTTTCAGGTAAAATAAGGGATACATCTTACCATAGCGAATTTCCAAATATTTCAAAGGCTGTGTAAAAATGTTCGGAAAGTCGATATTTTGCTTCTTTTTCGGAATTGACGTGAGAAAGCTGTAATGTTTTTAGGTTGGGTCTATATACCTTAAACTAACAGGAAATTCAACCAGTTTTTCTCAATCCAATGGTTATCTGAAGTGTATTTTTCTGTTAATTATATATTGTTATCGACTAGAGTCAATATTTGTCTCTTTTTGTTCTTATTTACGCCAATACGCCTATTGTAATTGTTACAATGATACGAAATTTGAATTCTTTGAAATAACTGTCAGTTTTCCAGGATCTTGCAGCTCCACTGGATCAAACTAGAATATAAAAAACGGATATTGCATTATGGATAAACATGAAAAAATTCCGATCCGTGGCCATTATCTTCCATGGTTCATATGATGTGGCGAGGCACCCAGCCCTATACAGGCGCGGATCCAGCTGAAAATCTGACCGTGTCATATACACGCGTAAAAACGCTCAGGTTGATGCAAGTTGATACAAACAGGATAGAGCAATGTTGTGCTGCCCGCATTGTTTAGAGTTGTTATCAATATTGAACAATATTGTTACACCCGATTCAGTTTCAACAATATTGTTCAATGTTGATAACAACTCTGAACAATGTGGGCAGCACAACATTGCTCCATCCTGTTTGTATCAACTTGCATCAACCTGAGCGTTTTTAGGCGTGTAGGACTAAAAATTTACCGGTCGGGGGGGGGATGGGTGGGGCGAATGGCGAAGGGGCTATGGACCCTCCGAAACAATCCCTGTACTTTCATAAAACCACAAAACCATTTTCAAAATTTTGGGTAAGGTATTTACCGATATTTCATTCACACTCAACATAACGTGAATTTTGCATACACAAATTATTCACAGCTACAGCGTAAATGCAAATTTGTATCATAGGGCGCTTTGCTCCCACTTTTAGCAGGAATTGGTAATAATATCACAACGATATGAAAGATATTACTCACATTATTTGTTTTAGACATATATTTCCTTAATTTTGGTGTGATTCAAAGAATTAATATGTACTTCTAAATAATGTGTGAATATTAGATTGCAGATGGGAAAATTCTGGATGGGAAAATCTGACCGTGGCTGGAGTCACGTTCGATACGGTCTAGATCCGCGCCTGCGATACAGGTTTCGACACGTTGGAAATTGGAATAATTTTCTCGTATGTCAGAAATATGTGTCTGCTCAACAACACACAGATTGAAAAAAAAACACTTTTTGAAAAGTTAAACCACAAATGTCAGAATATTTTCAGAGAGTGGAGATAAAACGCGGTTGCCAATAATTCAAAATTGTATTTCTAAAAAGATATTTCAATTGCACGCGCGCACGCAAGAATGAAATTAGTAAAATTATATAATACGTCATACCTGTCATAACTTCTGGGGGTGCGTAGTCCGTTGCGGTAGCTGATGTCTTCTTTCCTAGAGTTGGTTTAAAACAACATTCCATGAGGATTATTCAATTATTACAGGTATAACAGCGACCCACTAAAATATACTTTATATATATACAGCGCAATATATACAAGGAAATTATATATAATTTACAGGGGCAATACTTGGCAGTAGGGAACATACCGGGTTCATGGTCCATATGGAAGTAATGAGATTGTGCGATGAATCTTGGATATTTCAAATTCAAGTTAACGATCCTTTGTTGCGAGGACGAAAGCCTAAAAAAGCCGTAGTTGCTTAATTTTGCTCGTTGCTCCTAGTACGCATTATTTTCCCTGAAACTTTGACAGTCTATTAAAAACCTCTCCTACTTTTAGACAGTTAGATAATATCTAAATTTCAGCTTCAGATTTTCGCGCGCAAGGCCTCTCAATATCAATGGATATTGTGGTAACCCCCCCCCCGGTAACATAATTTTGGTAATGGAAAAATAAACTGCCCTAGGGACACAAAGATTTCCCAAATTCTGCAAAATATCCTGAAACGCAGATTTAACATTTGAAACATTTTTTTATACACCCTGTATGTACATTACGGCATTTTAAAGTTGGCAGTTTCTTTCTGACTCATAAAATCTGGGGCAAAATTTATATGAATTGTAAGTTACGCCGGACTTACTTTGATGTTGCTTGATAATCGTTCTTCATAACCGACAACTTTGGAAACGGAACTTCAGTATCATCACATCTGAATAAATAGTAGAAACTTATGAAAGAAGATGAGAACACAGAATTTTATGTCATTAAAGCATCTCCAGTTGAAATCTTAAACGCATTATAATTTAGATAAAAGCTTCGACAACCCAGATTGCTATATACATAGTTTTTGCAAAATTAATGTGTATAATACATTAGTGCATGATGCATGAAAAGAACATGCAAACCTGACTATATCAGCTTCCTTGCTTCTCTTCAGAGGCGTTAGACAAGTTTCTTTCAACATTGGTGTCTTTCCAACGAACTGATCATGCTAAAGTATTAGTACATGTGTTAGTTATGCCGGACAACCGCTTCCTTAATGACACAAATGAGTTGAAGGCGGCATCCAAGAGACAAATTTGGCAATATGATTAGCTGGTCAGAGTGTTTTTTGCAACGACGTTATCTGTTAACTGTTATTCCTGAAACAAAATATCCAGGGAATCTCTCTTGAAAGAGTCAACTTCAATATTATGCACTGAATATGAAGTTGTACACAATATTTTTGTATTAAGGTTAATTATATAAAACATTAATTTGCGTTATAATCCGAATCTGCGTTATAACAAATACAATAGCATGCATGGTGTTATCTACAAATTGGCGTGAATTAAGTTTTTTTTTAAATTTTATGAATATTAAGATGAAATTCAGCGATGGAAGTTAAAATTACAACGTCTCAAATAATTTGACCGGTTATATCTTTTTCTTTACTTATTTCCTTTCAGTAAAATGTGATTTGTTAATAATGTTTGTGGAGACTACATAGTTAAAGATACCTGTTCACTGTTAGGATAGCGATGCGTGCCATGACCAAGTGTGAAATGTGTCTGGTTATCGTCTCTTGGTCTCTTTTCATCTTTTCCATCCACCCCAGACTTCCTCTTGCACAGATTACTGGAACTTTTTGCCTAATCGCATGCATGCAGTTAACATTTAACTATGCATAATTTTCGTAAAACAAGTGATTTACAAAGATGAGAAATAGTCCGGATGTAAATTTGTCTCTATTTCCTTTATTCAAATCTGTCACTTTTGAAGGCACACTGGTAGCAATATTGCAACCCATCAATCACCTTGACAACAATCACAGCAATTACGAATAACGGAAAATCAGGCCTTGGGATTATACCACAGATACTTGTGTTTACAAATTCCTTAAAGAGGATGTGTCGCATGACATGATCTGCATGCGTGGATTCACTGGAGTGATGAACACTTGTTTATTCCGAATAAGTGCAAATTTTGATATCGAATCCCAATAGTGCATGGTTAGTCAGAATTATTGCAATTTCAAATACCAAGAAAGGGAGCCAGGACCCGATGAAAAGTCTTTTCATGCAAACTGCTGGCTTGGGAATTGCACTGGGATATTTTTTCCAATTGGAATTCGAAAAGTTAGATATTCCACATTCGTTTTTGCATTTTTAATAGCGTGTTGCATTGTAGCTATATGTTTTATGCCTATATCTAAAGCGTTAACTATCGACAGTGAAGCCAAAAAAGTTTTTGCACGTAATATCTCAACGAATGGAAACTTCACCTGCAGAGCGCACTTTTTTCTATGGAAATCAATTGGTAGACTTTTGTCAACTACCAAATAATCGTATTTTTGAGCTGGTTTACGGTATATCTTGTGTTGGCGAATCAATTCTATTGGCGGTAGTTGGTAGTCCTTTTCGCTCACTGAAATTCAATGATGAGAGATGTGATATTATTTAATATAAATATTTAAGCACTAAAATTGGCATATTGAACGATTTTCACATGCAATTACAACAAATTAATCATGCGAGCAATAAGAAAAAATGAAATCTTACTTGAGACTGGTTTTAGATATTTCTCACTATTGTAGCCCTTGTCTTCCAACGTCACAGATGATTTTTTGCCATTTGTCTATAATCGAGAGCAGCAAAGCGATGCAGTCCTGCTCAGAAATATGTCTCCTGCACTTGAGTGCGCCAAATATACTATAACAATAATTAAATAATTGGTGGATGTAATAAATCCAATTACCTGATTCCTTTGGTACTCTTGACCGCGGTCCTGTCGTGATAGACGTGAATTATTTTATGAATAGCATTTTTAAGGTACAATTTTAAGCTTCCTACTAATGGGTATATGCTGTGTAAAAGACATTCATCCAAAAAATGCTTTGATTATGATTTTAATTACGTGCATGCTAGAGCTCGCAGCGAGCTTGAGAATTGTGCACATGTTTTTGTGATGAGTGGAATAAGCTTTCATACCTTCAAGAAATCATTAGCTTCTTTTTGACGATAAACAAAATCTAATCGTTCATTAGAAATCGGATACGTTATGTCTGTCGTTTCGTTTAGAACCTACAAAATGAGTGAATGTATGCTGTCATTAATTTTCAATTATTCAATTCCTCTAATTAGTATATCCGTAATCATTCCATGACGAGTACAATTCGGATAAATAGTGTAACAGAGTGATAGAATCGTATAAGGCAAGTATGATTTTTTACAAGTTTTTTTGTTAAAACATAGCCCTACGAGACTTTTGATCTTTTGCCATTATTTTCGTTTATCTTTCTAGCCTATTTAGTTTTTCCAGGGCTGTTTAGTTTGTAGGCAAATAACCTTTCGCCATTTTGTTTTTTTTGAAAAATTTGTACTTCAGAATTAAGGAAATAACCTATACTTCTCCAAGCTAATTAACATCCAGTAATTTAATACTAAGAAAAAATCTAGCTATAGCTACATTAAAAATAAATACAGAAGTTGTATACAACGGCTACCTGTCTGAAAAACCTACATTGGCGTGTAGTCACACGACACAACGTCTTCTTCCTTACCTTGGCCGATTTTGGTCGCACTTCTTGCAATGTTTTCTGTGGGTTCTGCGGGGATGGAAATTTTTCTTGGCGAAAATCTAAAATAATTTAGTACATCGACCTCCTGGCATATAATTTGTTTGATTTTTGACACAGTGTAAA